CAAAGTCAAATGAAAGACAACTTGATGAGGTAGTGAACTGATACGAATCTATGGTCAGTCCAGAGCGCTTTTAACTATCATGCTCTTCTGATCCAGGCCTTCCAGTCAACTTCACTATGGTACCAACTCCGGATTGGCATCTCTCTATCGAACACATCCTCTCGGACCGTTCCCGGCGTCTTGTCTCCAGGCATGTCAGCCAGACCGCGACCCGTTTGGCGCACAATCTGCATCCATGTTCGCGATGCCCGGAAGCTCGTCCTAACGGTGCTGCAACTACCGACAACCGATCGGATACATTAAACGATGGTGGAGAGCCGTAATACAGTCAGGCGCGGAGTTGCCGTATGTCGTGGTAGTTCCATTTCATAGTCGCCGTGATGGTGGTCAGGGGTTGGGGATCAATGTGCCGCTTCCAAGTTCGGCTCAAGTAGGCTAGATCGACACGTGCAACCCCCGCGCTACCAGTCTTGGCCAACTCCAAAGCTCGCAACCTCGGGATGCCTTACACTTTCCATCGACCTGCAGCACGATGCATCAGCTCTCAGCTCCCGTATATCGACATCAGCACCTTCATTCCCTCGATGATTCGGAAATCTACTAGATTGTAATCTATAATGGTCACCAATGGTTCGCTTCTGATGAGAGCGCGGTACTCCGCCGGCCAGTCAGCAGTAGCATCGCTGAGCACCATTCCAAGAATGGAAAGCGCGATCGTGAAGTACCATACTGACGGACATCCGACTTACCCTGGCTCCAGACCGCACACGGTCTCATTCGCGTGGCGCGTACTTCCATGTCTTAAAATACGACCCAGGCACGGGAAAGTAGGCAAATGCAAGCTGCGTATTGCCCTGACGGTTAACCCGGTACCCACTCCACTGGTGTTGAGAATGGTTGCCTGCATGAACTGCGCATGATAGGTTGCATTAGTGTAAGACCTAGGTCTAAGACACTATCAGTGGCTCAAGCTTCGAGGCAGAATATGGCTCGAGTCTGTCACTACGGCCCTTCTTTGCCATGGATGTGTCGGAAATGGCTTCGTGGAGGCGTCGTGGCTGAGGAGTTGGTCCTCTATCGTCTCAATACCTATTATTGCCATCTCTAGGAGATGGCCCGAAGGACGGCCTGAGCTGGATTCGTGAACAGCTTATAAACCAGATGGACCACGTTGTGTAGTGGTACTATCGTTGCTTCATTCATCCTTGTTACACCTGCATTGCATTGCTAGCGGCTAGCTGTACCATTCTATCGTTATGGCATTCTTGGCATCACTCGTTCTGGTCGCATCTGTCCTTACACAACAGGCAGTTGCAGTCACCTCACAGCAGATCCTAACCGACTTGTCATCCACTCTTTCTAACGGATCGGAAGTTATCGCTACCACCGATGCTTCTTACCCAACCGATTTTACGCAACGTTGGAGCATCTACTCTAAAGCTGAACCAGCTTACACCGTTGCTGCCAAACCTGCGACAGCGGGAGATGTACAGAAGATCTTGCAATATGCGTCCAAGAACAAGGTCTCTCTCTTGGCAACAGGCGGTGGCCACGGTTACACTACCACTCTTGGTGGTCTAAAGAATGCACTCAATGTTGATTTGAGTAACTTTAAGAAGGTTGAAGTTGACGCTTCCGCCAACACCATGGTCATTGGAGCGGCTACTACGTTTGCTGATATGTACGATCCCCTGTATGCGGCTGGCAAGATGATGCGTAAGTCCCCGATTGGTCTAAAAGGCCCCCACGTATACTGACAGATCCTCCAGCATCCGGTGGGTCTTCCACACCAAGTATCATTGGCGTCACCTTGGGTGGGGGTATTGGACCCTTGACCGGCGAACACGGACTTCTAATTGATTCCTTACTCTCCGTGGAAATGGTAACCGGATCAGGCCAAATTCTAACGGCGTCGGCTACTGAGAACTCCGACCTTTTCTGGGGCATGCGAGGTGCAGGCGTCAACTTCGGCGTGGTCACATCAGCGACCTATCGCATCTATGACACTATCAACAATGGCATGGTTTACAACGCCGATATGTCGTTCGACGCGGAGAAGAACGCCACTATCTTTCAAATTCTGAAGACTTATCAGGGAACTCAGGATGACAAGCTTGCCATATCAATCTCTTCTTCTCTGAGGAACAATGTTCCGTCAATCGATCTTAGTGCGATTTACTTCGGCAACAAAGAGCAGGGTGATGCTGCTATCAAGGCTTTCATCGATCAGAAGCCAAGGGCTAGCAATATCACCGTTGTGCCCTACAACCAGCTGGTGTACGTTGCCAACTTCGGAGGCGACGTGTTCGCACGCCAGAAGGGCGTCCGAGCCGACATGTGGGGTTACCAACTCAACACCCTAACTGTGTCTACGCTGGTTGACACATACACCAAATATATCAATTTTCTTCTCGCCAATCCCGATGTCAGTAATGCTTTCTGGCTTCTGGAGAAATTCGGCCTCGGCGTTACCGCGACTATCAGCGACGATTCTACCGCCTACGCTTGGCGCAAATCAGTGTCTTACGGCTTCTTTGAGTTCAATCTGCCCGAGGGCGTCACCGCTGCGCAGACGAACACAGTGGACACTTTCGTGAAGAAGCTTCGCAACGACATGATGACTGCATGTGGAAACCCAGAGGGTAATGTCTTTCCTAACTATGCTCGTGGTATTGAGAAGCCCGAGCAGGTATATGGCAAGGCGAAGCTGCCAAGGCTCCGAATTCTCAAGAAGAAGTACGATCCAAAGGGCTTGTTCAACCACTATAACTCTTTTGCTTAATCACAACTGGCGTTGCGTTCTTCGATAGGTGGCTATCTCAGTTTGTCTTCTCATTGGCGTCACCGTCGGCATTTCCGCATATTACTGAGTTATGTACCTTTTCCTATCATATACAGTATTATCTTCATCATCATTGAACTTCTATGTCCTGATTTGCTGCGTGATGAATACCGCAATCGAATGACCTACGATATGCATGTCTTATCCTTCGTCTCACCCACGTACTAGCTATCACCGACTTCAAAGTTTTTATTATGTCAGAATTCCAAATTTAGACCTATCGCCGTGTCTAAGTCGCCCACTGACGTAGAATCTCCCATAATAGCACATATCGTGATCAGATATTAGCTTATCAGTGTTCTTGAACTTCCGCAAGTCAAGCGAAGCAGAAGCAGAAGCAGAACGCAACATACATAACCCAACCGTGACTATTTGAGTCTTGATCGAAAAAAGCCAAGGACTGACTGCTATAAAGCTCAAATCTCATCTCGATAAGGAAATAACATTCTAGACATGTAGTATAGAAGTGAAGAAAGCCATAGCACTATTCTAACAAAGGGAAACACCGCTTTTCGACCACTACAACGTCAACTTTATGCACTCCCAACAGGATTCGTCTTCTCCAAGCGCTCTTTCCCCCTACCCCCCGGACTAAGATCGCCATCTCGATTTACAGACATCTCTTCCTACTCACATGCAGTCGCTACTCGTACATGCACCTAAGCCAAGAGAGCAACAGCGTGAACAGCAACGAATCCAGCGTAAAGCACAATCCTAACACGGTTCAAGTATCCCCAGTAAGCGATCTTGTCGTGATCCTACACCAAACATTAGCAAATACTCCCACCAGTACAAGAAGGAAGAAACTTACTCTCGCAGTCTGCATACCCTTGCCCTTCTCCGGAAGATCTGCGTAATGCAAATCCTGCTGGTTCTTGAACTTCTCGATAAGAACATCATTGAGCGGGTTCATATAGTGCAGCGTGAACGGAAAGATCAGGAAAGCAAGCACACTACCAACGCCGTACAAGATTGTAGGCGTTGCCAACAACCCTGAGCGTTGGGAAGAACCATATGTCATGATGGCGGAGAGGATCAAGTTGGATCCCGATAGAGAGGTCGCAGGGATCTGCGCAGAGCGGAACTGCGTGTGCCATTGGCGAATGGCAAGAATGGGGGAGGGCGACTCAAGAATGGAGGGAATTGAGATGGTGGAGAGAGCCGTGTTCATTCCCAGGAGGAAAGTGGCTTGGAGAAGGGTGCCGAGCTGAAGGTGTTGGAAAGTGAGCATATTGGCGGGTTTGAGAGTTTATCGGGAAAAAGGTAGATTTGAAAGAGGGGTGGTAAAACTCAAGTGGTATTGAGATATAGATCAGAGGACGAGAAGATGGATGACTGATGATGATGATGATTCCACTGTCGTGGCGGCTAAAGGACGTTTATATCCCATCCCAACGCATATCGTCTTCTGCTGCCTCAACCCCAAGTCTTTCATTCGATACCAAGACCACCGAGATGTTTCCTCTCGCTCCGTTCATCCCGCGCACCGCATTTACAAGTCGGCTCTCCATCCATCGGTACCTACCATCAGCATCGGAGCTCCCGCATATCAGCATTCACCATCGACGATGGAGTCGTGACCACCGACCGGTGGACCGCGTGGTCAGTAAGCATTAGGAAGGATTAAGCCTCAGTAAGGCTGCCCTGACACGAGACCCGCTATTTGCGGCTGAGGCTGATGATCGGTCCTTCCCTGCAAGGGCGGACGGACAAAACCTTGTTCCAAATAGAGCCAATGGCAGGGGGCCTGACACCGTGCATATGGCACGCTAACCGTTTCTGTGTTTTCGACGGACCTCCGACAAACATGAGGCTAGCATCCGTATCGAGGACTCAATCAGCAAGAAAGTTAAGGACAATAGGAACTGCGTGCTGTCAGTCGACGCAGTACCGGACACCGAGTCTGACTAATCCGTGACTGTTTTGTTTGCTCTTGACGTCAATGTCGTTGAACGTGCGCCCTACTTGTTATCATATTTCTTCCACCAAGTTCTCGATTGCTGCTTGCCTGACTAAATTTACACTCACGATCGAATCTTACCACACCTTATCAATCCTCTCGGTCTGTGCGAAACTTGCTCAGCTCGCCAACTAGCTTAGCTGCATACGCAAAGGCATACGAATCAGATTCCCAAATCATCCACACGCAGAAGCAGCCATGGCATCTTTTCCCGCCTTCCTCAAATCGCAACTCCTCTACACGCCCAAAGTCCCCGAATCCACAACCTTCACCGGCAAAACGGTTATAGTAACCGGCGCAAACACCGGGCTTGGACAAGAAGCAGCTCGCCACTTCGTGCGCTGCGGCGCCTCAACCGTGATTATCGCCTGCCGAACACGGTCGAAAGGCGAAGCTGCTCTGCGTGACATCGAAGCCAGCACTAAGCGAACCGGTGTTCTGCAAGTGTGGGAACTAGATTTGTCCTCCTACGCTAGCGTGAAAGCTTTTGCGAAGAAGTGCGAGAGCCTACCTTGTATCGATATCGTGCTCGAAAATGCAGGTATCGCACAGGGCAAGTTCAATGTTTTGGAGGGACATGAGGCGCATATTACCGTGAATGTCATTTCGACATTTATGCTCGCGCTGCTTTTGCTGCCTATCCTGCGCCGATCAGCGGAGATTCACAAGACGAAGCCGTATCTCACGATCGTTACGTCTGAGGTGCACCATTGGACGCAGTTTCCGCAGAAGAACGCTGAGAGCATCTTCGCAGAGCTAGACGACGAGAAGAAGGCAGATATGGCGGATCGGTATAATGTCTCCAAGTTGATGGAGATCTTGCTCATTCGACACATGACCCAGGTCCTAATCAAAGACAAGACGAAGTACCCCGTGGTCATCAACTGCGTTACTCCTGGTCTTTGCAAGTCTGAGTTGGTCAAGGACTTGGGTTTGGCGCCGGTGGTGTTCAAAAAGCTGTTGGGTCGACCGCTGGAAGTTGGCAGTCGGTTGCTGGTGAATGCGACTGCACTGCCCGACAGCCAAGGCGAATATATCATTGACGACCATGTCTCCGAGCCGTCACCACTGGCGAGGAGTGCTGAGGGTGCCGAGCTTGGTAAGAGGATCTGGAAGGAGTTGAGCGAGATTCTGGAAAAAGCCAGTCCTGGTATTACCAAGAACTTGTAGGGTAGATTTTTTTGGCGACGTTTTCCTTTCCGTCTTTCCTTATCTTTGGTTTGTGGGCGACAAATACGAAATCCCTATTTTTACCAAATACTTTTGAATAATGTAGCCTAGTGGCATCTGCTTGAGTTCGTCTTGACCGCTCGAACTTATAAAGACAGTGTTTACGTTTAGAATAAGTACTAGGAATGGTATATGAATAGTTTGTAAAGCGCCGGTTGGTGATGTTTCCGATTGATATCCCTGATTTCCTTTTGGTTCTAATAAACCAAATTCCCAATACCTGACAATGCCCAGACCTGATATAGAACGCCGGCACCGGATCAGTGTGATCATGACCTCCATCTATTTGAGAAGTACCTAGCCTTCTCAAGAACATTACGTGAACAATGTGTAGGGTGTGTTTCCAGCTTGCTGATACAATATTGCAAGCTGTTGTTGCCTTCCAGAATGGGCAGCCGTCTCTTATCGCCAAGGGTGACGACCGGTGTACCGGTAGTCGTGTTAAGAAAGCACTCTTCCTCAGCAGGCAACAAGGCGTCAATGCAGACTTCGAGCGATTGGGCGCATGCCGAAGAAGGCCGCTCCAAAGATCGGAGTGACCAGCACGACATAGCGGCACGGTAGAAAGCTACCGGCCACCAGGTCGGTCGCGCATCCTTTGGTAATCCGTCGATCAGTCGGAATATTTGCCCGGCATGGAACAAAACATAGCTCTCTCCTTCGGGATAGCGTGCCCAGCGCCACATCTCCGCACGGGCCGCGTCCGAAGCGGGTGGCATTTCCTTGGCACACTTCTCAATTTCGGGGATGCTAGTAAAAACATTCAAGCTAACCAGATGGAGCATAATCATACTCACGAAGTCAGTGGAGTGTGCCTGGCCCTTGTCGTCTTCGACAACAGCGGTTTTGGAGCGCCGAGTTAGAAGCGTTCCCAAATCTTGAAGCAAATCCTGCGTCTCCTGCAAACGACCCAAAATCTTAATCTTGGAAAGAACGCGATATCGGTTAGACGGCTCATCGGTATCGAAGATGCGCAAGAGTTGCTGCTGCTCAAGCACCATGGCTTGCAATGGATGGAGGAGAAGACGAAGGTGATGCAGAGGTAAATCATCACCCATTCGGCCCTGGAGGAAACTTCGGAAGAGGCCGTTGAGCGATGGAGTCATATGACCAGAGCGAGCACCATTGGCACCTTGTTGTTGCTGTTGTTCCAGCCAAGCACCGAATTTCGCGGGATTGCAGGGGCCCGACCTGGTCCCATTTGCGCCAGAGTGCTCGAGCCAAGCGCTATACGACTGGGCATGCCATAGGTCGTTATCTTGCGGCAAGGGGACTTGCAAATCATTAACTGAGAGTATTGGTGGAAGGTCGTGTAATAAGCTGATCTCGAGATCTACGTAGACCCACGCGTACGCGTGTCTAGAAGGTGTTAGCGGAACGTCCCCGTGGGGAAACAAATGGGTCCTACCGGTTGCGCTGCTCCAGTTCTTTCCATCTTTCCCAAAGTTCCATTCCGTCGGATTTCGGGTTATGCAGGGTCTGTTCGGGCTGCAGAACGCCAGAATTTTTCAACATCTGCGAATGTTAGAGCCTGTTTACAGTGACTTGTAACATGAATCCCTTACACTCAAATATTGGCCTCGTTTCGACATGGCGTACGAAGCAAAGGAGTCTTTACCACTTCGTGCACAAAGCGTCAGTAACTGCAGTGCAATACCTCCAATCATCGGCTGCGATATGCTTCGGTTCTCAAGAACATCATCCAACGCGATCCTGCATACTTCTATCAAGCCGTTCGCAAGTATGTGGGATTCGGAATGGTCCGTGAGCATAGCGCCTTGCGCAATTAGAAGAATGATCAGTAGTATGCCGACATCTGCCGTATCGATTTGTAGGATGTCTTGGATGTTGACAACGGAAGAGCCAGCAAGACCCAGATAGGGTTGGATGGAGTCGATGCGACTTGCGTAGGCTTCAATAAAGTGCATAAGTACATGGGACGGTGGCAGTACTACGATGCGTCCAAAGAGGCCTTGACTTGGTGTTGTAGGTGAGTAGCGGCTTTGTAGTGCACGTTGCAGCAATACTTGAACGGTGGCGACGATGCGGTCGCGTGCATCGTGTGAAAGGGTCTGACTGGAATCGCTGTTGCTACCTGGGAGTCCGTGCCACGCATCAGGCTGAGCGAGCAACTCCACCAACTCCGCAAGTACATCATCCGGTGTTGCAGGTCTATCTGTAGGTGTTTTGTGAGGGTAGCGTTTCGGACTAAAGGGGGTTTGCATCCCAGGTGGCGGGCTGGTGGGAACACTTTTTGTCGTCCGGGGCGTTGTATCCGGTGGCGTCGGTGGCTGATTCGAGACATGTGGCATATGGTGTTGTTGAAACATCTGGCCGCCCGCTGCATGTGGTGAAAACTGGGGATCGCTTCCGTGCATATCCATAGATTGTATGGAGGTGAAGAGGTTGTTGGATGTACTCGTATCCATGGCATCGCTATTGGAGGGCGCATCGGGATATGAGAAGCCCATGAAATCATCGTAGCCACCCAGATCCAGAGGTCCTTGAGGTAAATTCGTGTTAAAAGCAAACATATCGTTATTCTGCGACTGGTTTTCAGGCACCATGTAGCCGGTAAACTGCTCCATGCGTGGGACATGGCTGCTATCGGAGCTGATGGTGCTAGTCGGCTCTGCTGAAGTCTGGTTCAAATTTCGTGCCGACGACTTTCGAGGAGCTCGCGGCCGGCGCGAGGTACAACGTGGCTGACAAACATATCCTCTTGCAACACATTGCGAGCATGGTACCTGTTGTTGTGTTAGATGTCGCGCTGGGGGCCTAAGGCGCGTGACTTTGGGGTACTCACCTTGCGGTCGCAACGTGCCTTGGATATGGCACATCTTGTGCATGCGATCAAAGCAGGATTGCTCATTGGAATGGCGGTCGTGATTGATGGCGCAGTCGCTGTACCGATGACTGATGTAGGATGAGGATACCAGAGCTTAAGGCTATGTGCGGCGGGTTAGGCCGCTGCGGCCAGGTTCAGGCGATAAGACAAAGCGGGGCAAGGATCCCTGGGGAGGTAAACTTCGACGCATGTCTCGCACCACGAACTCTAGATTGCCCTTCCAGCCTCACCGGCACCCTGCGCTGCTGCCGTAGTTGTGTATAGTGGACGCTATGTCAGCGACGAAGACTAGGTGGACCTGTGTAACTAAGCACTTGCCGAATCGGTGTTACATTATGTAAGCGGGGCTCACCAGTCAGCATTAAACCCATGACGCGAGTGGACTGTGCCTGAGTAATGTCGGGTCATCCCACTCCACCATACTACTTTCTGCCGTGGGATGACTTGGTGAATTGCGAGGCAGACGCATACACGAGCCATTACGTGCTATGAGACTGTTAGCTGCTTAAGTCGGTCCCCGAAATCCGCCCTTTTGTGCCGCCATGGTGATAAGCGGCTCTAGAGGTAGTGAGATTCGCTTTCGCACTTAGTGGCTGAGGAATTATCGCAAGTACAGACGAACTCGGCTTTCCCGGGGGAAGCGATTTTAGGTCGGGCCTACACGCTGCAGCCACACCAACCGCAGCAGTATCCGAAACATAAGGCGTCACACTCCATACGCGGCTGCTTAACGACATATGGCAATCGTCTTTATCTTCAGAATGAGCCCCGCTTCTTCTAGGCTACCTTTGCAAGTTTGTATACCACCGGGTAACTATAGATGCAAGCATGTGAATGTGCTCGTACGGCGACCACTGGAATTAGGAAAAGATCCGAAAGTAAGTTTGCACTGCCTGCCAAGAGAGTTTGAGATATGGCCATAGTTGTACTGAGGTACTATTCTTGTAAAGGCCATCCTGTATAGCATGGCATCCCACGAAGACAGCCTCGAGATACCCAACGTATGGATATGTGGGATATGAGTAATGAGCCGGACGATTTTTCGGTGTAGCGAGCATTCGAACAGGTGGATCAGGCCTGTCAGTTCCAAGGCGAGGGCCGTTCGCCTAGTGCGGAGCATGAAAGGACCGGTGGGTTACTGGGCGCACTACTGGCCCCAGCTTTCCGCTTGTGGTCGGGGATCGCCTGCCTTGACATACTACCGGTTCCTCGCAGTGTGACGTCTTATCCGATCCTAGATAATGGTTTCCTGTGGATTCCAAACGGTGATTCCCGGTAAGGATCCAAGGCTGTGTCAAACTGCCCCATGGGGTCGGTATCTTTCGCTTGATGATGTTTTGGTACTTCGGCCGGGTCGGTTGTCTACCTGGGGACACGATCAGCGACGACCACTCGGAGAGTCGCATACATCATACCATGTAATCTTCGGCGAGTCCCTTGATCCCCCTTCAAGACCTTTCATAGCTGATCCTATACTGTCACCACGCCTGCATGATTGCGACCTATCCGCAATCTATTCAATGCTTGCGTAGCATGCTAACCGTTGTGTGATAGCCGTTTTTGTGAAATGTAACAAGGTACACCGGCGCAATCTTGCGGATCTTCCTCGGTTGACAATCCACGAGCGCAGGTCTAGCAGGAACGGGGCTGGCGCAGTTTCTCCACCCGAGCAATTCATTCCTGATTATAGCAACGCTCAGGCCAGTAGACGCCTGGTCCTGGTAGTCAACGAGACACGATGGATTGCGATTGGACCTCGGAGAAGGAAGGAGACGTAGGATTCTGATGCCAGTGAGCTGTTAACCAGCTCAACGCGTCAACGGCGATCAACATGTTGCGGTACTTGCGGCCGAGTCGCAAAGCTTTGCCAATGGGCGTTAGCACGTTGAGACGCGCCGAGGCAAAGACATAGCTGCTGGGAAGAAGGTGTGATCTAGCTTGGATGAGGGGATCCCCGGTTGGCGGTGGTGGCTCACTCGTCTCGAGACGGATTTCCTGTATGCAACCAGTACTCATATCAGGATCGATGTATGCCAACCTAAGCTTTGAAATGAGAGGTTGCTAAGCGACTGTGATAGTTGGGCTCCCTGCCAAGTTTAGCTGTGAAGAGGTTCATCCTTCAAAGACTGACCAAAAATTTCTTGGCTAGGTGACATGTCGAACGACTTTTCGATTGTCGTTCATTCTGGATGCAGGGACAGCTCCAGATCCTCGTGTGTTTCATGGGCTAAGGCAGGGACTAGATACGCTACGCTCTATACCACGAAGCACAACTAGTTTCACCCATGAGTCGTTAGTTGTGCACAAGGTTTTGATCAGTACGAGCCGTTCCTGGTTCACGGATGGTCAAATCAAACGTGCGACATTCGATGCATGTTTACGCGCGTTATGTTGAGGAGCGTTTCTAGGTTGTTCCTGGAAGGGTCATTGGAGAAACGCATGATGAAAACGGCGCAGTGTAGACTCGTCCGAAACGCACAGCCGGTGGCACATTTGACGTGAACGCTACCGTAGCAGGAACGCCCGAAATTCGGCCCGGGCCTTTGTAGTGATATCAAATCGGCCGACTAAACCCAGCACGCAGCGCCTTGGAGGTAAGGCCCAGCCTAAACACGGTGATTTGCGTTCGAGAAGTCTCATGCGGTGGTATGGAGCCGAACGGGTGTCTCCATCTTGGAGGTGATCTAGTCGTTCGGGTGGAGTCGCAGAAGAGAGCACGTTGACCAGTACTGGCAAGCGGTGGATCATTCGGCTAAGGCTTCCGGTACCACCAAATTGCGCCGTTAAGACATATCAACATTTGTTTGTTTATCAGAGTCGAGACCTAGCGATTGTTCAGCAGGATTGCAGCGGCGACTGTTGTCAAAGGTCATTACATTCTTCCATGTTCATCGTTTAGTCAACGCCTCCCATCTAGATCCGTTTTGTCGTGCTGCTAAAGTACATGATGTAGGGTAATCGAGAAGCGGAGAGCCGGGATATGTCCAACACAATTATTTTACAAAGAAGGCTTCTTGGAAATCACCCCGGAGATATTCGCCTCTTCTTCGGGTTCATTGAGTTTCGTTAATCTACTCGAGAACACGCGTAACCAGACCAGTAGCAACAGTTCGGCCACCCTCACGCATGTTGAAGCGCTGACCGGTCTCTAGAACATGGGGCTGGTGGAGTTCGCAGACCATCTCGACGTTGTCACCGGGCATGACCTGCTTGTCGTGCGCGTCCTCGGTACCCTCGGGGAAGTGAAGTGCGCAGGATTCATCGGCAGTTCGAATGAACATTTGCGGCCTGTAGTTCTCGCCGAAGCCGGTGTGACGACCACCCTCCTCTTTGCTTAGAACGTACATGGAGACAAGGAACTTCTTGTGAGCCTTGACTTGTCCGGGAACGGAAACAACCATACCGCGGCGAACGTCATCACGCTTGACACCACGGAGGAGAAGACCGGAGTTGTCACCCGCACGCGACTCCTCGCACGACTTCTTGAAGGTCTCAATATCAGTGACCTTGGTCTTGATTGGCGCGGTACCCTTGCCGACAAGCTCGACTTCAGCGTCACGCTTCAAGATACCGCGCTCGACACGGCCCGAAACGACGGTACCACGTCCAGCAATCGAGAAGACATCCTCAACAGCCATGAGGAAAGGCTTCTCGGTCTCACGCTGAGGGGTGGGGATCCATGAGTCGACAGCATCCATCAGCTCGTCGACCTTGGTAACACCGATCTCGGGCTGGCGGCCCTCGATGGCGCATAGAGCGGAACCCATGATGATGGGTGTCTCGTCGCCCTCGAAGCCGTAGCTAGTGAGCAACTCACGCATCTCCATCTCGACAAGTTCCAGCATCTCCGGGTCTTCGACAGCATCGACCTTGTTGACGAAAACAACAATCTTCTGAACACCGACCTGACGGGCGAGCAGCAAGTGCTCACGGGTCTGGGGCATTTGACCATCGGAAGCAGCAACGACGATGATGGCACCGTCCATGTTGGCAGCTCCTGTAATCATGTTCTTGATGTAATCGGCGTGACCGGGGCAGTCGACGTGGGCATAGTGGCGGTTGTCGGTCTGGTACTCGATGTGGGCGGTCGAGATGGTGATACCACGCTTTCGCTCCTCGGGAGCCTTGTCGATGGAACCGTATTCGAGGTACTTGGCGTAGCCCTTCTCTGCTTGTCGCTTGGTGATGGCGGCTGTGAGGGTAGTCTATAACATGTTAGTCGTGAGGATGGCGGAGATGTGGGGTGAGCGGCGATGCACCTTTCCGTGGTCAACGTGGCCAATGGTACCTAGAAACCATTAGTATAGTCATAGACAAGCAGATTCGACGAGGCATACCGATGTTGACGTGGGGCTTGTCTCGAGTGAAGGCGGCGTAGTTCCGTACACCGTTCATCCACCTGCTGGTGCCCTGCGCGCCCAAAGCATTTTGCACTGGGGAAACGCCACGCTGGTACTGGAGAGCAGAGCGCGTAGTGCGCAGGAAAACTCTGGAAAAGCTCGACATGATTGACCCGATCACACGATGCGGAAAGAACAAAGGGATGCGATTGCTTGAGATGGCGATGATATCTGGAGATGGCGAGGCTCAAATCATTTTCTTAGCGCGAGATGGTAGCGCATCGTCCAATCATGTGAGGGGGAGATCCGAGCTCGACAACTTTGAGAAAGAGCGATGGAGCATTGCGGGCGGAAGACATTTGCCGGTAAATATATGTCAACTTTCAGACTGATATCTTCTCGGCCTTCCCACGTGCTCTCCCTCTGCTAGGATAGATCAATTGACGACTTGGTCGCCCTGTACCCGTCTTGCGCGACTACCCGAGGTTCGTCGGCAGAAGCTGTGAAAGTTGCATCATCGTCGCGCATTCATCTACACTCGCACACATGTCTCTCCGCACATTGACAAGAACACCGCTGAGCAGCGTCTCGCGGATAAGCACGACAAACGCCATGCCATTGCGCGCAAAGATCACAAATCCAGCCTGGATGAGCGGGTCAAGGAAGGTACAGCCGCCCCTCCAGCCCATTATCCGCGACCAGACCTAACAATTATACAGTACGCTACACCCACCGCAGACCTTCTCAAAGCGCAGCAAGACGACGACCCTGATGATGTCATCTTCACCAACAACTACGGCGTACGCAGCATCGAGCTCAACCGGCCGAAGAAGTTGAACTCGCTCAACGGTTCCATGGCCCGCAAGATCATACCGAGGTTACAAGAGTGGGCAAAGTCGGAACTGGCAGGCGTCGTTATAATCAAGGGCAACGGCCGCGCCTTCTGCGCGGGAGGAGACGTCGCTGCCCTGGCAAAGTGGAACAAGGAAGGAGCAAAGGGGCAGCAGATGAGCTCAGACTACTTTGGACTGGAATACAAGCTAGATCACCTCATCGCAACATACACAAAGCCCTATGTCGCCTTCATGGACGGTATCACAATGGGCGGCGGTGTTGGACTTTCGATACACGCACCCTTCCGAATCGCGACCGAGAACACCCTCTTCGCCATGCCCGAAACGACCATCGGCTTTTTTCCAGACGTCGGCGCATCCTTCTTCCTTCCTCGAATGGAAGGCGCTCTTGGCACGTACCTCGCCCTCACATCGGAGCAACTCAAGGGCGTGGACGCTTTCTACCACGGCATCGCAACCCACTACATCCACTCCTCCACTCTCCAGCAACTCGAGGCGCGTCTCGCCGAACTACAATTCCCCGACTACATGGATCTCCACAAACGCTTCAAGATCATCAACTCTACAATCGAAGAGTTCAGCACTGGCCTTCCTGCCGAGCGACCGCACATCTCGGGCGAACTGCGCAAGGTCATCGACACCGTCTTCCATGACGACCAGCCGGGTATCAGCAACATCATGGAATCGCTCGAGCAGGTCAAGACTGGGCACAATGACCCGGAAATCCAGAAGTGGGCCGACAAGACTATTCAGACTATCAACAGCCGGTCGCCAATCTCTGTCTCTGTAGCCCTCCGTCAGATGCGCATCGGTCGCCAATGGTCCATCGCGCAAACTTTCCAAAAGGAATACGACATCGCCTCCCGCTTCATGGCTCACCCCGATTTCGTCGAGGGCGTAACAGCACGTCTGGTGGAGCGCAAGAAGGAGCGTCCAAACTGGAAACCCAACACTCTGCAGGACGTTAAGAATAACGACGTGGATGCTTTCTTTGCTGGAAGTGATGGAGCGCCATTGCCTCTGATTAGCGAGACAGACTACAAGGAGTACCCTCACGCGTGGATTGGACTGCCGAAGGAGGGAGAGATTCTGAGAGAAGCTAGTGGACAGAAGAGAGAGGATGTTGTTGCTAAGCTATTGGAGAAGTATGAGGGAAAGCAGGGCGTGAGGGAAAAGATTGCGGAAGTATTGGAGAGGTATGCATAGTATGGTAAAAGCATAGCTATCGACCCTGCGTTTTTGGAAGCAGTGTGAATATGAAACATCATATTGAATGGATCTTGCGTTCGTGGCCACCTGTCTGAACTACGAGAACTTTAACTCACTTCTTCTCGGTGTCTTCCTGCTTTTTCTATCCAGCATATCACTGTCGAATATAGGGTTTCTGTCGGAGCGACGAAACTTCCACTTTAAGCGTTATCTTTCACAGTCAAGTGCTCTAATAGACTTGATCGTTGATACGGATCATGACATCATCGATGATTGGACAGTCAGAGTATCTTCTTGTCATAGTACAGGCCACACGCACTTGCTCATATCTTCCGGCTCTCGATCTTCCGTTCAACTTTCACATGAGTTCCAGGAGATAGTGAGAGCAGCAGGAGAACGCACGTAGAGAAGCAGAATTCACGCAAGACACATCCTGTTCTAAACAACCAGCATCTGACAGGAGCGCGGAGAATTTTACGTAGCACACTCCAAATCCCCCTGAAAACTCGATACTGGTCAAAGAACGCCCTCTAACCCCTGCCAGTCTCCTTACATGATCCCCAACTAGTATTTCCACGAGGAAGCGATTAACGAACCAGTACAGAATCTATGAGATGTTGAGATATAGCGACCGCGTATTAGACATGGCCACTAGCAATGTCCGAACAGCAGACTCGGAAGCACTCAAGATCTAGGGCAGCTGTTACAGAGATGTGATCAGATTCCTATGTACACAGGAATGGGGAGGGACTGTAGGATGGGCTATTGTTGGCCTATTCCGCGGCGGGACATCAGACAACTGTCACGAATGACCGGCCATTATTTGGATCCGATCGCCTGACGCAGACGATGCGTTATGGGGAGTGGAGAGTCAATAAAGCGTGGTCAACATAGCCGGTAACGCTTTATCTATTGAAACCATGTACTTAATCGCATGGGAGATCGGAGGCGAAGAAGAAGTCGATGTATGTATGCGGGCGTATGAAGGGATACCCGATATGGGAGCTTCCACCAACACCGCGATTGTGAATGAAGGCGGTAAGACTTTGGATGAATTAATTGACTCGACAGGCCGGAAAACAAGACGCAAAGGTCCGGGAAACTACCACTGCCATGTCGTGGTAGATTTGACGCAAGGTAAGCCAAGCTACGAAAGCTCAAGAAGGAATCAGACATGAGACCAAAAGAATGCTAAGCAACGGTTTCGGAACAGTATGCAAGATGGTTCGAAGACCACTCAGGTGTCGTCGAATTTGAGAAGAAGGCATTTGCCAGATCATCCAAGAGTTTCAGAGTATCATTGACGACGAACCGTCCTAGATCTCATGTGCAAGTCTACAAGTTCGACCTGCTAGGAGGAACTTGCAACAGTCACCAGAAATAGTCTCACCATGATGGCTCATGGATATGCGATCAAGAGCGCATTCTTGGACATACATGCCAGGACCAATGCCACAAACATGACGTACGCCCACGGCCTTCCTCGGTAATACAAGAAGATCGGTATCACCTTTGTCGCTGCTGCCGTCGTTGTAGCTCATTGATACATACCAATAGCTTCAAGAGAGTTGTATACGTTGCAAATTTCTGGATCTTTGAACTTACAATGCTCATGTGAAAAGGCGTCGTGCGGCCAGATACCACGATGGAGTTGGTTAATGTGTCTCCGGCCGGCTCTTTCGCTAACCTCCAAAGCTGCGGAATGTTAATGCTTTATTTTGCTGTTCGTGGCGTTTACATCTTTGCGAAACTGTAGCCACACTAACCCAGGATTGGGTGTTCGGAATCATCCTCGATATCAAGGCTTCGAGCTTGACATTCATCCATCCGGGAAAGTGAATTCGACGTATCAGATCGCCATAATGGCATACGTTGTCACGACTCAGGTCAACTGCGCAGAATGCCGCGTGCTGTATCAGTATGACTTTTCCCATATCTCCGCTCACGATCGCTACACCTCCCTCGCAAACACCTCTCCGAGGCCAAGCAATATGTGCTGTTCGAAGGACCAGAGCCAAGCCCAGCCCACAGAACACCACCAACAACGCCCAACGGTCTCGTACTCGGCCGCTACTTCCATATCCGGCGAACCGGCGCCGAGAATGTTGCATGCGCGGGTCGCCTCGCAGGTCAGCGTCGCTCCACGGATCCGGAATTTGGGTGGTCATCGGCCCATCTCCGCATCTGGTGGCGTTTGCTCGTGGCGCTCAACAACTCAGCTGAAGGGAAAAGCTTGGCTTGCACGTCTAGCTGGCGTTTGTACTTGGATGAACGCTGTAGATGAAGATGCTAAGATGGATGGTAGTATTGGAGGCTTGGATCCGATGGATGTGACTTGGGGTGAGGGGGTGAGGGGTACGGCAAGGCTGAGATAAGGTTGTTGGTAGGTTTGGGAGAGCCGAGCGCGAAGTGGGGCAAGGACGAAAGGCTGCAGTGGAAAGAGCGTAGGAACGGCCGCTACCTGATATGGCAAGTGGTCTCAGCAGAGACGACACAGCAGTTCAGCACATAGCAATATGTTCGCGACATGAGATGGAAGAGCATTCCCATATTAGATTGGTAAAAATGGAGCATTTTGTTGAGCCTAACATTACATCCAACACACCCGTTGAGATGTGCACCAACCCATCGTAGAGCATTATTGCATTAAACATCAAACATTGAAGAGTATTTACTGGTCCTTACTTTCCCAACCAAGCGACTAGAACAGTCCCAGACCAAGGCCTGCAGCTCCGAGGAGTAAACCTGCGATATGCCCTGTTGGCAACGCACCACCTCCAGTGTACTCAGACATCGAACTCTGAGGAACAGATGAGCTGCCTTCCGAAGTGGTAGTCGAGCGCGTAGACGTGCGGCTTGATACGAGGATTGAGGATTGAGGGGCAGAAGGGGGTGCTTCCAACGAGGAAGAAGGTTCGATGACGGTCGATGGTTCAGGGACCGTTGATGGCTCGGGAGGTGGAGGCAGGGCGGACGAGGAGGGGATGGGAGATGGCGATGGACCTTCAGACGCGGAGTCAGCAATGCTGCTTGACGGAGGCGCGATACTTGTTGGTGGGAGCGCAACGCTGGATGGTGGGATAACAGTACTAGATGGCAATGGCGCTTGGCTACTAGGTGGTGCGGCCACGCTTGATGGAGGTGGTGGCGAGCTGCTAGGAACTGGGATTGCGCTGGAAGAAGGAGGTGAAGGGGGTGGCCTACTTGAAGTTGGGGGAGGTGGTGGCGGCACTGAACTTGGGGGAGCAGCACTGCTCGTTGGTACTGGGCTTGTAGTGGCTGGAGCTTCAGAAGATGGCAAAACCTGGGACTGTGCTGTCGGCTTGCGGACTGTTGCTGTTGACAAACCTGCAACAGACGTGACATAAACGGCAGTCCCGACTGTAGATTGGATACCGTCGACTGTGCTTCCGTCGATTGGATCACATGCGCTTGGGCCAATCGACTGTCCAAGTTGAGCGATAATTGTCGGCTGCTGATTGAGATAGCTGACTACCGTGGGCGCCACAAATGCTGTGTCAAGGACCTCGCTCAAGGGAACAATGAGAGATGCGTAATTTGTGGGAGCTGGCAAGGTCAAAGTATCTGTCTCAGTCACGCAAACTGTCCCTACCGCCTCCACCTCGAGATGGCTAAACGTTTCATAGGCTGCGTAAGTTGTGGGATAAGTCAAAGTTACACCAGAGTAAGTCCATACGAATGTTGGAGACGCTTGAGATGGCAGTGGGTTGGTGACCACAGAAGAGCTGACTGGGTTCGAGAACCTATCCGTGTAGATCTCAAGGGTGACCGTTGGAACGGATACGGTACTGGTCACGACCGCTCCAGGGTACTCTAACCTGGTCGCAGTGACATCGATCTGACATTGACTAGAGCACGAGATAGATGCAGGCGTCGTGGACGTGGAGGTTGGTGTCAATGTCTGCACAATCGTCGTGGGCTGCACTTGAGTGGTAACGAATGACTGTGTGATCAGGATAGTAGAGACCGAGACCGTCGCAGGTAAGGTTACAGTAGATACCGAGGTCGAGCCGGGAAGGGAAATAGTGCTCAAAACTGTTGATCCTGGTAAAGTGACAGTTGCTAGTTGGGTAGTTGTCGAAACACTTCCTGGCAATTGACTAATCACTGTGGAAGTGACAGCAGGCAGAGTTACCGTCGAGAGGATAGTGCTGGCTGGTAGCTGACTAGTCACGATGGAGGTTTGTCCAGGTAGCTGGATCGTGGAAGTGACTACATCACCCGGAAGCGTTACTGTCGAGATTACAGTGCTCGCGGGAAGTTGGGTAGTTATCACAGATGTAGTTCCGGGAAGTTGGACAGTCGATGTCGTGATCTCGCCAGGCAGCGTCAGTGTCGAAACTACGGTACTCGCGGGAAGTTGAGTCGTGACCACGGAAGTAGTTCCTGGAAGCTGGATTGTGGAAGTGACAACATCGCCTGGTAGCGTCAAGGTAGAAACCACAGTACTCGCAGGAAGTTGAGTAGTTATAACGGATGTAGTGCCCGGAAGCTGTACGGTGGTCGTTGTGATGTCGCCAGGTAGGGTGATGGTAGAAAGCACAGTACTCGCAGGGAGCTGCGTCGTGAACGTTGTCGTACTTCTGGGAAGAGTCAAAGTTGTGGTAGTAATCTGACCTGGCTGTGTAAATGTCTCTATCACGGTCTCAGGAGGCGAGACGCTGACAGATGTCACTGTGACCTGCGGAAAAGTGAGAGTCGACACGATCGTTGATACTACCGTGCTAGGCGGGAGCTGAGTTGTGATTGTTGAAGTCTCACCCTCGAGGGTGGTCGTAGTCACGATGACTTGTGGTGGCAGGGTCAGAGTGCTGAGTGAAGTGGACACCTCGGTTACTGTCTGAGTAAGAGTATCCGTCTCTTCAACTGTCGTGGTAACGGTGTCGGTCTCTTCAACAGTCTGCGTGGGGCCTGGAGTTGTCAGGGTGAAAGTTCGATCAGATATCAAAACCACAGTTGTTGGCAGAGTCTGCGTGAACGTAGTCGTGATCAACACTTCGGAGGTGATTGTCTCGGTACTAGTGATTGTGGTACCAGATTGAGTAAAGGTAGTCACAACCAACTCTGTCGTTGTTGAAGTTGACACCGAAGTGGATATACTAGTTGTGAGAGAGGTTGTCGTTATGCTGATCCTCTCAGTTGTCGTTGTCGGCTGGAAACTGATTATGGTCTCAATTGGTCCAGGTACTGATACCGTCTCGACAGGCCCAGGCACTGATACTGTCTGTACTGGTCCAGGGACTGAAACTGTCTGCACTGTAGTCTCTGTTGGGCCTGGAACTGACACCGTCGGTCCAGGAACAGTTGACGTCACAGAAATGTAGTCAGTCAGGGTAAGCGTTGCCGTGACTGTAGAGACGACTGTCTCCGTTGTGACGGAAGTGGTTCCCGGTAGTGTCAGCGTACTAGTCTCGTAGAGTGTAGTAGAGTAAGTGGTGACAGAGGTGTATGTGGATGTAGAAATGCTGACCGTCGTAGAAACGTCAGTTTGCGTGGTTGTGGTGGTGTCGCTCTGGGTTATGGTGTCGATTTCTGTGGTGGTATCGGTCTGCGTAGTGGTATCAGTTTCCGTGGTGGTATCAGTTTCTGTGGTAGTATCGGTTTCCGTGGTTGTATCGGTCTGCGTGGTGGTATCAGTTTCAGTTTTAGTTTTGTAGTCGGTGGTCGTTGTGTAACTGATTTCAGTAGTTGGGACCAGCTGTAAGCATGTTAGTGGATTCAAGCGACTTGCGGTTCGACAGAGAGGCGGCAGGTCGAATGATTGGGACAATCAAGCGACACCATGGCATGTGATCGGTATGGGTAGAGCGCCAACAAGCCAAAGGAAATTCCTGGAGACTACTTACTGTGACCACTGTCGAAGTCAGTGTCAGCGTTGTGAGCTGAGTTATGGTGTTGTTTATTGTTGTCGTGGGCCCCGTAACGGTTTCATGCTCGGTCTAATTCGTTAGTGATGACCTGAATTATTGCGAGTAGGGAAAGTACCTTTGTGATGGTAGAGTTGTTCACCTGAGTCACGGTCACGGGGGGCTTAACAGGGCAATACGCTGACTCAGTAACAGTTTTGGTCTTTCTCAGTCAGTATGTGTTCAAGTGTAACTCAATGGCAATAATACCTTTGTAGTAGTCATGGGAGGTGGATTTGCGCAGTATCCAGGAGAAGTGACCGTAATATAACCAGACTTGGTAGTTGTGACAGTTATCGTCTTGGGGGGAGTGTTGTACCCATCAGATTTGGTGACTTCCTTTGTAGAAGTGACAGTGATTGTCTTTGGTGGGGAAGGATTGTTTCCGGCAGATTTGGTGACTTCCTTCGTAGACGTGACTGTGACAGTTACAGGATACCCAACACCATATCCTTGCGACGAGGTGACAGTCTGGGTTTTGGTGACCGGCTTGGGACATGTCTGAGGCGAAGTGACAGTAACTTTGATAGTGGAGGTGGAAGGCTTTCCATATTCGTATATCGTGCTCGTGGTCTTGCAAGTGCTGCCCTGGCCATACCCTCCACCTTGCGCCTGGAAAGTCTCCTCAGCAGCTTCCGCTGAAGATGAGGGCGGCGATGGCGTGGCTTGGGCACCCAGAACTGTACTGTTATATTGGCCGCGAGCTGACCTGGTCAAAGCCAGAAGGAGAGGCCAATAAGTGCGCATCTTGAAGCGACAGACTGCTACGCTGGTTGAACGAATGACACACGGCTTGGAGCTGGACAAGTCAGTTAGACACGTGATGGGGTTTCCAGAGGGATTGAAGCGCTATATAAACAAAGGTCCATGCTCTCTGCGACAAAGTGGATGTAGCGCTGTTCGCGGAGAGATGCCTTCTTCTCCAATTAGAATAGTATAAAGATCAAGAATGAAAAGAATGGGGTACCAAAGGGAGCATCACATACCTTGCGACGGAAGATGGGCTGGAGGCTCGGGAAGGGGAAGCAAGTAGGCAGGAACGGGTAACTATAAAACGATGACGAAGCTAACAACCGGCCTGCATATGACGGCAGCATCTAGGCATACGAATTCTTTGGCGAGGCTGAGATTACTCGAGCTTCGACAGTGATCCTGTTCACTAGGGTGTGTACACACAAGGCCGGAAGCAGAACAACCAAGCCGAAGGCATAGATCTACCTGACCGCTTGCCATTCAAGAACGCCCGGGCTTGGTCGCAGCATCGAAGTAAACCCAGATTGCCTAGACCTTTTTTAAGCAATACAGCCGGCACGACTGAATGGTGAGAGGTTGCCACCAAAGCCAGAGCCGCAGAATAAGACCACAAATGTCTTGGTGGATACCCGAGAGGTAGTGTCGCATCCGGTCCACAAATTGACAATGGCCGGACGGCCGTAGGTAAGGCGGGACGTTATCCTACCCAGAGGTCTGGAGCAAAGTTGAAAATCCCATCCATAGTGGTCCCATCCATGGCGATTGCTGACATGGATACATGTGAGGCCGCATAAAGCTAGCAAGCTCCCTCGTATAGACTAGTGTCCTGCAGCCCATAATCGCCAGCGATAGGCTCTGGCGCCAAACAAAATCCTGGTGAAGGCAGTGTTCTGGGGGCCGAAACGAAGAGTACGCTGGAAGTAGAAGGGCGGCCCTTACACTGATCCACTAGTATCGAACGCCACACTCGCACTGGCTACACGACCCTAGCATGATAGCCTCTATGAACGCGTCTTTTATAGGGAGTGGTTGTGCAGGGTGACAAGAAGAGTGACTGTGATCAGTGCATGATGCAAGGTGTGGGTGGAGGTGCATGCACGTGAGAACCGAGGGCCGTGCTCTACGGGACAGTGGGGCAGCGGCTTGCACGATTGGGCTGCTGGCTCCCGCTGAGTAAGATCATCGAGCGGCCCTAATGACTGTATCCAGTCAAGCTTCAACGCCTTTCCGCGGGCTGTCAAGGCCTCTCTCGAGGTTCGCCTTTCCAGCCATCTCAGCATGCAGCCTTTCTGCGGCCTTGCTCAACAGCGATTCCCATCCAAGCTCTCGATGGAATGCCTGTCGCGATCCCGCTACACTGAATGTTCCCCCAATAGGACAACAGATGGCGCCCACACAACCTGTGCCCCTTCACCGGTGTCGCCATGTCCAGTCACAGTGTGTCTTTTCCACAGGTAATATGCAACCTCAGGGCGCCCTGGCGATACCGTGCCTCTACCCCGCCTGAGGTACGGGCGTTTTTACATCCACAATAAGCAGACGGGCTTGACGCGCCTGTGACGGCCAGGCGAATCGATGTTTAACCGATCCAAGCAACGTGGATGAGGACGTTCAGACTATTGTTTATTGAGTGCTGGTGTGCACTGCCTAAGAATGTTGCGGCTCAATCTCAGTACTGCCGCACCTCCAGCTCCAGCTGACCTAGAGTCGAGGCTGCGGCTAGTTAATTGTAGTAGTGACATGGTGTTGGTGTTGTACACGGCTTGTGCTTCTTATCTCTGATCCTTTCCTATCGACCCATCATTCATCAACCCGATCAACAACCGTTATGCTCAAATTGCTACGATGCTCTTTATGAAGCGTGCCGATCCGATCCAGCTTCCGCCAACGCCATATGTTTTGAGTCCAAGCGGAAAGTTTGAAGGCATTGACGGAAGTTGGTCAACATTCTTCATCAACGTTGGCGACGATGGCAAAAACAACAGCAACGGCCAGAATTTCAGAGTCCTCATATCCACGTCCTCACCAGCCACCCTAATACCGCAAGAGACTGATTGGTGTAATGAGCCCAATGTCGAAGACTGCGCAGCGAGTCGCGGTATCATGCCGTTTGACGGCGCTCAATCATTGGGCTTCGATGACACCAAATCTTCCACATGGCAGGCCGCTGGAACATACACAATACCCTTACCGCCATGGTTCAACAAAAGCGAACTGAATGGCGATGCAAGCGCGGTATGGGGCACGGATAACGTGGGCTTGGGTGAATCCTCGCCACAAAGTACCATGCTCTCGCAACAGTACGTCTTGAAGTATACGCTTTCGAACTTCTTCATGGGTTCATTGGGATTGGCCGTCGGCTCAACCGGTCCTCCAAGCGCACTCAAGCCGAACTTCATTGATAATTTTTACGGAAGCGCACACAAGATCGCGAGTCGCTCATTCGGATACACGGCTGGCGCTTACTATCGTAAGTACATCTTGTGGCGTACACTTCTATGATTGCCGCTGTCACAACGTTTCTCATTTTTTGTCAATGCTAACGCGCTTAGGTAACAACCACGGAGTACTTGGAAGCTTAATATTGGGTGGTTACGATAAAGCACGATTGTCTGAGCAGGGCGTCGAGATAGGCATGCCTAGTGTACAGGACACGACGCTCGCTGTTGGCGTCAACTCCATCCTTTACAGGCCAGACCAGGGTACCGACACCGATACCAGATCTATCACAAACCAAAGTTTCCCCGCCGTCATCGACTCTACCCTCCCATACCTCGTCTTGCCTGACGAGGTTTGCGATCGTTTCGTTATCGAATTCGGCCTAGGGTTTGACGACTTTAGTCAACTGTTCACTGTCAACGACACATCTCACGAACAGAATCTTCGATTCAACGCGACTGTATCGTTCAAAATCAGCGCCAACGCCAATACTGACAGCGCGAAGTTCACTTCCATCGTTCTACCATACTCCGCGTTAACTCAACAAGCGGGCTTCCTGTTCTTCACCAATGAAACGCGATATCTTCCCATAAAGCGAGCAGGAGACGGACAATCTGTCTTGGGACGCACGCTGTTGCAGGAAGCGTACCTTGTTGTTGATTATGAGCACCAGAACTTCACTATTGGTCCAGCTGTATTCTCTGATCCGATGCCAACCCCAAGCCTTGTCACTATCTTTGACAAATCCTTTACTGGGCTGCCTGTTCCGAACAACCCTGACTCTGGAGGTGGGCTCTCAGCTGGTGCGATTGCTGGAATCGTTGTTGGTATAGTTGGCGCCTTCATCATAGTTGCCATCGGCGTCTTCTTTTTGTGGAGAAAACGCCGGCAGGCGAAGAAGGAGAAGGCTAAGGAAGAAGCGGAGAAGCCCTCCGAGATTGACACAACTTATGCAGGCACTGAGATCAAACATCGCCGTATCTCAGAGCTTACTGGTTCCGAAGCTCTCCAGTCACCGAAAGACTCTACAACTGGTTACTACAACGCTGATCACAAGTCTATCCCCCCTATCAGCGAACTGTCACCCGAAAGCACTCCTGCCGAGCTTTATAGTCCTCCACCCGAAGGCCGTGAAACTGTCGACTATTTTGCCGCTGGTAGGACGCGACACCAGGGTGGGCCCAGCGATCGCGGCTCGTCCGGCAACAACACACCGCGCACGCCAATTGCAGAACTCCCTGGTGAAGATGCGATAAGCTCCTTGCCCAAAAAGAACGAAGACCCGAAACCGTTTCAGAAACCTCCGCACAGTCGAAGTCCGAGCGACAATTCACTTTCCACTAACATCGATGAAGTATTGGCGAAGAAGAACGCGTCAGAAGCGGAGCCTGGTACTGATGCGGCCAACTCGGAAGCAGAGCCTGGTGCGCCAGCTACTGCGGAGGAGATTGCTAGAGCGAAGGCAGGAGCACAAGCTGGAAACACTGAACATGCGGAGGAATCTACAATGCATCGACGGCCGTCACACACTAGGGGACTGAGCGACACGACTATCCAAAGCGACAGCACAGCGGTCTCACAGCCAACACCTGAAGAGCTAGAACGCTGGCGGAGAAGTGAAGACGACCCGAACAGACCGATGTCACCAGCTTGAAGGTCGACATTTTGGGACACCGTGGTGACTTCTTGATTGCACGTTCTTCCTGTTGTTCTGGATGGTTGATTGCTTCGTTTCATGCCTTTTGGCTCCTTACCATTCTCACCCGAAACTACGACATTTCCAGTTCAATTCTTGATCTTTCTTTGGTGGCTTTTATCACGATTGGACGATTGGGATACCCACTAGTACACTCTTTATGACTGTAATGTAATAGTACATCGTATTGCTATCTTTGCGCAGCACACAAAGTTCACAGCATCAGCACCTTTCATTAATTTTCCGACGTCTCACAACAATCGAACGCTTTTTCGTAGTACGCATTACGATTTCCATGCAGTACAGCATCGTAAAAACAGTACTGCATCTGCAGCCTCACTGTACAATATCGTATGCTCTCCACACCAGTGGCTGCATCCTAGAGAACGGATCTTCTAGCTTCCGACATGTAGGAGCGGTAGAACACTACTGAAGATCCTCAATATGCGCATCACTCCTATTTGACTCACTGCGGCAACGCCAAATTGCCGCGTTGCTCGCAGTAAGGATCGTCGCTGCATGCGCATTCACGTTGGCCTGCGCACATGGTGGAAGCATCAGAACCGTATCTACTATTGATGTCGCTATTTTGACAGCAGCGCGAGGACGCGGGACTTATCGATATCACTCATAGAGGTATAAATCGAATTTCCACCTTCGTATACCTTTTCAGACAACAATGAAAATGTCTCGTCACCAACAATGAGGCTCAGCATTCCCCATCCTCCATTATGTCGAAAGAGGAAGGCGCGCGCACATGGGATCGCAGTATACGCTACCGTTCTTTGTTACCAGTCATTCGAGCGGCTGGCTAAAGTACCGTGCAGTAGCCCCGCATACGACTTACGTGAGAAAGCGGCACGGGTCTGGATCGTGAGTGAGAAGCGAAAAGAAAGCATTTTGGGGGCTGTCACACAGAACACGGGTCGCATATTGGGTGCAATGGAAAGCAAAGTCAGCCCGGTATGCCATTGAGCGATATTTACGTGGCAATTCTCCATAGTCATACCGATCGCATGAGCGAGTTGTTGAGATGGTGCTTGGGCTTAGGTTGGTGGTGGGCATGCGATGACTCTTGCGATGAGCAGAAACACCGCACGTGTAAGCCTGCCCGGACAGCGTTCGTGTAAGCAACGTAGTGGCGGGCGTTCATACAAGTCGGCATATATATTGCAAGTACGAGAGTTGCGTCTTGGCGTGCGGGCTGCTCAGTGGACGAAATGCGATGCAAAGCCAACATAAGATCGGAGCGCCAATAATTACATGCTCATTCGTATTGACGTCCTACACATGATATGCAGCTTGCAATGACGTCGTGCTAGAGTAATTGGAATTGCAACGACTACGCCGCAATAAAGTACTTATCGGCCGTCGATCTCTTTCGCATTGCCGGCCGTGGTGTGCATCGAGTTGCCGCTATTGATGCGGGTACCTAGCCGGGAGCACCGCCCTCTTGGGATGTACCCGAGGTTTCGCTGCTTGCTGCCGCTAGAGAACTGCAGGTCCATAACACGGCAACCTCGTGATCATGGGTGAAAAATTGCGCCACGCTCATGCGCAATATAGCATCGGCTACAAATTCATTGAGTTGTTATGTTTGGTCTAGCCACTGCATGACGTGGAGGCAGAACTAGGGATTAATCCTCGTCTGGGACTTGTTCGTCGACTGCGCTACCCATCTGAACGGCATACTTTGTGCCTTGTAGTTGCAAAGAGAAGGGCTGTGGCGTCTCGCCATGGGAAGCGGAAGATCTCATAGGGGTAGGCTCTTGTTGAGGAATGACTGTCGGCTGCTGTAATGTAGATGACGTGTTCATCAAAGGTCCAGAACTCTGTCCTTGGCGTGTAAGATTTGCGAACAAATCCCATGTTGGAACTTGGTCGAGAAACGACAGAGGCCACTGTACAGCAGGTATCCAGTTTTGATCGATGACCTTCTGACATGCCTTCATCACACGATGGCCCCAGTCCTCCATGAACCAGTATCGAGGCTCAGCTGCAAGAAGCACAACCGCGTAATGCATCAGAATTGCGATAGCGCCTGATCTCCGCTGTCGAAGAGATTCCATAAATTCTGGGTCCAAGTGGAGAGGCCAAAAGAACAGGAAACGAAGCTCTCGGTTATCGACCCGAGGAGGTAACGATATTTGAAGAGCTGGTTCAAAGTATGCCATGGTTGTGAGATACAATTTTCGTTCAACCTCCGGAAGATCGGTCTTGCTTCTGATAAACGCAGCCAGTGCAGGCAAGTGGTCCTTCAAGTCTTGTAGCATTGGTTGAGATGCAGTAGGTTCTGTCGGATCTCTCAACATAGGGCCGACAAAAGACTCTCTCACTGTGGCCTGAGCTAGCGCAAGAACATGTCCCATACCCTGCATAAGATGGAAGGCATTCATGATGCTACAGATGCCGTCTACTGCTGCAGTAGTGGGTGCGGACTGAGCCTCAAATCCTGTTGAAGCAAAGACGCTTAGAGTAAGAAGCGTTGACGTAGCTACAATCGCCGGAGCCTCTTCGTTTGTAACGTTATGGAGCCTCTCGCGGACACCTCGAATCGCAAGATCCTGGTGGTGTATACCGCAAGCGTAGTATGGCTGGCGTTGATCTGAAGGCTGTTGGTACGCCTTGTGCAGCGCGGCAAAGGCTAGAATCTCATGCATAAAATAGTCGTGCGCGTTGGCGTGTTTAGGAGCCTCTATTCGCCACATGTTTCGAATATCAGGTCTCTGAGATAGCCCATCGAACGCCTCCGTTGTCCAGTGATGTCTAAAGATAATTGGTAACAATTCTTGCCCAAGCTAAGCCGACTTACAAGAGCTCCAAGTCTCGCAGCCATAGTGAAGACTGAGACGGTTGACCAGCATGTATATATCTAGACAAGAAGGGGTATGCATCAGAGTCGGAGGAATCCTCCTCCGATATTGTCGACACGGCCCTTGCTCCGGCTGCGATCGACGGGTTACGCGAGTAGCCTGTATGAACGGCAGGCGTTGAAGATGCCGAAGAGTCCTGTTACACCAATGAGAAAAGCTCTAGTATGCGAAGAGCCAGTTTGTGGGTCGTACAGCTATGGATCGTTCGGGCGGTGACTGATTCGTACGTCGCGATGAAGAGGCTGCGGAAGATGCCGAAGCGGTAGGCTGGTATGTATTGGGATCCCATACGACGAGGCTACACGGGACGCCATGGCGAGCGCAATTGGTGCACGGCTTGAGTTCATCACACTGAGCTACTTCAGTATTGACTTTATATAAGCATGCAGTGCTTGATTAAATATGATACACCCTACCTTAACGTGACGAGCTTTGCATTGTCGGCAGCCTAACCGTGATCTATAAGAAGGAACTAGGTTAGACAAGAGCACATGGAGAGCTTGACATATCGAACGTGGACGAACGAGGATGCAACGGCTTGATGTTACTGATTTGTGGATGGCGATTGGTAAGGGTGGGGTGACGGTTACGGACTTTTTGTGGCCGAGGCGTGGCATTGCAGCGGGCTACGTGACCGAAGACCAAAGCTTTGGGCCTCCACGATGAACCGACCGATCAGGCTATCGTCGCAACGGACCGTCTCGAAGTCTTCCCAAGCCGCAGGATGAGGGATAACGCGAATGCGATGTGAGGTACGTGGACGATGCTTTCGTTGGTGGGTCGGGAGAATCTTCTCACGCAAGGATGATCCCACACTATACCCAGTTCAATCAAGACAGTATCGAATCAAATCTTCGCTTGAGTGGGTAGAGCTCGCATTCGCATTCGAGAGTTCGTAACAGGATAGATATAGCTTCCAAGATTGAGGTGGCCGTCGTCGACATCGCCGTTCAGTGGGTTAGTGCGACATCCGCCTCGTTCCGCACTTGACGATCCGTCTCAAATAATCGCGCGCTCGCCATCATAAATACAGCTCCATCTCTGCGGCGCCATCGTTGTGTGTAAACTCCAATCAAGCGTGCGATAGCAACGTCATTAACCATGATGACTGGAAGATAATGCCTTGGAACTTATGTAGGTAGTGCTTTCTCGCGGAACCACGGCACACTCGTATGCATGGCGCCCATGCTTTTTGCGATCTGGAGGGATGGACGCCAAACGCAAAGTGCGAGACAGGAGCCTAGAGCTGGCCGCACACAAGAATTCGTACAATTCAGAGTTTCAACGGACTCACCTTTAATATTTCATCAAGGTAAATGTTGGAGTCATCTTTATCTGCCAGCCATGTTCAATTTGCAAGCCGCTTGGTGTTCGGTAACCTCGAAGATCAGGTAAGGTTCCCATTTGTTTTTCTTGATTAGCATCAGGCTACGGCAATATTGAAGAGGAAGCGTAGGCAGACACAAGATGCGCCGATAACATGATTCTGGGTCGACATCGATGAGGTAGAGGTGGTCAGCCTTGGGCGCTCCAGCCGTCGAAAGGGTCATCAACAGCACTGTTTCGAACAGCAGTAATGATGAGCTCTTCGGATATCCTGGCCGTCCGGCAATTCACATGGTAGCGGCTCTGAGCAGTCCGCTCTTATTGGCTATCCATCTCACAGAAAGGCCTCTGACAGAAGGTACTGGTGACTTGGAAAAAGACATCAGTCACACTCATCATGCTTAAAGAGGTTGAGTAGGCGATTGCCAACAGGCTGAACATGAAGCTGGCTTCTCGGTTCTTCAGAATTTATCTATAAGCCTACAAGCACGCCACGATTGCTGATTGGGATACTGATAACTCTACCAAGGTTAGTGAAGTGCGAGCCGCGGTTGGGTTTTGTGGCTTTTCATGCCACGATGAGACAAAGATGAGTGGAAATGCATCACCCGTGTAAAAGCTTTTTCGAATTCTTCTCCTTTTGAAAACCCAAACAGTGCACAGCATATCGCTACTTATCGCGATTACAACGTCGAGCCATCTTCGCTGGCCATCCCCGACCGATTTTCACGATGTCTCAATCTGAAAGGGAAGAAAATTGCGACTCGCAGTACTTTCACAATGCCGCTCAAATAGGAGAGGGTATTCTGAACAGGGTGAAGAAGTCATGTTGTATCGCTGGGTATGCTCGCTTTCGATCTAATACGACCCCTGCTACCTTCATGCCCACAAGCAAATCACCACGACGAAACGGCAACGCCAATCAACCGGGAACGATTTTGCGAATATATCCAAGGACGGTAATTCACAACACGCGTTTTGTATGTCTTTGAGTAGTGCAAGGAAAACCTCCATCAACTTGACTGCAGATGTTATTGATGAACTTCGAAATCTTTCCGTTGTGGGAGATAATTCCGGTGAGGGGATTGACGACGAAGAGAATACAAATTTCGACTTGCTGGACGACCCTGATGAAGAAGACTTGGAGATCGTCTTCGGATACCACGTTGACCTCATTACCCAAGAGAATCACCACGAGCGCAAACCGATCTACACGCGCGGACTGTTGAACGATGTCAAACTATTTGTCGACCAGATACGTGAAGGGTTTTCTATAAGACCTGATCAGAGAGGCTTTCAAAATCTATATGGTTACGGGCTTAATCACAATGGGTACAAGATCTGGCGATTGGACAACAACAATCGTAACTCTAACTTCATCAAGGTTGAATATCTTTCCCGGGTAGAGATGCATCCTGAATTCCAGGATCGATATGGTATACATTCTGACCAGATCAAAGCCCTTCGAGAGTACAACAAAGATAGTAAAAATGACTGCATCGACACACCATACACGTTCATAACCTTCCATCGGCAGTCCTTGAATGAACACCAAAATACTGCTAAGATGCAAGAATATTGGGCAGCCATGATGCACACGAAAAGACTCTGGAAAGAGAGCTCTTCAAGGAGGAAGCTTCGTGAAGACTTCGAGGAAACAGCTAAGAGATGTGCACCGATTACGCAGGTCGTTTGCTTTGGACTGGGTGCGCTGAATCTGAATAAGAAGTTTTATCATTCGGCTATTCAGTACATGGCCGTTTTCAGCATCATGCAAACTCTGAATGAGTTTTACCGCAAAGCTGACCCGGATCGGCCTGCGATAAGGCTTGTACTACAAGACCCCAACTATGAGATTAAAGATCATCGAATTTTAAAGAAATTATCCAATGATGGCGATAATATCAGCTTCGTATGCGATCCAGAAGGTCTCCTAGCGATCGACGCCGGTACACTAGTAGTCACGGCTTTCCTCCCCGTCCAGATGCCACTGGTTCAAATCATAGCGGACTTGTTCTCGGAAGACCCAACTGAAGGTCCAGCGGCCATGATATGCGATATCATGACAGTCGACATCGAGAAGCGAGAATACTCATTGAGCGATCGCGCATCACCAGCGGTCGCACGATTCCTCACAAACCATTATGAAAAAGCGGAAGATGGTTTCGATGACCATGGACTCGAGGATGAGCTCATGGCGGATGCATATGGAGACGACTGGGAGAATAGGTATTATTGGTTGAATTGGATGGATCTCTGGGTACGAAGAATCGACAAAAATTAGAACCATTCTGTAGATAGCGAGTGAATAGTTTGTCGTGTTCACAGTCCTGACATAGTGATTCTGCATTGCAACGTTTCATACGGTAAAATGCAAGCATACCGTCCACAGAATACGTGGCAGGCAATTATGTAGATCATGTATAGAGTCATGTAAGCCCAATGTTGGTTCATGTGCGCGCGTGAGTATCTCGACAGAGATGCTTAGATCTGGAAGCTTCCAGTTCCAGGCCTCGGGCCAGCCAGAGAAGGGTATATCCAAGCAAAAACATCTCTTCCTTATCCCTCGATATCTCTCCAGCCGACCTGTCCTCTAACTCAACAACTCTTTAATATCTTCAATCCTCTGTACTCTCTTTTCTTCATCACTCATCATACCCAACGAACTCGCACTGTCTCACATTAGCATATACCCAACCACCAACACCACTTCCTCAAACTTACATAAACTTCTTCCTCTCCTGAATCCTAAGCATCTTCTCCTCAATACTTCCCTCCACGCAGAATCTCACAACCTTGACCTCCCTCTCTTGCCCCATTCGATGTACTCGATCGATAGCTTGCGCCTCAACCGCAAAACTCCACCACGGATCCATCATAAACACTTTATTCGCACACGTCAAGTTCAACCCCACACCACCCGCTCTCAAACTTAGTAGCAAAACGTAAGGTCTATGCGACGTGGTAAACTCAGCCAGTATCCGCGCACGCTCTTTCTGCGAAATGGAACCGTCAAAGCGGAGAAAGGGGATGTGGTCTCTGGTTAAAGCCGGTTCTATGAGATCGAGGAAGGATGTGAACTGTGAGAAAACGACAGTCTTGGCACCTTTTTCTTCTTTGCGAGTTTTCTTCAGGTGCCCTAGGAGGGCTTGAGTTTTTGCGGAGCCGGAGAGACCAATGCGGCGTAGGCTTATGCGGGGGGTCTGTGTAGAGGGAGGCGGTGATACGGAGACGCGGAGGCCGAAGGAATGTTCTTTCTCATCATCTTCGGTCACATGGTCGTGGCGGACTACTTCGAAGACGTCGCGTGCGTTGATGGATTCGCGGCAGTTGAAGCAGCGGGGGATTTCGTTCTTGTCGCGCTGGTGGGCTATGTAGTTTAGTAGACATTCTTTGCACGCTGAGTGCCAGCAGCCAGTAACTGCTTGTTCGATCATGGGTTCTTCTGAGCAGATTGGGCATTCGGCTGTAGCTTCATCCTGGATCTGCTTCAGGACGTGTGCGCCAAACTTATTGACGTCCTGATCGCCTTCGGTCGTGAAGCGCTCGATAAGAGAAGAGAGGTCCATGTCATCTGCTAATCCGTTTGCGAGATCTGATGCTAGCGTAGCATCTTCTTCATCAGCGACGATGTTCGCTTTGCGTGTCAAAACAGGATGACAGCATGATTGCCGTAGTCGCAGAATCTGGGCAAAGATTGTCGTGTAGGATTTCATCAGTGTACCGGCTTCTGCATTAGCACTGAAGAAGCTCTTTGCGCGCAGATAGATGTGGTCGTACACGTCACGCTCAGCCTGTGACAACACAATCTTCTCAACCTCAATCGTCCGTAGGGGCAGTGGTACCAAGGCCTCGCCATCAGGCGTTTTCATATCCTTGGTTCGACGAAGTACCAACGGCTCTAGCACAGTCTGTACCACATTCAAAGCACGCACAAAGTCACCTGATTCGAACGGCACCGTAATGAACGACTTCCAGAAGGAGAAATTCGCCCATGGCTCGACCTTGAGGAAGCGGACTAGGCTGAACAGGTCCTCGAGACGGTTGACAATGGGAGTTCCAGTAAGGGCCCACCGATGTTTTGCGCTGAGTTCGTAGCAAGCTTTTGCTGTTTTCGACTGTCGGTTCTTGATATAGTGTGCTTCATCAAGGATAATACGAAAGTAGTCGAGCGAGAAAATGCCACCGTGTGAGCCTCGATTTCCATCCTGCGCAATGACCTGATTGTACTCTGACAGTACTGTACCGTAACTCGTGATGACAACGTTGGGCGCATTAGCTGCGTTCGATGCGCAGCATAGCTTTTGCAGATTCACAGCCTTTTCCGATCCGTAGTAGACCATAGCCTTCAGCGTACCATCTTTGGACGCCTTCTCAGCTTCGCTATGCCATTGCGCAAGTAGTGACATAGGCGCTATGACCAACGTAGTGTATGGTGCAGGCTCGACATCAGCACTCGCTTTTTGCAACCGCGGCAGACGTTTCGGTGTCGCCAGTGTATCGTCGTCGATTTCTGTTCTATGTGTATGGATCAAACTGAGCATTTCGATAGTCTTACCGAGACCCATCTCATCAGCGAGTATACCACCGAGGCAATTCTGCTCCTGTTTGGGAAACTCTAGCGAAAGCTCGCCGGAGTAGGGGTTGACGTAAAACATGGTCTGATCCTCAATGACCGCTACCGGCTGGTTGTCTGCATCTTGTACCGGCCATTGGTACTCCTCCCACAACGGATGCATCGAGGTCTCTTTGTCCTCTATCGATTGATGTTTTTCTTTGCTGACCATCCAGTACAGTGCCTGCCTCTGGTACTTTCGCAAATCCATGCGGAAAGTCCTGGCTGGCTCCATGGTCGGAGTGTTGAAATCGAATGATTGCGCCTTCTTGTACAGCGAGTCGAGCTGGTCTTGTTCCAGCTCTTCTCCTTCTTCGGCTTCATCGGGAGGTGGTGAAGATGTAGGATCGGCAGGCGTCATCGGCGTTGCTGGTGTGCCACTTTTCGGCTTTGGTTTATCACTCTTCTTCTCCTCGCTCTCTGCCGCTTGTAGTAGGCCTTGTCGCTTATGCTTCGCTGTCGTCTCATTCTCGCGTGTTGGCTGGAGGTTGATGTTTTCAAAAAGCTTGACCAAACCAATTTGACGCAGGCGAAGGTCTCGTTCATCGGACGACTCCTTTTGCTCGAACAGGTTGATCTCTCGGTTGTTGTCCGGTTTGGCAAACTGTCGCTTGTCGAATGCCGCGCGAATAAAATAAGCCCGCAGCTGCAGATAGATGGTGTCGCCAGTCCGTAGCTTATCCGGAGTGTACACGACCGAGCCTTCAAAAGAGCAGACCTGCTGGTCGAGTAGTACCGACACCCAAGTAGCGGAGTCTTTGTCCAACCTGCCAACTTCCTCACCCCGCCCGTTCAGAAACCTGACTATGATGTCTGGCTTCTTGAGTTGGATAACCTTCTTCGCCTTGGTCAACTTGGGTTGTGGCTTCATACGCTCGATTCGAATCTTCTCGTCGTGTTTCAGCAAGTTGCTTCCGCTTTTGGTGGCCCAGGCTGCAACACCGAAGGAACCAATATATCGTTTGCTAGGCATCTCTCGCAGTATTGTTGGTGTAGACGTCCCCGAGCCTGGTGTGGATGCGGTTGACATTTCGGAATCGGTACGCTTCATAGCATTCGCTATTGTCATCTGGACGGGCTGCCGGCGGGGCTGGAAGATTGGAGCAGGAATTGGTGGTGACATTTTACTCCAGGAACCGTCTAGATAGAGGTTTATTGCTGCCAATTGTAAGCCATACGCCTGAAGTCGCTCATCTGCTTGCATACCTCGTTCTACATTGCTGCCGCTCACGTCCTTCAGCTTCCGTAGTACAGTGGTCGAAAGCTCCCCTACAACTGCCTGGAGCATGGCGACATCGAAGCTACCAAAATCAGTCTCCTCGTCGTTTCCATTGCTTTCGTCTGGTCTTCCTGTGCCATATAGTGGCGGGGACGACGGAGGAGGAGGGTCGGTGGGATTTGAGCGGACCTGTGGAGGCGAAGAGTCATCTTCTATGAAGAATCGGGGCTTTTTTGCAGGTCTCTCGTCGGGATGTGGCGACTCCATGGTGTTGTGCGATGTCGTTGTTGGTGTTGCGCATTCGCCGCTCTGCATGCAATTCGACGCGTCGACGCGCTTTCACGTGGCGACTGCGGGTGATCGACGTGATAGCGTCATACAAACAGCCAGTCGCCATCCACTCTTTGCGCCTTACCACGCGCAATTGTGTCCACCCCAGATTGTGCGTACATCTCGTCATTCTTTAACAACTGCCCGATTTCTCCTTGACCCTCTGTCTGGTCTGCCATGAGTTCTTGCCTTGTACAATAGTTTTCCCCCGTCTCAAAAGTTTTCAATGCCACTTCCCAGGCTCCGCACAGCTCCCATTCGGCGCATACACAACTACCCCAGCCCACGACGGAGGCAATTCCACACTACGCCCTGTCTGCAGGATGCGGCTCGTCCCTCCCAAGACGAAATCGCACGTGCTCGAGCATACTGCGCAAACCTAGTCAGAACATACGATGCGCCCTCACACATCCTCCAAACCTTCATACCGCAATCCTCCCGAGATGCTTACCTCGCTATCCGCGCCTTCAACGTCGATGTCGCTCGCGTCGCCGATACGACCAGTACACCTACAATCGGCATGATGCGCATGCAGTTCTGGAGAGATACTGTTACCAAGGCATTAGCTGGCACACCGCCGAAAGAGCCAGTTGCCATTCTCTTAGCACAAGCGGCTGAGGATTTACACGAGCGATCTGATGGAAAGGCACGGCTAAGCAAGAACTGGTTCCACCGCATCATCAATACAAGAGAACAGTATCTAGGCAACCCACCATACCCTACCTTGACCGCACTGGAGAGCTATGCCGAGAATACATACTCAACAATGCTATACCTGACGCTTTCGGCACTCCCTCAAGCTTCTCTTACCACAGACCACATTGCGTCGCACATCGGCAAGGCCATGGGCATCGCCGCTGTACTACGCGGCATCCCACTCATCGCCTTCCCTCCACAACAGCCACTAGGTACAAGCAACTCCATGACAGGCCAATCTGGTCCCACCCAAGGCGCCGTACTTCTTCCCCTCGATGTAATGGCTGAAGCCAATGTCCGCGAAGAAGACGTCTTCCGACAAGGCGCATCTGCTCCCGGTCTGCGCGACGCCATCTTCACAGTTGCAACACGCGCAAACGATCATCTCATCACTGCGCGCGAGATGCTTTCGAAACTACGATCAGAAGGTACACTTGGCCATGACTTTGAACACCAGAATGAGGAGGATCATCAGTATAGTGTGCAGCAGATGAACACGGGGCAGGAGGCGCAGTTGGCGGAGGTGGAACAAGCCTTTGGGGTTTTCATGCCGAGCATCGCGACGCAGAGTTGGTTGGATAGGTTACAAGGCGTAGATTTTGACATATTTGATGCGAGTCTTAGAAAGGTGGATTGGAAGTTGCCCATGAAGGCTTATTGGGCGTATAGTCGACGGAAGATATGATCTTAAAAAAAAATGGAACAGTAAAACATGAGACACTCAAAGCCGCAATGTTTTAGGAGCGATTCTCTTGACTATTGCCAGGCATCTGGCAGCGAGGTCAGGAACAACTGACGAACAGGACCATCAAGGGTATTGATGTGCATTTTTTGAACCCCGGGCTCGAGTTCATGCTTTGCTCAGTACGTTCTTTTATGATGAACTCCGAACCGGCTCCGGCGCGGACATATATGCTTTCTCAAGGAGATTTTCGTCCATGCTCTCCTCACTCCACCTAAACATGTTCGTATCTTCTTTCGTCTTGATCAAATGACCTGTTCAAAAGGTAGAGAAGGACATGAGAATGAAAACTCATGGTTTTTGGTTGATTTCTCCAGTCACAAAAACATGGAGTAATGGTAATTGAGGCAGGCAATGACACGCAGAGGCATCTTGTTGAATGCAAAAGCTTTAGACCACTCGTGCGGAAAACAACATCAGGATCATTTCGATTGTTTTTGATGTTTTTGGTAAACGTAATGGAAGATGAAAGAGAGAGAGGCAGCAAGGCGGCGAGACATCTTATATGCACTGGCTGACGTGCCAACTATCCCATGTGTAGCAGCGGATCTTCTTCTCAGAGGGAGGAAGAAGCGCGCAGTCCACCTAGGTGACATGACATTGCACTTTAGTTTTGCAAATAGTTTGCGGTTCGGGCAGTGGCCAACTTCGTAGTGTCTAGAAAGCAAGCGCGCAGATCATGTCCCATCTAAAGATAGTTTTGATAATCGGTGGCGGCAGCAGCAGCAGAGCCATGTTGGTTGTATGGTTGTTTTTGTTAAGCATATTTTACATGTCTGAGACTTATTGGTAAAGTGACAAAGGGATCCAAGAGACAACGACTTTATATGTTGTGAAGCTACTCATTTTGAAACATGAGCTAAGCGATTACCGCAGCATGGACAACCATAGACAAACGCATTGCTGATTTCGTCATTCTCGGAAGGCGACCAGAACATTTAGAGCAAAGCAAGTAGTGGCGCATGTGCTTTCACAGGCGATTTTGGGCCAACTCAGATCATATCACGTCGTACTCCAGCCATACTCTAGTGTGTCGTAGGTTTTGAGAACAGTGGTAGAGTACAGAATGCAAGCCTGAGCGTACTGAAGTTGGAACGAAAAGGCGAGATCATGCTAGTCTTTGCTTTTCTTTTTTTGAGTTTTCCAAACCACGCTGGAAACATTGCCATGACATCAAGTACTTTTGAGGAATTCGAGGAGCAAGAATGAGTCGTTGTTTCAAGACAGATTCAATGCCTTTCTTTATACACTAAGCAACACCAAAATCCAGGCAGCCATAGAAACCGCCGCATTTCAATTTGAAAGACGTAGTGGGTGCTCTTAGAGATTTCGATTTTCGAGCATATGAAGACATGGGCGCGGTCAGTGGTGTTTTTGAAGACTGGCCCAGCACACTACATGTAGCTCTGCAGTAATGTCCTGGAAACAGTAGTCAGGGGAGGCCTTTTTCCGAAAGTCTAGGGCTGACGTTGTAATAGTGAATTGATATGAAGAAGCACGATGGCGTGTTGGAAGGGGCGTGGCTCATGTTCCTGTTTTCAGTTCGTTTTGAACGAAGCGCACATGACTTTCTTGTCGTAGATTTTGAGAAAAGGAAGAGAAACGGTACCTGAAAGTCAGAGTAGCAGAGTAGATTTGCGCTCTTGATATATAGTTATGCTGCAAACGAATACGTCTTAGCGAGACCTACACCGTGGTTGAAGCCATTGCGTCAAGCGCGGACAATGCCTGCAACCATGTCTACGCGTTTCTGATAGCTAGCATAGTCATGTTGGAGGCATGAAACATCCGTATTAGAACAAATGCGCGACATGCGAAAAAGCTTGTATGGATAGTCAGTATCGCAAGGCGAGGACGCGAGGATAGATCCATAACTCCTATCGCGAGATTTACTGAGCCCCGCCCATCGTACCCAACATGGTTAGTTCAGGAATTCTGCCTGTCATTCTTCCGCCCTTTACCATATCGCAGTCATCACGAAGAGTGAAAAGCTGATGCCTTCGTTCTCATATCCTGCATCGCAGTTGTAGGAACGCCAATTGACGATGGCGTCAAACGTGTGTGCCATCGGTCGCAACCCCCTGGCCACCTACAAGCTAACAACCACAGCAACAACCGGACACATCGCTTACCTGGGCGCCATCGTTCAAAGAAGACGATTCTAGAGTAGGCTTTCTGGATCTACCACGCGAGCTTCGAGATCTAGTCTATGAGTTCGCGTTTCGCGTCCCAGGCGCGATCCTCGTTTACTCACGCGACCCCTTTGCTGTCCGGCCAGTCGCGAGAGCAATGAACATCCGACATGGCGGTGACGGACCGATTGAACCGCAACCGCTAAGCACTGGCCAAATACCCGTCGCACTTTGGAGAACATGTCGACAGCTTCGAGCGGAGAGCAGCCCAGTATTTTATGGAATGAACGTCCTCTCTTTCTGGGCTCTAGGCAACATCAACGTCGGACTTGCCAACATGTGTTTAGTAAGGCACGTTGTAACTGAAGCAAGTCCTCGCGGCATCTTTGACAAGTCTCTCGAGCATGTGAGCTATTGCTGGAAGAGACGGTTTTGGCCAGAGATATTACGCAATGGCGAGGCGATATTAGAAGAGTTTCCGAACTTGGAAACACTGACATTCTCATTGAAGCCGCCGCGTGGGATGACCTTCAAACCGGCTTTCTTCGCTGTGACTAACAAGACTAGGGAGCAGCGTGTTGGTCTGGTTGCTACTTGGATGGGTCAAAGATCTTGGTGGGAAGACGAGCGAATGCGTCAGATCTTGCACCTAGAGATGGTGCCATCTCTCGGTTTATCGAAAGATGAATACGCAGGTTCGCGATTCGTTCCTGAAGAGGACGATGTCTGGGACTGTACAGAGTTTACGGATGCATTCGAGCAGATGAAAGACTCGATGCAATCGGACGCGCGTGTTAACGCTTCGATCGGATAATCGTGAGAGATTGAGCATGAGGGAATGACTACGTCAGCTGAAGGATGAGAACCATGAGGTCAAAGGAGTGCTCGATCGCGTAAACCATATTTCGTCTCTTCCCTGGCATACCCACTACTCGCCGTACCCACCCGAGTCATCACCGAACATCAACCTCATCATCACCACCACCACAATACGAAGATCAACATCCTCAACATCTCGGCCTACATCACCCCATACCCGCATTGCCACTCCAGATCCTATATTTCTTCCCCGCCAAGACCCCGCAGAGCCGCACAGCCCTGCATACCCCAAATAGGAAATCCTTTCCCGCCCATGGCCTCACCAAACATGGAAGAATACAACAATCCCATCTCATCGCGCACCTCCGATCCCTGGTTGATCAGGCATTCTAGCCCTGACGTCTGATGTTCTAAAGCCACCGGTTCGGCGGGACAGAGCCTTGCCTCATGCGAGTGATCCTCGACAAGGGGCCAGGATGAAGGATAGTGTGCATACCAGGGCGAGCAAGTAAGGTACCCGCTCAAGTGCATGTTATGTGTCATCGGCGTGGTACCGCAAGTGCCGATGCGAGGTGCGCTGGTTGCATGACATGTATCAGGGATGTGGGGAGACTTGTGTTCTAGAATTATGTGCTAGCCGTGTAACGTGGGTAAAGACTTTTCTCCGGTAGTGCGACTCAAGGGGCGAACATCGTGAGGTACGTTTTGGGAAGGTGTATCCGATGGGGATGAGTGGCGAAGCGGTGAGGTCTGGACTGGCTGGCAGGTGGAGGCAGGTGGTGCTGGCGACGGGCATGTGAAGCTGATGGGCTGGTGCAGCAAGTTTCCGCCATGTAGCAGCGTCTGCATGTTGGAAAAACAATCACTGGTCGTAGTTTGAGGTCTCTTCATCGGAAGATGGAATGTGCAGTGGTATGAGAGCGTAGAAGTTGATTCTGCTGATACTATGTATTACTCGCTATTATGTATATCACAACGCGTGATCTGACAGTTGAACTTTTCTTTGTGCTGATGCGAAACGCCTGCTGGATATTCATCCGATGCAAGAGAGGCTCCGTACAGGCCTAACTCAAGCAACCCAGCTATGAACCAAAACGCCATACAAACTAAACAAGAAGAGTGGCGAGCATATGAACGCGACGCCGGGTATATCCTACAGTCCACTAGTGATAGTTCCAAGCAAAATCAGGCCAATGGCACAGTAAGGAGATTCGTGAAGCGTCGATGATTGCATCGTAAATGGGGTATAGATAATGAAAAGAAATGGAAGGCTGGGGCTACTGCTCCAGGCTGAAGCTACCGGAACGAGAGCTGTTGTTGGACCATGGGAATTCGCAGTCCTCAATGTAAGTGGGCGGGCTAATGGGAACGTCCTCGTATAGAGGGGGCTGCTCCTCGTCCCAGGCAATACCCATACCAGAGCGCTCAGTAAGAACAAGGTGGAACTGAGTACGGAGAACGCGGGCAGCACCAGTAGGAGTAGCCTGGCTGAGCTTCTTCAGTGGTGCCCACTCTTCAGCAACAACCATCTCGATGATAAGGTTGTGCTTAACGCTCATTCCGCTAGGGCTCTCCATGTCGCATAGAGGCTTAAGGCCGACGTTGCAGGCAGCCTGGAACTCTACGTCGATTTCGCCCTTCTCGAAGTCGGTCTTCCAGCCAGTCTTGACCTCCTCGCTAGCGATGGCGCGGACATCCTCGTGAAGGACGCCTTTGCCCTCACCACCGACCTTGGAGATGTGCTTGGCACAAGCTGGAGCGATAAACTTCTGGGTTTCTTCGATACGCCAGTTGAGCTTACGAAGTCTCCAGCGGGTTTGTGAGTCCGCCTTGTTCTGAACGATACCAGATAAGCGCATTTCAATGGGAAAGTCGCCAATCGGGTGGATGACCGGTGGCAGCTTAACCGAAGCGGTTAGGTTGGTGGGTGGGAAGATTCGAATGGAGTGCTTTTCGGCACCCGGGAAGATGGCGCGCTTGATGTCAAGGTTGCGCTTGTAGGTAATCTTTCCCGATGAGGTAGTGGCAACAGCAGACAGGTAGTAATCGACGGTAGCGAGGCTGCCATGCGTAGTCGCGGGTAGGTGTCCCGGTAGCAAATGGCTAAAGGGGAAAGTGTGTGGACCATGACGCAGGGTGGTAGGATGCGTCAGGAACTCCCACTTGTGGATTTCAGTGGTTTGCGTGCTGCACTCGGCGCAGTGTGGGGCGACAGGCTTCTTAGTGGAAACGATGGCGAGCATGCGCATCTCGAATTTTTCCACGGTGACGTAGGGATCATGAACATTGATGGCGAGCTGACCCGAGAAAATAGCGCCAGTCGAAGTTTGCGGGCTGTTGTAGAAGACAATGGGTGGCGACTCGACGCTCATGTTCATGGAAGCCGCACCCTGAGCCTCAACCTTGGGGCTCTTCTTGACTTCTTCCTTTTCCTTCGCGTGCTTGTCATGCTTGTGGCGGTTGAAGATATCCATGACGAGTGACTCTTCCGACTTGGACTTTGCTTTTACGCGGGGTGCGTCGTATGAGTAGACTGGCGGAAGCAGGCCCTCGGCGTGTGGTTTGACGGGGTCCAGTTTAGGCAATGGCGTGGGCGCAACCCTCGCGAGGGTGCTCAACAGACGACCGGGCATGATAAAGAATCCGGGGTAGGGCTGAGATTGAGTGACGTGAGTGGATGATTGTAGTTGAGAATCTGCGAGATAAGGGGCTGGCCAATGGTGTGAAGGCGTGGGCCGCGATCCGATATGCAAGTAATTGACAAGTGCGACGTTCAAGAGTTGACCTTATGGGAGTGTAGATGGTTGATAAGTGTCTGTGGCAGGAACATGTTCTGGCTTGCAAAGTAACCAACGGGGTTACTTGGGGTAGGGCGTGGCCTTATTTAAAGGCGTAGACGCATTTTCATGGAAGTTTTACATGAGAGAAACTCGATTTCGCATGATTTCATCGCTAACGCCAGATGCAGGGATGGCGCACGCCACGCTAACGGGCTTAAGCAAGCCCACCCCTGCGCCTTCCATACAATTTTTGGGTCAGGAGGAAGGTACGCACGGCCTGCCGCTCTCGTGATCGTCCTGTAACTGTCGTGCCTGCCGACTAAAAAGACGTCAACAACCTTCTCAGCTGAGCTTGTACCAGAAAGAGTGATTATTCACGCCCAACTAACTTTGCTATGCATCACCACGCACACGCAGTTATGCTGACCGCCGATTGATCACCATAGCCGAATGCACTCCGAAATTCAGCTTGTGCTTTTCCCGCCGCCAACAAGGCACCGTGGTGGCTTGATGCATCACCGGCCAACATATGTGACTCGCCGACGGCCTTTCTCTCCAGCACACATTATACCACACTGTCTCCACCGGAAAACCCTGGGGCTCTCGTCCATCGCAACGGCAGACTTTCCGCCCGCTAGCATTCATTCGCTGACGCACATCTGATGCGCTGTTCCCCGCAGCATGGCGTTATGATCGCCTCAGAAGTGTGACTCTGGGGATGAACTTTCGAGCATCTCCTCGGACTGCCCATCACCGGAGCGCCTCCCCGCATTCTTCAGGGGCGCGAACCGTCACCGCAGAATGTGCACCTGACACTTTTCTGGGCAATCACCGTGTGCTTTACTCGCCTACATTGCGTATTGCTAATTGTGCAACGTCTTCGTCAATTCACAGTCATGTTGGTCGTGCATCGCGATGTTCATCGATGCCAAGGCGCGCCGTCGTTAGGTAATGCGTTGAATTTTTCCTCACACCCACCGTGGTGCGAATACAAACGCTGACTGGGTACTCCACCTATCCCAGATCCTTTACAGCTTCTTTACACACTTTGGCGTTCCGGCCCGATATTGGCTGTTACTTGAGGTGGCTCGTGTGAGAGCATCCACTGTTGGGAGACCAGACTGGTCTACATTACTCGATGGAAACACCAGCGGTTCCGCTCACGCAAGCAGTTTCGCGTCGGAGAGGCCCGACGTCTACATGTGGGTCAGGGCAGGCCAGGTTCCAAAACACCAGCTTGCGAATCTCACGATACTTCGCTTAACGCTTAACAACGGTGACGCTTGCATGGCGTCCGCGATCTGCCAAGAGCAGGGTTCCCGATCCGGTAAAATTATTGCAACCTCTGCATCCCTGATTTCTTCGTCCCATTCGGCACCGGTGTACTGAGCCCGTGTGGCGCACCCATGGTTCGTTCAGGGATCTCATTCCCGTTGACGACACGTGCATCTTGGGCTGGCATGCCACGCGTGTTCAGAGTCATCATGTCGAAATTTGACGTGCACCTGGCGCCATCCAATGGCCCGTGAACGTGCTATGGCACCATGTTGGCAGCATCGAACAACGTCTCACCGCTCGCACGGTTTCTGGAAGCAGACATAACTCGCGGTGTCTAGACTTCTAGTGAATGCACCTGCATTGCGGCTCTTCGTAGCCTCATTAGGGCACAAAGCTTCGATCTAGGACGGCCCGATTCGGTATACCTTTCTTGAACTTCGTCAACCGTCTCAAGTCGATGGCGTACGGCGCTTCTGCTGTGGCGCTTCTGATATCGGCTTCTCCTCCGTCGTATTCAGCCTTTTATTATTATCGCGCACAAAGGTAGTCTTCCAAAGCGCTTCTAGTGCCCTCGGCTTCGCTTTTCTCTATGGAATGCCGAAGAACCCCGGATTTGTATGCGGAGTAAATGTCCGAAGTACATCTTTTCATTCCGAACACCGGCGGCAGCAATACCGTAACACCAAGCTTTATGCTCCAAGCCACGGAACCCCATCCGGGCTCATGCGAAATTTCTTCACATGTCAATGACAGATGTGACATGCAAGCGCGTCAGGAGAACACGTCTCACAGACACGCCTCACACGCCTTACACCAAGTGGATCTCGTTTCGCGAGGAATGGTTTTTCTCGACGAGCATACCCACACCAGCGCACCGCTAGTACCCGCGCATAAACAGCACTACGATCTCCTTTTACACCTGTCGATCTGCCGTAGAAAGTATGCAACTGTTCCCTCTAGTACCTACAGCAAGATTTTCAACTTCTCCACAAAACACCAAGGCAGCGCAAGCACGCAATATCACGATTCCTATTTCTAGAAGAATTTCCTGAACACGTCGTGGAACTGCAGTCGTGCTGCTTACGTTGGTTTTGAGCCAGGACAATTTTTCTGTTCGGCTTCAGAATCAGCGAATGTCTGGAGTATCGTCCATGGTGAGTTGCACTCAAGCTTCTTCCACAGCTGACTCCAGGAAAGGTCATGGGTAGGTGCGATCCGCATTCCACTTCGTCAACCCTGGTGCGGAAGATATTGCAAATTCCTCCCTAGCATCGTGTGGAGTAAGTGGGTTAATTTTTGGCGTCAAGCTAACTCGCTTCTCGCGTGTGACATCGCAGACTTTTCTCAGGGATCCCTAATCCTCCAAAAGTGCCTGAGATGAATTCCCCGCGACCAGGTTTAGTAAGATCCATCAAGAATGGTTCTCCAAATGCGAAATGCGAACAACGGCTAAGTGCAGAAGTCAGGCACATGTGCAAAATAACTTGTCGTTGGCAAATGCATCAATTCATTAGATCGTGCTATATGCCATGTAGACCTCCACCCGTCTCATTTTCCGAACCCTAGACTCCATTCTATGCAAGCCATGTTGGTATCATCAAGTGGTATCGTAGATCTACTCGTCATCCTCATCCGCCTCGTCGTTAACAACGTTGAAGAAGCGGAGCTCGTAGACGCCCTTGGAGGTGGAAACGACGCGGAGCCAGTCACGGAGCTGCTGCTTCTTGAGGAACTTCTTGGTGCTGTCATGGCATTAGCTTATACCCTTTACCATTGCGAGATGCGGAATTGAACGTACAGGTACTTCAAGTAGCGGCCGGAGAACTCCTGGTGCGCAATGACCTCGATCTTGCCATCACCCTGCTGGCTGATCTGGATGGTGTCGCCAAGGTTACCAGTGCGGCCCTCGACCTTGATGCGGTCGTGGAGGAACTTCTCAAAAGCCTGGATGTCGAAGATCTTGTCGTTGACGGGCTGCGAGCAGTTGATGATGAACTTCTTGGTGATCTTTTGGCCCTTCTTGGCGGCGGTGCTGCGCTTCTGTAATACAGGTACTTAGCCTACTGTTCATTTGTGCGCGGGGTGCTGTTGCTCCCTTGCGCTGGACAGCAAAGCAGTTGTACGTACGGTTGTGGACATTTTGGCGGTTTGGAGGTGGTGGGGAGCGCAAAGAAATGGATATCCTGCGTCTGTCGTAGAGGGGTTGAAGGATAAGAAATCGTCTCGCGTTGCGCAGGAAGTTCGAGCTGCTCAAAATTGCCGGCGCGTTGGTGGGGTACTAGTCCCAAAGAGGATAGTTGCGCTAATCGTTCGAGCTCCGGTCATTGGTCGAGCTTTTTGAGATTATCACGCTTCAGACACCTTCGACTGTGAACATCATGAACAAGACAAGAAGCACGGAGAAAATCGTCACTCATCTCAATTAACTCGCAACACCTACACTGGGGAGGTGTTTTTGCAACAGATCGGGGTTGTCTGCATCGGCGCGGTAGTCCTCTGGAACTAAGGCAAAGCTTGCGTACTGCAAGAACTCTTCTTGAAACAGGGATGGGTAATTGTTGGCTGCGCTGCTTTCAATCCTCGCTATGGAAGTTAAATAGAGGACGCGATTTATGTTGAGCATATTGCGCCTGGATTGGGCGCTCTTTGTTCGGCTGTCGTGATGGAGGTGAGGAAAGGGACGAATGGGGAGATTTACGAACCACAAGGTCAAATGTGCGCATCCGAACGTCAATGGATACAAGATCGGATTTTGAGGTAGTGGACAGCCGCCGGAAGAGCACTATGGATTCGTGTGAGCCAAGAGGTACAAGTGAGGCATTGCTGCTGGCCAGTTTTTGGGACAACGTGGAAAGATTACTACGATGAAGCAAACATGTGTTACTGCGGCACAATCAATTTCGTAACTCTTGGCGTTTGTCTGCTTCCTTCATGAGGGATGTGGTCAAGAACCGGCTGTCCGCACGTCAGAAGCGTGGTGTGCAAGTACAGGACAGCGCTCGCGGTAATAGACCATTAGGGCTCGGTGTTATCCATGCTAGTTCCTCAGTAGTGCTTCGTAGTCCATTGCTCTGGTGTTTTCTCCATGTAAGATGACGATAACGTCTAAGTCGTAAGTATAACTGAGTGTGTACACGAGGAATATTCAGTCTCGGGCCTTATTGGTAGCTGTAATTTCAGGGTGCAGATACTGCTGCGCCATCTCGATCAATCATAAAGACATGTCACGAAGGATATATGCGGTTGGACTGATGAATATGTAAGACCATATCGCACGGGGTCGTAACATCTCGAGACTTAGAGTGCGGAGATATGACGTTTCGAGGCGGCAAGGCGGATCTCGGAAATAATGTACATCACGTGGTCGAATGAGCCACTTCAAAAAGAGGATAGCGCTTTGAGCCTTCCGAGACCCGTGTACCTTCGACGAATGTGACGCGGCCTTCATGATAACCACGTCGAAACATCGGATAAGACGTGCCGTTCACGGCACTATCGGTCTGATGTGGCGATCTACGACTACGGAATCTATTCGAGTTTCATCCCTTCCTGTAAAATCGTGGATAAGGCGTCCAATGTGGCATTGCTGCTAGGCAGACACGCGAGAGGCCTAAACCCCTCCATCATTTGGTTTAGAGTCGCAGAATTCATATAAGCCTTGGTTGATTTACACCTAAAGCTACGAAGCTCATCTTCTACATTCTTCCCATCATCCATCTCGAGCTGATACACAAGTCACAACCATGCGCTTCTCCCCAACGATGCGCAATGTTGTCCTCCAAGCAACCGCGATCTGTACTATCTCGTTGCTTTACACCCACTACGTCTCCGAAAACATGTTCGATGTAGTAACCCATGACGAGACTTTCAGCCATCTGGCTGGGATGTTTGACAATTCGACCGCTGCCGAGCAGGCCCATAATGCGCGTCTGGAAAAGATGCAGAAGAGTGTGATTCCCAAAGAAGAGGCTGATAACTACGTGATGCGCACCGTCAACGAGACGAACGGCACCACGTGGACCTATTTTGTCCCGAAGAATCAAACCGAGACTATCCCCAATACGAAAAACGCTACAAAAGAATCTTTCTACGGCCGAGAACTACCAAGGGAGGTGTTGATCGCATTCATTCTCGTCGTACTTCAGTATTGGTGGTTCGTTGGACTAGAGAAAATTCTGCCCGCTCGACCTAGACGTCGAGATGTCACGTACCAGGGAAAAGAGAAAGTGGAAGAGAGTGAGGATAGGGAAGAAGAAGTCGTTAAGAAGTGGATCGCACAGGGTAGGGTGAATCGGGCGTCGTTGAACATCTGCAATACATTCTTGAAATGGGTGCTCGATCTGACAGTGGGCACGCTGTTGTTTCTGATAGTGCAGCATGTACTCCGGCAGCTTCTGGAGTTGAACTCGCCAATGTCCGTCTTCAACGGGCTGAAGAGCGTAAGATTCTCTGCCTGCCATTCATTTCGGTATAAAACTGACCTCCATTATCAGCACCTTATCTTCGGCTTCCTAGGCACATTTTTCTCCGTCGAACCGTTTGTTCGCCTCATCGCCTTCGTCGTTGTCCCAGCGTACAAGCAAATCCTCTTCGTCGAAGCCATTCAGCTAGTGTGGGCAGTCTTCACCATGCAATTCCTACGCATGATGGCTTCATGGGCAGTCAAAACGGAGTTTGTACAGGCAGTGATGCGGAATGTGACTGGAGAGATGGAGCGAAATCCTGAGAAATTTCGGGGAGCTGGTGGTGGAGAACTGTAAGCTTATGGCTGGGAAAGTCTACTTCTCTTCGAGGTATCTTGCTCTATAGTACAACCCAAGCATTACTGCGAGCATGTTCTCACAAACCATCGTCTCTCATACTGCCTTCAAACACTGCTTTTCCCATCTTTCCCGATTCCTTTTCATATCTCAGCCACATGAGTGCCTCCTTTACTAAATCCGATGGTCCGGCCACAGTTGGTACACGCCACTCACCCCCTTCCTCTTTGACGAAGTCCCCGTTTGCACGATCCCGTGCCTGCGCAATATACTGTGCGCGTTCGATAGTCGATATAGATGCCCAAGACACTGCACGCGCTTTCTCCTTATGTTCAAGATGGATCGCAGCAGGAAACTTTTTCTTAGGCACAGGATGCAGATCAAAGGCTGAAGTCGATGCGTGAGGCGTCGGCGGAAGGGACTTGTCGAATATCAAGGGAGGACATCCACGGTTCATATACCGAGCCTCCCAGCCCATTCGGGAGGGTGCTGGCGCTGCTGGTGCTCTGGTGGGTGAGCTCGAAGCACTCTTCTTTGGCTTCTTCTCCAGAAATCTTCGTCGCAGCTTGTTGAGACAAGTTAGAAACATGGCTAAAAGCGCTGTATATTGCTTGTATATCTTCCTTAATACTCGTTGTGGCTTAGGTGATGAAGGCATAGGCTCTTCCGTGGGCCTGGGGCTAACATGTTCTTCATGCACCTCATCACTCCGCGTTGCTGACAGATGTACGTTTCTGAATGTCTTTTGACTTCTAATTCTGAGTATATTCCCTGGGAAATCACTCCCCATCGGAAACACCTGGTGTCGGTCACTCCGAAATGATAATTCTCTCGGAATCGCGTCGAATCGCATAGAACAATCCGATTCATGCACCTTCGTGAGGTCAATATCATGTGGCTGCTGGTAATATTGGCTCGATGACACAGAGCGGCGGTAGATTGGCGGAGGTGGAGCTGGCTGAGGGTTCTTCAACCAACTCTCAGCTCTGAGATCTAACACACTGTCGCTTTCTGGAACAAACACGCCCTTAGAAGTTCCATATTGAAGGCGCTGAGATCTCGTGAACGGCCTCTCTCGAACTAATTCGCCCTTTGCTGCTCCGGTTTCTAGTAACACTGGGTGTCTAGTCTTTGATCCAGTCAGGTTGTCAGAGCCAATGTAGCGCGGCGAAAGGAGTAACTTACCTGCACGTGCTTCTGATGTATTCATATGCATTCTTTCAAGCTTCGAGATAGTGGGTCCGTCTCTTATAAACTCCATGGCAGTACACAGATCTGGTTGCTGAGGCCAGCGACGTGACGTGACGGCGCGATCAACAGGCGAAGGAGGTGATTTCACTGTCTCTGTGGAAAGAGTGCTAGAGTTGCGGAAAGCACGAGGCCGGTAGCCTGCGCTTCGCGTTTGGCTCGCCAAATCATCCCACTCACATCGCCAGTCCTCGCTACCGTACTCAAGGTCTGCCTCGCGACCGGCACCACCCCTCAAGTGCGGATCGAGATCCTCTACAACAGCGGTCACAGATGCGGCGACACTCTTCTGCGGCAAGTTTCTCTTCTTCCATGGTCTAAGAGCTCCGCTCGTCGGCTTCGGAGCCTCCTCTTCATGCCTAAGACTCTGGTCACTAGAGGCATATTCTTCTTCAAGAAAGACTCTCTGGCAATAGTCGCAATGTTCTCGATGTTTATCTAACTGCGCAGCCCACTCCTCACAGTGTGCACTTTTAGTGTACCTGAAGCCCCTGGAGCTTTTGTCCTTGAACTGAGAGCTCAGTCTCCTGATATGTTGCCAGTCGAAGCGACGGATATCATCTTCACGCTGTTGCATGAATTTGGGAGGGAACACGAGATGGCCAAGTCGTTGGCTCAATGGTCCCTTTGAAATGGCAATCTCTTCAGCTTTGAGTACGCGACAAGGCGGTGGCTTAATAGTGCTGTAAGACGCTGGGGTATTCGGAGGTGCGCTTGACGGAGGAGTCAGTTGTGGGTAATAGAGCGGAGATTTTCGGTGGTTATATGAAGTGTGAGACCAATACTCTGGGTCACTACCACCGCCACGCACCGATACCATAGGTGGTGGCTTAGAGATAGTTGATGATTGCGGATGGGGAATCTTATAGTACGACTCACTACCGTGCACGGAACGGGTCCGGCATGCGCAGGATCTTAGCCAGTCGATCGTATTGTCAGTATCGGCTGGATCATCAAACGAGTTCACCAAGTCCCCAATATCTTGGTAATAGTCCTTCTCTCCTTCGCTCGACGCACTATTAGTCCGGGTATCATCGTTCGACTTATCTGCACTCGGTTGAAAAACAAGCTTCTCTATGGGCTTCTCAGGGCTTCCCTCATCTGCGTTCGACACCTGCCACGCAATTATTCTCGTCTTGCAATCCAGTTGGCACCCTGTAAGAGTTTTTGGTATATTAATAGTGATTCGCTCATCGCTTACATCTTCAGGTAGATAGATACCCATATCTTCGCGGATCTTTATAATTTCCAGGATGCGCGCAATGTGCGGATCATCTCGGAGATCTTCCCTTCCACTCCCCTTTTTGAGCATCTCGTAGATCTCTGGTAATGTGGAATTGTAGGGAAATAGGTAGATACGTGGAGGAGTATCGGGGAAAACGATTGTAGATCTTGGTGGGTAGTAGACGAAAGATTTGGCTGCAGCAACAGTGATCGAACAAGAAGAATCAGATGGCGCTGTTGCCGCAACATTCTGTCCGGTCTCAGCACCACTCGTCGGTCTTGTTTGTAGCAATGCTTCCTTGTCACCACCTCGTTTCGTTTCCAGACCTGGCGACCTATTGCGATCCTCGTAAGCCGGAATTGTTTCTTGCCCACAGGTACAAGCGACAGGGATATCACTATCCGCCACTAGATGATGAAGAAGTGTCCTAAGGTTCTGGTACTCGTCAGCCATAGCCCTTTTGTCTGCTTCTGCAGCCTCTAGCCGCTCTTCCAAGTCCACTTGTACATCCATATGCCACTGTAGATCTTGAATGAGGCTATCGTTCATCTCCCGAAAGGTCTCAAGTTCGCGTTCGAGAGAGGAATTGCGCGTTTCGGCCGCTGTGGCCACGGTCATCCAAGCTTGTACACGTTGTTCCGGAGAATCTACCACGAGAGCGATCCTAACTTCTTCCATGAGGCTATCGTAGATACGCTTGAACTCACCTAATGAGTCGTCTTCGTCGATAGGCCATGATGTCTGGATTGGTTCATCGCCGGCTCCGCCCCGGATATGTGGAACAGCTACCTCCCGTGTGCGGTTCATAAGAAAGAGGTTGTTGTCGTTGACCATATACATGTCTCCATCATCATTCTTCTCACCAAAGTCCCAGTATCCCCGTGTCAGGATATCCCAGCTAAGTCCCATCTTTTCCCACATATCTGCAATCGCTTTCTTGAACACTTGCTTTGACTGTATCTTATGGAACTCCACATCCTTCCATTGCCCATCACCACAACCTTTCTGCTTCCATGCTTCCTGTTGCACGACTTCTTCTGTTGCTCCTGTGGGGAAATAATAAACCGTCGCGGCGCTGTGAAAGACTAGCTCGGGTTTCGTGCAATCGGGAACGATGAACCCTGGAGGCAGGTATACGATGATGTACTTGATCGTCGAATCTCCGACTCGTGACGTGGCTCGCTGGCAAAGAAGATGCGGTGATACTGACATGGAGCTACGAACTTCAGCGCTAGCATGATCGTAACTGCCGTTGCCTTCAGATTCTGCTTCGGCACTGCCGCCACGTAAGTTGATATTTTTGTCTCCTTTCTTCTTTTGATAGAAGATGGACGCTAAGACCGGGTCAGAAGGAGTTTGCTTGGGAATATTCGCTGCTTTACTGTCGCCGTCCTTGGCCGTTATATGGGAATCGGTTGATTGGAAGAGATCTTCTCGGTGCGCCGCTACTGAGAGCGTATGAATCTGCGCCTCTAATTGTTCGACTTTTTGTCTCAACTCCGGGATAATCTCATCCTTGTCATCAATACTCTCAGCCTCGTCACGCGCCAGTAAATCCGCCTGATCCCAATTTGTGTACCCTCCATAGTCGTACACAAACTCTTCGTCTTCGTCCCGACCACCCATAGCACCTCTTAACGGTATGTTCTCATCTGCGCTTTCAAACTCGTCCAAGCCTTCACTACATGTATAGTACGGCTCATCGTCGTCGTCGTCGCCGTCGTCTTTCTCTTCTTCTCGGTCGCCATAGATTGCCCCAAGCAATACCGGTATGCTCTCAACAGCCAGCTTCCACTCTGTTTCTTGGGCATCGAGTCGATTTGTCAGATGCTTAATTTGCATCTCCGTTCTCTCTAAGCGGTCCTTGAGCTGGATGATGGACCTCTCCGTTTCGATCTGCCGTATTGTTTCTCTGTCGTTGTGCCATGGCTGTCGCTGCTCGGGGCTGGGCGCGTTGCTACGTTCGAACCAATATGCCATGTTTGAGAGATTCGCATCTGTAAGTCGGTTTTCGGTTTCCGGCCTTGAGGCATAATCCAGAGGCATGCCATCTCGCCAAAACTTCGCCAAGTCTTCCCATCCACCCTCGAAATAATGACCAGCTGCCTCATGCTCAGTCTCTTGCATATCGTCTTTTTTTAGAGATGCCTCCTCTACGAACACCTGCATCACATTTCCTCCAGCATCAAAATCCCCATTCCGCGCCGCATTCTCACCGCACAACGTCTTGTCTTTCCCCTTTAGCATCGCGGTTTCATCTCTCAGTGTGACAACGTCTTGCCTAGGTTCTTCCTCTATTCCTTGGACTTCTGCAATCAGAGATTTCGCCGTCATGAGTTCGTAAGATAGTGCTTCTCGTAGTCGAGGGGTATACACGCCACAGCAATCAACTAGGTGCTTGGCTGTAGTGATGAGCTCATAGAGGTCGTGGAGGTTGTCAGGGTGTATCTGTGCAGGACGTGAGTGGGTCGGGACAGTCCGATCGAGTTGGATTGGGTCATGGTTGTCTTTATGGCCGCCGTAATGGCTTGCAGGCGGTGGCGATGGTTGTGTCATGATCCTCCCCCAAGAGTAGGTCAGTGATCTCTAGTAGGCAGGCCGAAATGTAAGTAGAAGAAAGGCGTTTGAGCGAGTATAGAACGTGCTTCTCGCAGAGGATAGGTATTAGGTTGAAGTATCGAGTTCGCGGCTGTCAAAGTGTTGAGCTTAATATGGCAAGAAGAAGAGAATATGCAAAGAAAACTGCTGGAATACAATGACTTTATGTAGAAAAGGAGAAGCCAGTCAAGTATGGCACATTCTTCAAGAGAAGACAAAAAGGCGTAAAGCCACGTAGTATGCTTGAAGCAACGCGCAAAATGGAAGCGTCGTCGTTGTGACTGATGAGCTCTGTTGAACAACAATATCCCAAGTGATTTTCAGGAAGCAGGGAAATGAGAATACAAAAACAGAGAGAATGTGTGAATATTTCCAGATCCACCCTATACGTGCGAAACAATGGCAAACATCATGTGTACAGCAGTCACTGACATGGTGACGTGTAAGAAAACGCAAACGGTTGAGAGAAAGATACAATTGTTACGCTGTGTACAGAACCCAGAGTATATTCGCTTGACAACAACAAGAGCCGCTCATGGGGCCTACAAACCATATTTGGGTATACCGTGCTATGATGCCCTTGTAGTATTGCGCCGTTACAGAAGAAGTGCAAGACATGTTGAAAGAAAAAGAAGAAGAAGCCCAGAACTGAACACCGCCTGGCCTGTTACCGAAAACCCGCATTCGCTAAATCTGAGGCCGTAAAAAGGGAAGACGTAAACTCTAAAAAGGATTACAAGACTCTAAAGACGTGGCAGCCGTGAAGCAACGGACACAGCCACGTATTGAACACCAAACCCCATGTTGGATGATACCCAAACGCCATGCACGTCGGACATGCCAGACGCAAAAGGGGATAAAACACTTTTAGTTTAGCTGCCGACTCGCTCCGAAACACGACCGCGGGTCTCGATTTGCTCGACACGATCCTTGGAAGAGTCGGAGCGCTTCATGCGGGATCGGGCCAAGGCGGCTGCGGCTTCTTCGTGTTCCCGAGCCAAGCGTCGGAGCGCGATCTTGGCCTCTTCAAGAGGTATACTGTCGCTGCGCTTGGGACTGCTTTGTCGTGACGGGCGTTGGCTTCCTGGGTTCGAAGTTGGAGTTGGGGGCTGATAGCGAACGCTATTGGCCCGGGTGCTAGCAACGCTGAAGCCGTTCTTGGTACTACCAGGACGGCTAGTGCGGTACTCAGTGCTGACGGACTCTTGGCTGCGGTTGTCGGCATCGCGAGCGGGGGAGTTCTTTCGAGACCGGACGTAGTTGGGGTCATCGCGCTTGATCATGTGACGGAACTGTTGGGTCTGCTGATCGAGAACCCACCGCTGATAACCCGCAGCGCCGTTCGCGTTGCCAGGGATGAAAGTGTCGTTTTCGTCCCAGCATCTGACCCAAGCCACGTCGTCAACTCGGAAGAAACCGGCCTTGACTTCTTTGCCTTTGTCGTTCTTGACCATGACGGTCTTCTTTCGCTTGTTGAACTCAGGCTCCAGGAAGTAACGGCCGATGGCATGAGAGTACTTGAGTGGAACAGGTTGGTCCAGTGGAGTGTATTCCTTGCCGTTTGACGGCTTTGCAGATGGCTTGGGGTTGCTTTCTGGTTTGGATTCGTCCTTGAGAGTTGCGATCAGGAACCAGCCTCGACCGGGGATGCTCTCGTACTGTCCGGGTACTGGACTGGACCATTCTTCAACGACCCTTGACTGATCGATCTTGTTTGATTTGAACCATTTGTGCGGCGCAAAGGCCTTTTGAGTGGCTACGAAGAGGTTGGGTGCCATTTTGATAGTACTTGGAAATGGTTGGAGAGGAAAGTCCTTGACAGGATTTGTCGTCGAAGCAAAGCACGTGGATGGTGATCGTCAGTGGCGATGTGGAATGCTCAGAGATTCTGCTTGGTCCGTAGGCGAGGTTGAAGATCCGGTATCGTGACAATGAAAATTGAATGTGACTAGCCGAAGACCGCCGGTCACTGCGTGCAGATGCACGACTGTGGTCGCTATGAGGAGCGCGGCAAGCCTTCGACGAGACGTGATTCACTGAGCAGCGCGTGAAAGGGAGATAGAATCCTCGAAACAGAGGCAGCTGGGGTGTCGAAATATTTAAAAGACGGGAGCTAGTTTAGTGCTGGGTCTGAAAATCTTTCCCAGGCTGACGGAAGGGAAATTGGGATGCGCTTCGACCTACCGTGGGTACAAGTGTGGGCCATGGACCGGGGGAGAAATAGTCAGACCTCATATGCCAATGCGAGGTACGTCGCCTCCGAGCGTATCGGACCCTCTCATCAGGGAAAACGGGCCTCATCAAAGCATTCGTCATGGCACACTGCCTCAATCAGCTATTCTCAGCTGTACACGTTCCCGGTTCTTTCCTCTCCTGCGCCCACACGGATCCGCTGATTGTCGTGGTCGCATGCCAGGCTCCGCATCCGTACCTCCCTCGCAGCAACCCACATCCGTTGATAAAGTGCAGCCATGGGCCAATCACCGCGTCTTGCAGCCACCCGTGGACGGATAATGCCTGATAACGCGACGCACAAAGGGCGATTGTTTCCAGCAGACGCCTGAGTGTGTGAAATTGCAAGGGCAGGCACAGACAGATGGCAGCTTCAGAGCGGTGTGATGCTGGGTTGAGGTGTGCGGATGAGAAAGGAACTGAGTGGACCGGCAGGCGTTACTAGATCGTGCGCGGAAGTTCCGTAAGCGTAGCCGTTAGCGAGTCGCTCAACACATCCATGAATGGAACCAGGAACCGCGACAAAACGACAAAACGACGAAAAAACTCGACGGTCGGACCACCAATGGCAGCAGTCTGGAATATTCCGCGACAGAGACAGCCTTCTAGCCAGCTTCGAAACATCTCGTCAATCTGACTGAAGGCGTCAGGGCTCAATAAGGTTCCAAGTTCCAAGATTCAGCGTCGCAATTACAACTTTCCCGACCTACCCTTCCCCGTACTTTAGCTACTTTCTCAATTCGCGCCGATTCTCCAACTCCGTCCTGCTCCGTGAAACACGACGCATCTCCACCCACCCATGCCAGACCAAAGCAAACAGACAGCACGAACCCTGCCACTACCACGCGACAAATACCAGCTTACCTCTGAGCCCACGCGACGCCTCACTTGCTTCCTACTCGGCTGCACCCAGCGTACGTGCGACACGCGCCAAGAAGCAACCATGGCTCTTGCGCTTGCCCCTGTGTTGACTCGTACGGCTTTACTATCACACTCCTTATCGACATGCCATCTCATCAAAATATGATGGCGGTGAGTAGGTAAGGCTGAGGATTTCAAAGACAGCTTACGGATGCATGTGATTCCGTAGCGAGCTATAGATAATCTCAGCGTGAGGTGGTGTGCGCATGGGGAAGTTCGCCGTTCAGGTGGGTCGATGATTAGGCATCTCAAGCATTGCACTGAAATAGCCGCCAACACAACACTCCGTCCAACAAGAAGCATATGCATCATGCTCGATGAGTAGCGTCAAGTCCGATCTTGTATTACCCTGAATTGAAAATGTGTCTGCACCTGTCATCATCCATATAGTAACCCGGTACAGCTGCATCAAAACCTGGTGTTTTCGAAAAACTTCGCTGTCACGGAATGTCGACAAGAGGTACTTGATCGCTACGTGATCCCATTGTCACATCAGACGGCGTCCCACATCCAAAAACTACATATTCACTATGAGCAACATGACATCAGTGCTTACAGCGATAGAAAGGTCGATGGTTGTCAAGGGTCGGCAACAACCAACGCCGGAAGTCGTCATCTCGTTAAACCTGGCATCACCTGCTGTTTAGCATGTGATGAAGATCAGCCTGATTGACGTGCGCATTCGATGCTTGGCGCAGAGCACCATGCAGCATACAATGTACCTTGCGGATGATATCGCAAAACAACTGCTTGACCCTGCGCGGCCGGCAGTTGAGTTGGGTTGGGTTGGGTTGGGTTGCAACATCGACGAAGCAATACAGATAGCCAAACGCGCCAAAAAGCAGCATATCACAAATCCTACGTCATTCGAGGAATCCTGATTTGGCTCGTTTTTTCATTGCATTCCTACTGCTCGTGTCCCTTGATATCTTTGGTCATTCCGCAGTAACATGTCGCAATGCTTTTTGAAGTGCATGCCTCTTCCCATACCGTAGTCGAAGGGTACTGTGAGCCGAAGAGGATGGAAAGCCTTCCCATTGAGATCGTAACTAATCAGAGAGACGCCTTGTATGCCCCGCCCCAAAGTAAAAATCCGCACCCATCTACGACTCGGTCTTAACGCGGGCCTTGCCGTTGGTAACCTTGACACCGATCTGCTTCGCCCTGGCAATGATTTCGATGCGCTTTCGTGCTGATACAGCGTGGGCGATCCTGAGGAGCTGTTAGTGCCTTGCTTGAGCGACGGGAGACTTGGTGCACGTACTCTGCGGCGAAAGTGGCGTTGTGCATGAGGAGAAGGTCAACATCGGCGACGTTGTTGACAACGAAAGCCTTGTGGCCGGAGGGCATCATGTGGCGGGTCTTCCTGTTGGAGCCGTATCCGATCTGTGAGGCGTTTCGTCAGCCTTTGTCCATCAAACATGTCGTATCGCGCCCATCGTTCTGTCGGTGACAGCCATCCTCCTCAATCCGGGTAGTAGGTAGTCCGTACCTTGGGCATAGCAGCCTGGCCCTTGAACCGCCTGCGGACGCGGTTGTCGATACCCTTAGGCTTGCGCCATGAGGGGTCAACGCCTGTCCATTGTCAGATGCCCATCTTTTCATTCCCAGAGCCGGTGTCTCTTACACATGAAGCGGTCCGACTGGTGGCGGTTGAACCGCTTGCGGTCTATACGGTACGTCAGTCGCGAGTTTTCGAGGTCATGGAGGTAGATTCGGCGTACGCTTCTTCACGATCGGGACATGCTTCTTAGCGGCGACCATCTGGCTGCGGTCAGTAGAGCTACAGCAGCATTCCTCGAGGTATACGCACTTTGACTGCTGTGTGGTTAGTTGTCGTGGGGTGTCGTCAAAAGTTGGCGTTGGATGGATTTTGCGAAGGCGCCGCACCACAGTGGAAGACGCTAGTGCAGCTCGCTTATGCCGTGGCCCTAGCCACACCAAGAGGCGCAACGACCATCAAAAATTCTCGGCGAGCGCAGGTGAAGCACTGTCGCGTGGCTAACAACGTCGCAGTCAGAAAGTCCCGTATGCATCAACGGAAAATTGCAAAAGTCCTGCTTCTGCCTGTGCTCTGAATCTGGGAAGCATCTTGGACCCACAGCACATACATACATCTTGTAACTAGCTAGATCTTGTCGCTTTGCCTAACCAGGGTGACCACCTTCAATCTTCTTCATACAATCACTTCATGTGCACGACAGAACGCAGATGGCGCTCAGCCTCTGAATTACGCATGCTGAGCTAGTCTATTTACTAGAAGATGCTCTTATCGGAGCGCCATAAATCTGGCAAGGGGTATGTATGTAATGCTCCCATGAATTATCGTAACCATGCATCAAGTGTAAAGCCGCCTTCTGATGAGCAAGAAAAAAAATGCCATCTACCATAACTCCCCGCTAGTAGGCATAGGAAGTCCTGATTTCAAATCACAATTCGTCTTCGTCCATCGGCTGCTCATCCGTACCACCGCGCTTGTCCTTCTTGACAAACTCGACAAAGTCGTCGATGACGGAAGGCCATGAAGACTCCTCGTTCCAGAAGCTCATCGACTCATCGGCTAGTGAGAGCTGTGCAAACTTGAGCGTCTCGTTCCACATGTCCTTGTTGACGCTCTTCTTCCACGATGTGTTGAGAAACTCGATCCACCAGCTCAACCATGGCGTATTGGGGCTCGACCACTTGACTGCCGACAGGGGTGAGCTGAAGAGCAACTCCCAATATACGGCGGCCATCTCGAGTGGAACAGCTCTCTGATCTGTGGGTTTGGCAATGGTGAATGTGTATTTGTAGATGCGTGTAAAGAGCTCTTTGTTGTCAGACAGCTCGCTCTTGACATTTTTCAGGTACGCCTTCTGCTTGTCGACGGCATCGCAACTGCATGGGTCAGATACAAAGTAATGAAGAAGTAGATAGTTGCAGCCGTGTCACTCACCTGCGTTCTGACCAACCCTTGACGAAGCCATCGCGGCTCATTTCGCCCATAGTAGGCGCCTGCACAATCTCAAGAGCAGCCAACGCCTCTAGGCCTTCGGCATCGACGCCCGTTTCCTCGAAGTACCGCATGGTACCCTCTACGCCAACAATATCCTTGTCGGGTGCGCCAGCCTCTTGGTACCGATCGAAGAGCTTGGTCAGGTTTGCCTTTGCTGCGGATGAAGCTTGCGCACCGCCGCCGCTGTTGCCGCTGTAGTAACTGTGTAAATAGTCAGCCTCTGATGACATATTGCATGAGTTGGCGGTTGGTATTATATAAATCAAAATCGGGCTGGTTCTACGCAGTGGGATGGGCCGTGGTCCAAGGTTGATATATGTCTCCGTGTCGTACCGACTCTGCAAGCTTTGCCCAGGATTCATTCGGAGCCAAGCATTGTCGTCCCTGATGATTTCTTCTAAGGCAAGCTGCCAGTTTGGTTTTCGCCGCCCTTGACGGTCGAAGCCTGAACCACCCGGAAGCGACATAGCTGATTGTGACCTCAGTTGATGATCAGAAGCGGAAGCGTGGAGGGAAGTCGCCCCATTGATGTCCAATATCGCCAACAAACTCTCAGGTGTAGAGTTAGCCAGGTGTGTAGGCGGAATGGGAGTCGTGATGCTGCGCAAGTGTTGCAGAGTGTCTGTATGCGTTCCTAAACTACCGTACCGGGTGTGACGACGTAAAGTGAACTCACTTTCCGGTAGATTGGTTACGTTCGCGAGAGTAGGGTTGTTGTGCAGCACCCGACTCAGGTGTTCTGCTCGAATCCGATGCTGCTCCAAGTGCGAAGCCTCTACACCATTCGCCAGTTGTGGTACAGAAAGTAGTATAGGGACATCATTGACTGCATGAACTCCACTTTTGATGATACGTTTGATGGAAGCATCACTGTCGTCACAAGCGATGGATTCATCGACAGCTGTGGCCGATTCGACCGTGCATACACCTGCGGATGGGGGATCTTGCCGCTGAGACGGTCGATTGGATAGATTCATGGAGTGAGAGCTGGAACATGAGCTGATCGAGCTGATCCTCTCTCGTCGATTACGCCCAGCCAGTTGTCTGGCTCTATCCTGCGAGGAACCGAACATGGCGGGCTATGATGATGGCGCTGACCTGGCTCGATGTTGGATAGTCGGTAGGGCGGTAGTCTATTGGCGCAATAGACAGGAAGCTCGTCAAGGAATTTGTTGTGGGCTGGAGGATACTGTCGAAGAACAGATGCCGGCGCAGGAGCTTTGTAGAAGAAATAGCAACAGTTCCATGCCGGGAAAGCGAATGACTCTCTGAGCAGGAGCCTCTGGATGTTGTTGCATCCTCGCAGAGCGCAGCTGCTCCCGACCCAACAGCCTGCCATGGCGTGCATGCGGCTGCGGCCGCGACTTCCTGCTTCTCCCTCGAACATCCTGTTGCTACAGCCGTGTTCACGCGTATCAATCTGCTCCTTCCCAGTATGTGTTTGCAAGTATACTTGCTATGTGTCCAGGTGTTGGTCGGTCGTTCGGTCGATAGATTGAGATCGTTCGAATAGCCCACGGATTCACCGTGCCCACTTATATGACAATGATATAATGGTAGTGCTGTATATATATTCGGAACAAAAGACAAAACAGTACTTACGCGTTCACGGCATTCTGCGCATCCCAGCCATGGCTCTTCAGCGCCCTTATCGCGGTGTTCCGGTCGAGATTAGTGAAGCTGATGAATTGCTGAATCGCAGCCTTTTGCTGAGAAGAGTAGACTGTAGGCATTTTGCGTTAGCGCTGTATGCCAAATCGCAGGTGTTGGTTGGTTGATTGAAAGTTCGGGGTGAGCAGAAACCGCGGGGTTGCAGGCGGGTCGAGTAAGCTGGGGGGCGAAAGTAGGCGAGAGGCAGATGGTGCAATAGTGAATGAGGTTCGAAGCACGCTGAGTGAGCGTAGATCCTGGTTGTGCGCTTTATTCTCACAGAACCGTGGTGAGCAATCTCTTTGTTGGCGACAGCTTGGGCGAGATGTGACGCACCGACCGACGAGGCAGCACTTGTAAAGCCGACCCCGCCGAGTCAACTCCACCCTTGTTCGTGCATCCAAGCCCCGGAATTAAGGCCGCGGCGACAAGCTAACTCTGCAACTTGACGTGCGTCGCTCCAGAAGCAGGGACTGGAATAGTAATGAATGAGAGGAGGACTTGACTGCTTACCTTCTTTTTTTGTAGACCTCGTCTTCTTCACTGGACTATCCAACTCGGCGGTGGCTTCTGTAGACTTACGCTTAGGCGCCATCGAGAATTCGGGGTCGTACTCTTTGAGGCCGCCGGCTGAGTCGTGTATATGTCGTCGTGATGCAGCGAGGTATTGAGCACTGTGACTCGAAGTGCTGGGGACGAGCGAATTCTGCTTTGGTCGACTAGGACGCTCGTGCGTTTCCTTTATATCTGTGCGCTTGCTGCAACAGAGAAACCGACGTATCAGGTCACCAAATACCATAACAAAGCTGCTTGCTCTCACTGGAAGCGATGCTGCGACGTGCGCGAGGGGACACAGCTGGTGTGTTCCCAAAGCAGGTTGAATGTTCGCAGTGAATCTGTTTGTGCCAATTCAAATTCTTCAAAATCTAAGGTGAGCTCTGAATGAGGACGTGGACCCAGTCAGGCTCTGAGTCGAATCGATGAGGGAGGCGCGAAGAAGTGACACGGAGTACCGTGGGCTCATCAAGCTAGCACCCAGATCACAAAAGTGACGCGGCATCATGTGTTCTCGTCTTCACTACAAACATCAAGCATAACAACAGTGACTATGCGCCTTCCACGTTCAGACTCAGATAGCGGAAAGTGCAATTTGTGAGTTTTTTGATTAGAGCACCAAAATGCCAATCTATACTGCTGACATGTTACATTCATCATCCCGAAGTCACATTCATACGCTCCAGGTGTCCCTGCAGGCGTGCAATTTTCCCACTGTTCGCTACTAGAAAACGCCAGACACCTCCAATGCTCGGTACCAAACACCTAAATCCTCACAATGTCAACACGCGTCCGTTCCCAGAGCTTATGTGCAACTGCAAACCCTTTCTCCCTTTCTGATTCACTGACAACAGCAGGCTGAACAATAACGCGCGCATATGTTCCTGCCGCACGGCGTTTAGCCAAGGTGCCAGGATTGATGACAAGTACCGACTCCACAACCTATTCGAGATTAGCATATCGCTTTAAAGTAGATTGAACCACCGAACATACCTTGACTGTGCCTTGAAGCACACTAGGCGTGATGAGTATGTCAGGTCGTACATTCAGCATCTCACCCAGCTTAAGATAGCTTGTATCGAGCATGGTGCCCAGAGGAAGGAATGGGCTCGGTGCTTGGTCCAATTCTGGTTCTTCGCCCTCTTTCTGCTCACCGTTCGCTGCATTACTCTTCATGGCCTTCTGCTCAATTGGTGCTGGCATGAATTGCTGCTTCTCCCTTCCAGTTGGCGGGAACAGAGGCAGAAAACTTCGCTGCTCGATAACGTTGCGGGCGCATCGTTCGTAGATGTTGGTGGTTCGTGCCTTGCCGCCTGCTAGCTCTTCTCTACGCAGCATATCTAGGATATCGATCGAGGACATACCCACGGTCATCTCATTCATACTGACAGTCATTGGGTTGGTGACACATTGAACCATCTTTCCTGCAGCACCCAGGCCGAGCTCCTTCTTGATGAACTTGTCTTGGGGAAATGCAGCATGGTGGTGATGTGCATCTCGTAAGCTAGGAACCAGCAGAACCTGGCAGGTTGGTACACGTTTGTTGAAGTTCTGAATAGCGCTGGAGACATGGTATCTGAACAGATCCGTCATGGTGGCCTGGTCTGGGCTTGCGTTTGGTGGTACATCAAAGTCTCCTGACCGAATTTGAGGATGCTCAGCATCGAGGAATGGGCCCACCAGGATGATGGCATCTGCATATGCTTCGGCAGCATTGTCAAGAAAGGTATGCAATGGCGCAAAGTCGAGGTTCTGATCAGTAGTGTAGGGGCCAGAAGCAATCATGATGGTCAGAGGTCGGACGTTGTCAGGATCAGAATCTGGGGTATCGAGGTATCGCGCGTTGATGACATCTAGCTCTTCGGGTTTCGTGGCTGGTGGGTTCAGAAGTGGAAGGGGGAGGACTTCAGACACTACAAACGAGTCTCCTGAAGCGTTGGTGCCACGCAGAGCAACAATCTGACCGGGAAAGAAATCGTATGACGATAGCCCCTCCACGTTCAGCGGTACACGACGCCCTGAGCCATGTCTCCGGGAGCCTTCGAGTACAATTGAAGCTGTATTGAGCCTGCCTTCGCTCGTATCATTTGCTATCCTTCCTACTGCGATAATCTCGCTCGGAGATGGGTAGTTTGGGTTTCCGAATGCACTTTCGTCCAGACCTGCAGTGTCCCTGAGAAGATCACGGAATTCGTCGATCCTATCATCCAAGACCTCAGACGCTTCCGACAGCTTCATGGCCATGGTGCGATATGAGAACTTGGACATGTCTGTGTTGGCCTTGAGTTTGATGCGGGGTTCCTTCGGTTCTTCCGATGGTGGTTCTGGAATAGAAATGTCGCCTTGCACAAACTGCTCGGTGATGTCGTTCGCATTGGTACGGGAAGCAAAGTCAAAGACACTGACTGAATGTTAGAGCATGTCTACACAGCGTAACTGGAATACGTACGGTCCACCTGGAGTTTCAGCTTTTGGTGTCATGCCACCACCAGGAGTACTCATCTCATGTGCCTTGGTGGCCTTTCCTCCTGGTGTGTTGAAATTGGCTTTGCGCTTTACTGTACTTCCATTGGCGCCACTGGGTGCGGGCCGATGTGGTGTGCCTGGTACGAGTCCCTCTAGCCTTTCTCCAGTCAGCTCAGGTATTTATTCGGTTCATGACTGCTCGAAACGTACATGTCATACATGTCCCCACCCTTCGCTCTTGGTGTTGGCTGACCCCGCTTGGGTTCATTTCTTTGCTGTGCCTTCCCTCTGCTTTCGCGTTCCAATGCATCTTGTATGGTTTTCTTGAAGTCCCGTGCTGTCTTCACATCCATCTTGTTCTCTTCTCCACCCATCTTCATGTTGTATGCCTGCCATTTGAAGTCCAGTTCCTCGGGTGAGATGGAGTATAACCGCGACATCGATTGTAATTCAGCGAGGACGTCAGAGGGGAACTGATCCCCCTTCATGTCGCAGTAGCGCTCGAAGCGCTCGGTAAGCTCTGTGGTGAGGTCGTCCATTGTGTGTGTGTTCGTCGATGTTCTGGGATGATGACGGTGAAAGCACTTTGCGCGTGGAAACTCAGAAGACGCGTCGCGCGTGTCGGTGTGGGGCTAGCATAAAGAAGGCCTAGGGCGATCGACGTACATGCAGGGACCGCCTTGTTCCCCAAAAGTTCCCAGGCTGACCGATACTCTTACGCCGCAACAAGGAGGTCTTTTAAGATTCTGGGATAACAGACACGGACGAAGTCACTTCCATAGATCAAACCCCAAACTCGACAACATGTCTGCCATTGGCCCCTTCGCAGAGCCTGCACCAGGCTGCAAACCTGCAGCCGCTCCTGCCTTGACCGCCGACCAACAAACCAAATACGACCAGCTTCTCGCCGATGTCCGGACATGGGATACTCTGCCCACAACTTCAGCAAAGAGTGCCGAAGAATCACCAATCAGCGACGATGAGCGCATCTGGCTCACCCGTGAATGCCTCCTTCGATACCTTCGCGCGACAAAGTGGAACCTTCCTCAAGCCACCCAGCGTCTGCGCGGGACACTGATATGGCGTCGCGAGTACGGCACCGACAAATTCACCGCCGAGTACATCTCAGAAGAGAATGCAACCGGCAAACAGGTCTTGCTTGGTTTTGACAACGAGGGAAGGCCATGCTTGTACCTGCTGCCTCAGAACCAGAACACCAAGGAGACGCCTAAGCGGGTAGAGCACTTGGTCTACATGCTTGAGCGCACAATCGACATGCACCCGCCTGGTCAAGAGAGTCTGGCATTGTTGATCGACTTCAGGAACACTGGGGCTGGCGGTACCCCTAGCTTGGCCACCGCCAAACAGGTCCTCGATATCCTGCAGAATCACTATCCAGAGCGACTTGGCCGGGCATTACTCACACACCGTAAGCGTCCTCCTGCTCTTCTCTAAGAGCAATACTAACGACAAAAACAGTCCCTTGGTATGTCAATGCCTTCCTCAAGCTCGTGAATCCGTTTATCGATCCCGTCACCAAGTCCAAGATTAAGCCCAACGAGCCTCTGCCCAACCATGTACCTGCATCTCAGCTCATGAAGGTCTCTGGCGGTGAAGTCGACTTCAAGTACGACCACTCTGTCTACTGGCCAGCACTAGAGAAGCTCACCAATGAGCGGAGACAACAAAGGAAGGAGCGATGGGAGAAGGCTGGTAAGATAATCGGAGAGAGCGAGATATACCTCTGGGGAGGTGATGAGCCCAGCCTTGCAAGTGGAACAGCCACTGACACTGCAGTGGAGGCTACCCAGCCTCCTACAGCAGTCGAGGGTGCCAGCACCGCACCGAACGGGGGTGCGGAACTTGTTGAAGGTGTTGACAAGTTGGACATCAAAGAAGGCGAGCCGGTCAAGGCTGCTGCCTGAGCGCATGTTGTGACACCATGAATGGTTGCTTTGCTACTGTATATACGTATAGACCCATAGACGGACTGATCCGATAATGCAACATATGTTAGCCGAGAACTAATTTCGACCAAGTGAACTATACAAGTCTGCCATATAGCCGATCATCAGGGACTAGCAAAGTGGCGTCAGGTGAATGCAGGCTAGAGGCGACACGTCGATGGCGTAGTGTCATACGCACGTGCGCGCAACCTTGCACTAAAAGTGCTCGGACATACAACGCGTCTCCCATCACCGTCCCCGCCTCCAAGCATACCAATCGCGCCGCGCTTTTGCCCCCCAACCTCTAGAACCATCACTGAACAATCGCGCGCAACCATCATGAGCGCGGCCGAATCGCCCTCGGGGGCTGACCAAGTCGCATCTTCCGCCGCGCGACGCAAATCCGGACGCGTATCCAAGAAACCTGCCAGATTCGCGCCAGGCGCAAGTCCAACCGGCAGCACCAAGCGAAAGCGCGGCGACGACAGTGACAGCGGGGTCGACGCGACTGAGCCGCCATCCGAGGAAGAGTCTGAGGAAAGCAGCGAGGGCGAACCAGATGAGGAGGAATTGAGGGAGCGCAGGCGCAGGAAGAAGGCCAAGGCAACTGCGCGCAAGCCTGCATCCAAAAAGGCCAAGACGAATGGCGACAGCGTCAGTCTGGCCATCCGACCCGCCAACAATGCGACCAGGAAAGTGTCCAAGCGCCCACGAAAGGCACCTATACGCAAGAGCGCGCTGCCCGATGAGACGGAGGGACTATATGGTAGGTGTGCGGGTACGCCGGGAACATGCACAAACTAACGCGCAACAGCCGACGTGTTTGCCAGCGGAGACCGACTCGAAGATGTCACTGCACAATGGATCACTCGGTTCAACGAGCACGAGGCAAAGGCTCTAGCTGAGGTCGTCAACTTAGTACTGCAAGCTTCTGGATGCGATCTGCGGATAAACGAAGACGACATATCAGACCCCGACAACGCGCCAAATCGCGTAGCCGAGATTCAGGAAGAGTTCCAGCAGGTAGGCATTGGCCTGTGTTGTATAGCCTTCTATAGCTAACCATCGCAGTACGAAGTCACAGAGTATCCGCTGATCGCAAAGGCGAAAGACGGCGGCGGTCAAGCTTTCAGAAACGCGCTACATGGCTTCTTCGTTACTCTGATACAAACCGTAGCGCAGTCAGGCCTCTTGTACGAGAGCGCCGAGCTCATCGAGAACATCTCTGTGTGGCTGGGCGCCATGTCTTCTACCGGCAATCGTCCCTTCCGTCACACCAGCACTGTTGCTTCATTAGCCATTACGACCGCATTGGCACAAGTTGCTGCTGACCTTGTCGAGAACACAGCCAAACGTGTTCGCCAAAGCGAAGCGGAAGCCAAGAAATCGAGAGTCAACAAAGCCCGTGTCTCTGCGGCGGATCATGAGATTGAAGAGTACAACCAAAAGCTGGAATTTGTAGGCAGTCAGCTGGACGACTGGTTTGCGGCCGTCTATGTGCATCGGTACCGTGATGTGGATCCCAGGATCAGGGTAGACAGTGTGGTAGCCCTAGCAGACTGGATCATCACATACCCCGACAAATTTTTCGATGGCACCAAACTTCGCTATCTGGGTTGGGTGCTTTCAGACCCAGTTCCATCAACACGGATAGAGGTTCTCCACCAGCTCGCGCGCTTGTTCAAAGACGAGAGTAAACTGGCCGGGCTCAAGACTTTCACCGAACGCTTTCGACCACGTATCGTCGAGATGGCCACGCAAGACGCTGAGATCAATGTGCGTGCTGCAGCAGTCGACCTGCTCGACATACTCCGAGAGGCTGGCTTCCTGGAGCCCGACGATATCGATTCGGTTGGCAAGCTCATCTTCGATTCCGACGCAAAAGTCCGCAAGGCTGTGGTAGGCTTCTTCGCTGAGAACGTCAACGCCGCATACGAGGCTACTGTCGAGGAGATGGGTGGTGAAGAGGCTCTTAACGAAGCCCTGGCACCACCTGATGAAGAAGAAGAGGAGTACCACAACCCACGACTTGAATGGTTGAAGCTGAAGTGTCTTGTCGACCAGTTACTCTCGTACGATGAAGATGAAGCTGAGCTGCCTTCACAGATTCAACGCATGTCGCCAGGCACTGAGTTGCTTTTGATTGCCTCCGGTGTGGAGTCACGGCGCTCGCTCGCTGCACAAGCGTTGTATGATGTGATTCCGGAAATTCGATCGTGGGAGGTTGTGGCTGGCTATCTTCTCTACGACCATTCTCAGACTGACCAGGATGAGAGCGACGACCCTGAAATCGTTCTTCGTCAAACATGTCAACTCGAAGAGAAGCACGAGACCATCCTCCTAGACATTCTAAGTGCAGTGGTCAGTAGCAAACTGCAGCGCATGGCGGAGGCACAGAAGGACAAGAAAAAGACCAAGACGCAGCGCGAGAACGACATGGAAGACCAGTCAGATATGGCTCGGCGGCTTTCACTGCTGATTCCTCAGCTCCTCAAGAAGTTTGGTGCTCTGCCTGAAACAGCAGCACTGTGCCTCCAAATAGAACGCGAGCTAAATCTGGACGTGTTCGAAGAATTGCGACAGAACGCAGCTCTTACTGCCCTGCTCGACGACATCAACAAGCAATTCCTCACTCATCACAACGAGCGTGTTCTCGGAGAGGCTATCAAGTCAATCTTACATGCCCAAGGCAGTGAAGAGTTACGAGAGACCGTCGATCTCAAGGTGCAAGCGCTATGGGATGACTTGACCAACACGTTCGATGCTCTTCGACGAGACAAGGATCTTTCCGTGCGAGGCAATCTCGATCAGAATATCCTCCGCGGCGTATCCAATGTAGTACTGAAGATAGCGCAGCTAGTAACGGTCTCAGACGCTTCTGTGCTTGATCAGCTCCCCGCCCCACCAAAAACAAAAGGCAGGGGCAAGAAGGCCGCCCTAACAACACCGCCTATTGACTCAGTGTTGCAGATACTCGAGCGCGGAGTGCCAGTCGAGGATCTAGACGCAGAGATTGAGGAGGCAGACGACACCCTTGTCCGCCATGCTATGTCGGTCATGCTCATGTACTTCATGTGGAAGTGCAGAGATTGCACCACGCATGTCGAGGAGGGCACCAGCATGCCAGAAGACGAACTCATGTCCCTGGTCGAGCGAAGAGATACCTGTATCACAACATTGATGAGCATCATGGAGAGCCGAAAAGGCACAGATGAAGTACGACTCAACGCTGCGAACCTCTTGCTAGACGTCTACACTATGTTCTGCACACTCCGGGTCAAGAAGGACAAGGGCAGGGTCGCAAAGACACCGAAGAAAACACAAGGTCGCGCCTCAAACTCAGCCAACGATGATTGGGAAGCTCTCTGCCAGGACATCGATGACAACACCACGAAACTCATCCTACAGACCCTCACAGCCTGGGAAAACCACTTGGCTAAGCTCACCAACAAGCGCCTTGAAGAGCCAGATATTGATGACGATCCTATCGATCCAGACGACGATCCTGAGAGTGACGAAGAAGACGCTGCAGACGAGTCTGGCGTTTCCGAGAAGCGAGTACGTGCCGCTTTGGCAGAGCAATCGCTTGACGCATTCGGTGGCCGCATCGTTCACGCCGTACTCGTCGGCGCCCTCGATAGTGACGGTTCAGGCACCGTACGCAAGCGTCTTGAGCGCAACAAGATGAAGCTCACACCCACCTGGAAGGAAATCGTGAGCCATCTTGACGTCGTCAAGCAGCGCAAAGTTGCCAAGAAGAGCAATGCAAAGCCGAACAAGTCGGACGCCAAATCGACCAAGAGTGCAGAAGTTGTAGAACTCGATAGCGACGAGGAAGATGAGGAGGGCCAGGAGCCAGAACACGAGGTTCCAGGTGACGAGATCGAGGATGAGGAAATGGCTGACGGTGATGACAACGCTGAGCAGACCAACGGTGTTGAACAACAGAGCAGTGAGAACGGCGAGGAACCGGAGAAGCAGCCTAATGGCGACGATGAGGAGAGTATCCTTGGGGATTGAATGAGCTGTTGTGAGAGGTATTGCAATCTGAGTGGGGGTTTATCGTTGTCTACTTCGTCACTTCTTACGTATGTTTACGGTGAGGTTATATCCAGTGGCAGGTGTCTGATGTTTCTCCATCGATTCGTTCGCTGTATAGTACAGCCAAGCACGGCGCTCCGGCGTTAGCCATTGCAGACGGCTTTCCTAACGCTTCCTCTGTATGATGTTTTATGAGGCGATCAAATTTCGCTTTCGAGATAATGAAATTGCTTTATTAGAACGTTCTCAAATCTGAAAATGCAAACGTGTGATGGTGCCATAGCTGGTTGACCGACCGAGAGAGCACAAAATCGCACATGTACAAGCAGCAAGCCGCTATGTAGCGTTACAGCATCCAATTCCAGATCCCGCCATGCTCCATGACCCCGCTTTTCACTAGTCAAGCTACCGCATTCGGCATCCTATCGCAAAAACCGTAGTTTGTGTCGATGTCTTGGCACAGCGACAAGTCGCGATGAGCTGCGCCGTCAAATTAGCGTGCGCACAGGCCAACCCACACAACATTCGAAATCCGCAATCCCACCATTGTGAACCGTCAAGCCTACGCACGCCCGATTGATCTCCGCCGACGACACAAGTCAATACTGTGCGTATACCTATTGAATCTGCGACAGGAATCACCATAGCGATAATTTGCTAATACCAAGGCAGCAAACGACAACCCCCGTCAAAACCCTCAACCACACATCATGTCTCACGAGTCGGTCTGGTACTCCCGCCCTAGGACTTACGGCAAGGGCTCCCGCGAGTGGTACGTCTAAAATTCTGGATAATGCGCGTGCGAGCGCTGGTTAAATGTACTGGGCGAGCGAGCGCACCGTGTTGGTCTCGCAGGAGGGGGATTGGACAGATTTGGATACAACGGTGCATGGTTTCCAGGACCCGAAGGCTAACACAGTACTCACAGCCGCGTCTGCACCCACCCCGCTGGTCTGATCCGCAAGTACGGCCTCAACATCTGCCGTCAGTGCTTCCGTGAGAAGAGCTCCGACATTGGCTTCGTCAAGGTATGTTCTGCTTCATACTTTATACCTATACTTCACATCATGTGCACGGAGGAACACTGAAGCTAACAACTCAACAGCACCGTTAAATCCTTCATTTTCGAACGGCAGGAGTAGAAATGGGCGCAAGTGACGAACGATGATTACCTGACGATACGATAAAACAAAGTTGCCCTCGACCCGACCACATCACGATCAAGCAAAACAGGAAATGGGCTCGAGATTAAGGAAAAGCAAAGCTGAGAGAGTGAGCTTTGTAGTCGGGCGGGGATGTTTCTGCATGGCGTATTTTCCTCATAACATTGTTTACGGGTAATGGGGGAGATATCCGGCTTTGCATGCAATGAGAAATCAATCCTGAATTCACAACATGCTGTCGTTTTACCGTTGGAAATGTGGAGTGCTGTCGTACCTAGGGCATACGTGATGGTTGAATGATGCGACAGGATAACCCAGGAGAACAGCTATTAGCTCCGGATTCGCATCGAAGGCATCCCTATGATGTTTCTTAACGACAAGAAGCAAACAAGCCGACACATCTTGGACAATCCGCAAAGACAAATCTCTAAGACTGTTACATCGATAATCAGGACACGCCCATGTTTCTACCCGCATCGGCGTTCGCTGCTAACAAATAAGTCTTATCAGTCGAAGTGTTGGTCGACCGGCCGATCGTGTTCCTTACCAACTTCCTAATCTTCACAGTCTGCCATACGTAGCATGGACGTTCAACCCACTGACAGCCATTACTTACAGATCATGTCATTCGTTACTGCATCAGAACCTTGAACTCAATATATACAAAAACTTTGCAACACAACGCCTCCAGGCCTACTCTTCAATTAGGCGATAAAAGCTCTCCTCTTCCTCGTTGTAGCAGTCCCCGCCCTAAGCGCACTCTCTCCCTTCAAATCACTCACGCACTTGACATTAGTCGGCCTTGCCGTGTCCCTAGCACTGTACGTCCATTTTCCCGGCTGCCCACTCACGGCCACCATGGTGCGTCTTGTTGTTCCATTAAGAAGCAGCGTCATACTCTTGTTATCCCCGTTCTTGACATTGGAAGTACAAGACGCGGTTATACTGCCTGATTGCCGTGACTCCCATGTGTAGGTATCCATAGTGACAGTGTCAGCGAGCGTGGGGTTGATCTTGACAGTGACAGTTGCTTTGCTAGATTTCGTAGTGTCGGTTTTGGAGGTAATGGTCAGTTCGAAGGTGAAGGAGGTTTCTGTTGTAACTTTCGGTGCGAGGAATGTGGCGCTGGGGCTGTTGGCATTGATTATGCTAATGGCCGGGCTGGAGGGTGTGGTCTTGGTCCAGGCAAAGTTCAGATCAGTGTCTTTGAGGCCAGAGGCAGTGTTGGAGCCGAGTAGTGTGACATCTGTGCCAACACGGAGCGCAGATGCAAAAGTGGCAATGGAAGCAATTGGCGCGGTCTGGGGTGTGGATGGTTCAGAAGGTGTTTCTGGGTTGGGAGAAGGTGAGGGTGTGGGTGTGGGTGTGGCATTCGGATCTGGGATATCTGCGGGACTGCAGGTCTTGGATGGCGCTGGTGGAGTCGGGCCTGGGAAGGGCGAGAGAGGACCATACTGTTTGCCGTCGAGGAAGTCTCCTTGTACCAGGCCTCTGATGTCATTGAACGGGTACGGCGGTGGGTTTGTTCCGGGGACATCAACTTCGGGAAAGATCCACTCGCTAACAGCTGCGATAAACTGTCCTGCCTTGATGCCATCTTTGGTCGTCTGGACTGGACTGTTGGTCGTGATACGGTACTCACGGGTGAAAGGAGCTTGAGCTTGCGGAGCGATGCGAGCCTCCCACTTGCAACGAGTTTCTTGCTTCGGCTGGGTTGTACCGATGGTTCGATAGGTTTCCTTTCCCGTACAAGGGTCGACATCAATGGCACTGATGGTAACTGTAGCACCAGCACAGCTGGAGAGGAAACCGATGGCACGGATATCAGCAAACTCTACATTCGCAGAGTTGTCTGGTACGCCAACAAGAAAGTCCTCAACCCGAATGTAGTTGGGTACGTCCGCGCCAGCTTGAGTGGTAATGTGCAAGCTGATGCAAACAATAGACGAAGCGAGGATCTCGCCACCACCGTTCTTGAGACCAGAGTATTCGATGAAATCGCCGACCTTGAGAGGTACCATGGCAAGGGGGTCTTGTGGTGTGAATGTTTGGCCGGAAGGGCGATTGGAGCTCGAGCACTTTGCGGTGTTTCCAGAGTACGGTATGCACATGGGGAAGCCTGAGAAAGATGATACCGAAGGGTTGGCTGTATCAGCGATCCAGTACTTTTGCGAGTCGTACTGTGGTCCGAACAAGCCATCTGGATCGTTGATGCGGACTGTCGGCCCACTAGCTATCTGGAGCGTACCGTCGTCGTTGATCTTTGAGATATAGCCTTGGCTTCCCTCGAGACCGAAGCGTTGAGCGACTGAGATCTGGCCGGCAATTATTTTGCCGTCGACAATATTGCCAACAACTGTAGTCTCGAAACCAAAGGCTCCAGCATCACAAAGCTCTCGGAACGGTGCCCATACTACCGGGAACTGAACGATGAGATTTTTCGGTACTTCGATTGCAAAGTTGTTGACCGAGACACTACCACCAGCATTGTATTCTGAGCCCGTGGACGCACAACTATCTCGTGTTAGCGTTGGTCTTACACCCCAAGTAACAAACGTACCCATCAAGAGATCCAGTAACAGTAAATGGCTGAATACTTGGGAGTTGCGCCAGACTTGTTGAGGCCAGCGCAAGGAAAGAGGCAACCTTTGATACACGAGACATCTTAAACTGCCCAATTGTGACAATGTGTGGTGAAGATCTGGTGTGAATAATAATCTGGAATGGGAAACATGGCGATTATATAGATATCAAGGAACCCACCTTTCCGTATCTGAGTTGGACATTAGTCGCTCTGCTCGAAGTTCAACACGACATGATAGTACCAGTGCACCAAGATAAACACCCAGACCTCGTCTCTTCCGATATCTTGAAGACAATCAGGAGAATGCTGTAGGTCTCGAAGCTTGGCAAATGCTTCAGTCAACCCACCGCCGTCTCCGTGACCAGTAGGATGCCCATGGCGTCCGCCATCGATATTTCCAAGAAGTGTGGCGAGGACAGCTGGGAGGACAAGGCTGCCACGAACTTTCCACTGCGGTGTAGTCAGTTGTCCGCGGGTAGGAAATGCTCATCCTAGTCATAGAGGAGCAAGGTCTATTCCTAGTCTCAGAGACAGAATGGGCTACCACTGCGACGTCCCACTAGCCTAGTTGCCGCAAGGCTACCGAAGGTTGATCTGGACCTTTGCAAACCCTGGATAAGTCCCTCGTACCCACATGGGGAAACCTGGGGTTGTGAAGCGGCTGAGAATCGCCAAGACAATGCTTCTCGTATCCAAGCCTACGATTACCCAAGATCCAGGTCCTTGAGGGCTCGAGTCGGAGTCTAGCGACACGGGCTAAGGAGGTTTTCTGTTAAAACAAAATCATTTTCTCTTGACATTGGTTTTACATTCTCATAGAGCGATACTGCCGACGGAGTATGCTTCTTCACTTTCCCGCACACGCGATAGATGTCAGAAACGAACCATGGAAGATACAAAGCGCGGGAACCGGAGTTGTCACTAGAGTCAAGAAATCATTGACTGTATGCGCTGGCGAAGTCTTTCAGCTACAAGCTTGTTGTGCCAAGGATGTGGCTTGCAGTTGCGTGATCTGCAGGATGGACTATTTTGATCGCCGCTAAGCTTCAAGACTTGCAGAACTGGCAAGACTTTGAGCGGAAATGCGACAGACTAGGTCCGTAATAGACAAATAGGGAAGACAGAAGCGAAAAAGAAAAGGCGTGGCTGCTCCAGAGCTGTTCAGCTGGGTCTTCCTCGAATATGCCGTGCTTGGCCCTGTAGGTGCGGAGGCAAGTGCGGAGCCCTAGTATCGGCGCCTCTCGCTTTCGACCTGGTTTCCAAGATGTAAAACGCGCATTCGGAATAGTAATGCCTCATGGGGCGTTTCCGCTGTCTAAGAATTCACCGGACAAGGCGTGATCATCAACGGGATGTAGTGAGGTTCCAGACTTCCGTGTTCGCTTAACCCCATGCACGCCATTCACGTGGCAATAGCCTGGCAATATAGTTGAGCCAATAAGAAATGGTCCCGTGTATCTTTACCTTCAGGCAATGCTGTGATGAATGGTTGGTCCAGAGTCACCTGAACAAGTGAGAGCAAGAAGCCGCTCTACGGAAGTTGTTTGAATAAACAGTCCGTTTTCAGCTGGAATATGCATCCCCAGAACTCGTAGATGCATTGTAATAGCTAGACTGCGATGCGCATCACGTTGAAGGCTTAAGCCAGACATGCCAGAAGTTGATACAGATTGACAACATGGTAACACTTGTCCTGGAGACAACATCACATCATGAAGAATTGTGAGCATAAGAATGCAATAACATCGATTCGTCCCAAAGGCTAGCTGCGTATTATTTACACAAGCAATACGTTGTCCTTGAAGGAAAAAAACGCCAACCTGACCCTGTCGGGCAAACAGGTAACTGAAACGCCTGGTAAAGATGCCGTACCCAAACCCAATGTGAACGCATAATAACTCCCATTCCCTTAATATCATCCAAGTTTGACTCGTTTACCCATCGCGCCACTTACATACTACGTAGCAGACACCAACGGTAAACTCTGCGTACCATTGCCCTTTTGCCCTCTATTCGACGCATTACCTGCCGTGCGCATAAGGTTAGGTGAGACCTTTTGGAGAGTGGGTGTGGTTTTTGGAGGCGTGGGGGCGTCGGCCTCTGACTCGTTGTCGGACGTCAACTGTGTTGACGGCGCATCCTCTGATTCTGCGTCGCTGGCTTCTGTCTCGGTGTCCAGTGTGGTGGGTTCGATTTGAGTGCCGACTGTGGGGGAATCCGGCACTAGCTCTTCCGCTGGGTGTTGCTCGGAAGTGGTATCGAGAGTGGCTGGTTGAGGCACTGGTGTTGTTTGTGGTGGGATGAGATCTAGTAAGTCTTCGTCATCATCTGGCAGGGCGATGGCGACGGCCTCCTCATCAAGTGCGGTGACTAGGGCAGTCATAACATCATTTGGCGGCAAGGGTGCCTCTTCGACCACAGATGTACTCTCTGCTGTGACTAATGGTAAAACAGCCTCCTCGTTGATACGCTCATAGAAAAGCATGAAGACGTTCCCTTGGTGCGCTTCCTGTTCAGACACGGGGTAAACGCTATCATCACTGAAACGCCACCACTGTTCTGATTGTTGTGTAGACGGTACTTCTTCGGGCTCTTGTACGGCAACATCCTCGGCTTCTTCGTCTTCCGTGGATGATGCCTCAGCATCTTCATCACTCTCAGGCTTCGGCTCCGTTTTGGGGTGCGAACGGTAGCAGACGTAGTGGCCGTTGCCATGCGAGCCGTAGTGCGTAACAGCGGCGCGCAACCGGTATTGGAATGGCGAGTCTGTCATAGGCTCATCCCTTGCTAGCATCGACTGTCTAGGGTCCTTGGGCCATTCCTCTTCTGACGTAGCGGGCTGTTGTGAGCCATGAGGGATACCACCGAGACACCAGTTTCCGAGATCCAACACTGTTGGGTATGAGACTCCTGCAGTGTTCTTGAACGGCATGCCAGTATATTCATTGAAGCTGCTTCGGTTAATATGCAAGACCAACGACTGAGGCGCGCGTGCAACGACGGCTTGTTTCGACTTTGTGCTCTGTACCCAATTCTTCTTCGGCACATTTAGGGTTTTCAGCAGTGTCTTATCTTCAAAATCTTCTTTTCCCAGAGCCTCTTGTACAGCGTCTAGTCTTGCTTTTAGTGGCGATTCGGGTTTAGCAGCGATTAAAGGCGAAAGAGTCCGCTCCAGCTTAAGCAGCGTACACTTTGCGCATTCGACGCCATCGATGAATTCCAGGGTTGTGTATTCGTCGAGACACTCCCGAACGTCGTAGCTGTAGCCTTTCCCAAGAGATACAGTGATGCAGTTGAACGGAATAAGGGTGAGACCTTCGGAGTAGCCGCAGGATGTGCAGCCAACACGCTGAGCGAGGCGTCCCTCAAGAGGATTTGACGGGACCTGGGGTTGTGCTCCTGACTTATGCAGTCCGTCCTTTGTTTCGTCTTGCGCTTTCTCATCTGTATTTGTTGAGTCACTCAGGCTCTTTGTGACTTCCAGCCAGGAGACAGAGGATCGCCTCTTACTGCTCGCGGTCTTCTTGACTTCCTCATCTAGCGCATCCAAGATTTTGCTATAATACTCCTGCGCATCCTGTTGTTCGAAAGTGCTCATCGACTTCAACTTGCCACGTATCCAAAAATGTTGGCCCTTGTTGTTCGGGTCGTTTAGCTGTGTGATGATATCGAATAGCGCGCCATTTGTGGTATCCGGGGTAAGCGCGGGATTTTCGGAGGTGGTTTTGGAAAGATGGTCGCGTAGGGATGGGAGGGACGCGAGGCCTTGGATAACGCTGTTTTGGTAGCAAGAGTTGCTGATATTGCCCAAGCCCGGTGGCACGTCGCTAGGGCCCTTGGAGAAGGCATTCGCAACCCCTCGTACCCCCTTTTGCAGCAAGTTCCCCGGGGTCGTGCCAAAGAGACTACCGAACATGCCTCCCTGTTGGGCTGAATCGTCGTCGCTGGAGGCAGAAGCTGTTGAGCCAAAGGAGGCGCCGCGAAGGCGTAGGACGTCGGATGCCATTTGGAGAAAGCGTTCGACAAGATGCCAGACGGGAAAGCCCAGTATGTCCAAGGCTTTGATGAGAACGTATGCACCTATGATAGTTCCCAGGAGAAGGGACGTGATGTTGATGGTATGCGACTCGGTTGTGTTCCACCGTTGTTGATAGGCCTCGAATTCGGGGTACTCTGCGTAGCTCATAGCTAGGTGGGAGGTAGAAATAAATTTGAAACGCTAGGCTCCTACGGGCAGGCTGGAGGAGCGGCGGTAGCGAAAAGTATGTAAACTATGGATAACACGCTTGCAGGCGGGCGCAAATGGTGGGTCACATTCAACCTTCGGGCCAGCGCATGAATGGAGGGGTCGAACAGAGCAAACGCGGTGGAGTGTCTGTCTGCGACATGGGAGAAGCTGGGCGCGACAGTCGGGGGTGAGCGACGACGCGGTGGTGGCGGCGAAACGGCGTGAAGAATGTCCTAGGGCAACCGCGATGGCCTGTGATTATGAGAGGTCATGGCAGGTGTGGGAACGCGCTAGCGGCTCAAGTGGATCCGGAATTTTGGCGTTCACGAGCTAGTGGGGAACTTTTGTAGATTTCTGGGACGATGCGAGACTTCATTCACACACGACCTTTTTGCTAAAAACGAAATTTGAAGCTAAAGCGCGACTAGCAGACTAGATCGCATATCTCTGAGCATCCACTTGCACCCTCGAGAAGCCCTTTAGCAACACCAGAAAAACCAATACACAATGGCAAAGACCGCAAAAGTCAAGAAGCGCCGTAAGCACCTCGACACCACCCTTCTCATGTCCACTCCCTAACAGCCGATAGCGGTGACCATTCACTCACGTGCTGCCCGACGCGCCGCCTCTCCCTCTCTCAATCTTGACAAATCCGCCCAAAAGCCCGCCAACACAACCCGAGATTCCGCCTCACCATCGCGGCCCTCGCAAGCCAATCCTCATGCCCTAAAGGCAAAAGATGCCGGCATCCAGAAGAAGCAAAAGAAAGACACAAAGATGACGCGCGCACAACGGTTACGTTACCAAAGAGGGCTTGAGCGTGCCGAGGAAAACATGGATAAGCTGGAGAAGAAGAGGGCCAAGAGCGTGGGCAAATCGAAGAAGATTGTAGAGCGGGCTAAGGGCTGGGAGGACGTGAATGGTGACGGAACGAAGAAGTCGAAGAAGCAGATTGCGATTGAGCAGCTGGAGGATGAGGAAAAGAGGAAGGAGAGGGAGTGGGTCAGCGATGAGGATATGGATGTTGAGGAAGAGACGGCGGCGGTGGAGGAGAATGGTGAGGTCAAGGGCGAGGGCAAGGAGATGGATGCTGAGATCTCGGAAAAAGTTCCGGCGCCTGTCGAAGTGGAGGAAATGCTTTGAGGTGGGGAAGGACAAGGTTTCGTTCGCAAAACTCACGATGCACATGATACCCAAAATCTACAAATCCATGCGTTGCACTCTTTTAATTGCAGCCATGCTGACACCCGAATTCGCCATCGCCTTGTGCGTGGCCAAAGTATACACAATGGTCCCAAGTTCACCCTAGAGAGAGGTAATCTATGTTACCAATACAGCCAAATCCATGGAAATACATGTGATTGCCACTCCACTACCCCCTTCTCCCCCAACCATTAGCATAATCGTTATCCGCCTCCACCGCCGTCTGCAGTTGTGTCTTATAAGAATGCCAAAGCGACTTGATTTGTCCGTCTGCCTCCATGGTATCCACAATCTTCCTTGCCTCCTTCTCCCTCTTGCGGTCACTCTTCCCTTCTCTCTTCACCAGCTTCTCAGCTGATAGATGCCCTTGTGCCTTGAGATGGTCCTTCACCCACTGGTAGAGGTTGTACCGCCAGTGGTACAGCGTATGCGCGACTTGTGCGTTGGCTTTGCATGTTGAGCCGAGAGGGAAGCGGTGAGATTCGGGTGGTATACGGTCTTTCTGGTAGTTGTACGATGGTTTTTCACCGTTGAGCGCGGTTTCGGAGTCAGATGATAGGCCAGAGGAGTCGCTGTCGTCACTATCAGAGTCTGAGGAATCTGAGGCGGAGGACAAGGGCTCGAGTGTTTCTGGATGGTAGGGCTGGCCTTGGAGGAGGAGCTCGAAACTCGCTGTGTGGTTGGTTCGATTACATGCTTCGCAGTGTGGCGACATGACGGCTCTTTCGGCAGCACTGAGTTCGTTGATCATAAGATCGGGGCGTGCGCGGATAGCTCTTGTAAAATCGGCTGTCCAAACTGATGATGTATATTTGGATCCGGCGAGACCTTTTACTTCGTCGTCCAGTTTACGGAATGTCAGCGTGTAGACGTTCTTCTTCGAATCGAAACCTGGATGGATCTTCTTCATGACCATCCACTCTACGGCGTGTTTGAACAAATCCCGTGTCTTCGCACGTGACAAGCTAAATGCCAGACGCATTTCGTCAAGGTCGTCGTTGACAGATGGTTCCCCAATCATGTTGTCTGGATCGTCGTCGATGAACTGCTCGTCTTGTTCATCCTCTTGGAACATGTCCAATGCATTTGCATCGCGGTCTGACTCTTCTTGCTCGTCGTCTTCGATGTCATCCTCTTCCAGTACGTCGAGATCACTATCTGGTTCTTCTTTGATTACCTCAAGCTCTGACTCAGAATCTGTGTCTACCACAACTGCTCTTTTGCGCCCAGGTGTTGCTGAGAAGGACGGCTCATTAGTAGTACCAGCACGTCGCCTCTTCAACGCTTCGAGAGCCTCCTGTCGTTTGTTCTTGGGCTTATCTTGCGTACTTCTTAGTCTACCACGGTCTGGTAGTGGAGATGATCTCAGAAATGCAAGTTCCTCCTTCAACTCGTCTTGCTCTTCGTCGTTCTCTTCGTCATTTGCGCTTCCTTCAACTCCTCCCGACTCTTCCTCGTCCGACACGACATCCCCCCTACCTGAAGCTTCATCTTCATCTTCTGAGGGCGATTTGCGCCTTTTCAATCTGCGTCTTGTGCTTCGTGGTGGACTCTGTTCCTTCTCCCTTTCGACTGGTGGAGAAGGCTGGCGGGTTGTCTTCCGCCTTGACCTTGGAGCTGGCGTGAGAAGAACGTCGTCTTCTTCATCTTCGTCTGGTGTTGAGGCCTTCTTCACAGCCCTTCGCCGGCTGCTACGAGGTGCAGGCTGCGTCTCTTCCTCCTCTGATGTGCTCTCCTTCTTCTTACTCCGCTTGTTGTCTTTCTTGTCCTTCTTCTTTCTCTTCTTCGGTTTCTCGGAACTATCCGACTCGATTTTGACGCGCTTTTGACGTTTGCGCGGGATGACTGTGACTGTCGGCTCCTCATCATCAGAATCGTTGGGCGTCGCGGCTCGTCTCCGCTTCCGTGATTTAGGTTCCTCCACTGGCACTTCGTCTTCCTCATCCACATCATCCTCGGATCTGTCGCTGGGCGTCGCCAACGCTTTGTAGTTTCGCAACATGACAAGAGCCAACGGTTCGTCTTCTTCTGGAGGTGTAGAGTCGGCAGAGTCACTGTCGGAGTAATCAGGCCTAGAGCTATGGAGAAGCTTGCCCAACTCCTTCCCTCGCCTTATTCCAGCTGCCAATGCGTCTTCACCCCAAAAGTCTTTCTTTTTGTTTTTAGAAGCTCCGCTAGGCGCTTTTTCCAATTCTGTAGCCGTAAGGTTCGGTCGCGAAGGCGAGTTCCTCATCGTTGTGGCGGCACTTGATCTGGTTGCAGGCGAGGATTTGGGAGCAGGTGAGAAGTTGATTTTGGTCTGCCGTTTGCGATCGCGGGGTTTTTTGGGTGCCATCTTGATGACTCTGGCCTTGCACTCGGCTTCACTGTGGATATCTCACTGTCTCACCCTAGGTCTTGTTCTGCGCGGCACAGTCGCGTGCAACAACCGCGTTGCGCAAACGTTGCCGTATACGCAAAAGTGTCGCTAGACCGTAAACAATGGTGTGCGACAACTAAAATATCCAAAAGATATGTGAAAGAAGCTCCACTGTAGCGGAAAACCGTCTGTCTCTCGATGACGGTGGGGCCGCAGAAAGATGCGCCTGCCACGACGGGCGATTCGAGCGAGGCGCGCGAGCACGTGCGTTAGCGTCGTGCGTTAGCGTCATGCGTCTTTCCGACGCCCACCTGCATAGACGGAACCAGTAACAAGATAGAAATATGTTCTTCAAGACTTCTGTGCTCGAGGTTTGTTGGAGAATGGTCATTTTCAGGAAATCTGCGGTGCGAGGATCTGCTACACGTCTCTGAGTAATTTTGCCAAAGACTATTTGAGCTCATCAATCCATATAAAATCTAGTCACAACAAGTATTACTTCATTCATACGTTAACAATTCGAAATTATATCACGACATACTTTAAGTCTTCAAGCATCCATTCACTAGAGCGCGTTCTATTACGACCTTACTTCAAGGATTGTTTCGCCCTCTATCCTCAAAAACATCAAAATGGTTAAACACCTCAGCTGTGGCGTTCACTTCGAATTCCTCCTCACACTGCCAGCATATCTGTGTCTTACATGCCGCACATATGACGAGATCAGCGCAATCAAGCTTCGGAAGAGGCATAAGACAAGTACGACAGTTCCGAGCGTCGTTGACATCATTGCGTTCTCTCTTGCCTGCTTTGACGTCTGCGCAGACTAGTTGTTCATGTGGCTTGCCGCCACAAGCTGGGCATGCACTTGGATCCTGTACCTCTTTGCTGCCGTCGTGACCGGAGTCAAGCGTGTGACTGAACGGACACTTTGCGCCTCGTTCGCACGCATTTCTGAGATAGTACTTGCAAATAATGTTGGACCTTGGGTCGACAGGCAGATTACCGTGAGTCTGTGATATATTGACTTCATGGATGTTTCTGCAAGCATTTCCAAACATGCATCTATTTTGTTTATGGAATCGGCAAACGGGCATATCTGTTGGTCGCAGTAGATGTTTCGGTCTGAAGTATCTCTAGAACCAGGTTGACAAGTGCCCAGGTAGCTCAGTTGAAGGGGCTTTCCCAGTCAGAAATCAGAGACCATGGTTTCTGTACTTGCGCACGTAGTCGGGCCAAGTTTGCTATTTCTCCATCATTCATTGTTGGGGATGATGTACGCGTGAGCCAATTTTCACGCGCCACAAGAATCGCCTAGTCGTTCAAGAACTTACCAGTCACCGTGTATGAAATTTATCCAGAAGATCTCGCGCAAATACTTCCGGTCTTCAAGTATCCATGGATACGTTCCAGCGTGTTCTCTCGTACAACATTAGGACAGTGAACATTGTCCGCATTCCTGACGACCCTGCCACCATCAAGCAAAGAACCAAGTCGAAAAAACATCTCCAGCTCCTGAAAGCTCCACTAACGCTGCTCTCAAGGTTTGAAATGCTGACCAGCTCGTGGAGCTTGAACCATGTCACGCTCCGCGGTTCCCAAAACACAGACCTCATGCCACTCTGCATGACAGTAATATTGCCTTTCACCCCAGCCACTAATACATGCTTGGTAGGCTCCGTGATAGGACGATATCGATTGGCTTTGTGTCAAGACTTTTGACCAGCCCCTTATTGTCATTGTTACTGTCTTCTATCGCAAGCAATGGCGCATTGAAGGCTTTCGCAATCTCGAGCGATTTCATCGATACTGCGCGTCCCAGCACGCAGGATGCATAGAATGTCGCGGACACGAGCATCATTACCAGCAGCGTGGTAATGACAACAATAAAGAGTAACGCGTGGTCCGTGTGGTAGACGTTAGCTGCTCTTTGCACATCCATGATGATGGCTTGGATGGCACTGCCATTGGTCGCGTAGCGTCCACGCCGTTGAAGCTGGTAGCCTCAGTCACACCAGTTTACTGTCTAAGTAGCTCTAGTCCCTCTGGCGGTGAGGGCTGAGATGAGGTTCCGCGGACAGCACGTTCCACACGTTCAGTGGATTCTCCAGAAACTGACTGCGGGTTCCCGAGACGTCAGCAGCGGAAGTCGGCAGCGCGCAGTGTCCTTGGCGCGCAAATACAGGAAACGGACTGCATGTTCTCACTGAGGAAGAAAGTGCGCCATAACAGGCAGTAATAAGTGGAGGTTCTAGATGCACATGGCCAACGCGTGGGCGGCATTCAAGCTTCGTCGGATGTTTGATCCGCACGAAGCAGCTTGAGCCGATGGCTGTTCTGAAGCTTGATATTTTCCAAGGTTGAGTGTATCAAGACAGTTCGATGCGCAAGCTGAATGAGCTGAATACGCTCTCTTCGGCTAAGCGAAGTGTATGCACGCGGTAAGCACGGAGTGTTTTCGGCAGAGCATCCGGCTACAACGCCTAGCATACAGACCACTCAGTCGCAAGAGATGTTTTGCGAAGACAGGGAAACAGGATATATCGTCTGATTGAGGTTAAACTAAGAGAGTGTTGATGTTGTTGGCAGGCTCGGCCGCGGTCATGGTGCAGCTTTCGCCATGGAAGTAACGTCTGTCAACTAGATCACGCCATCTGTTAGATCCCAGCCCTAAGGTGTCAGCCGGACTTTGGAAGGCAATTCCAGAATTTCAAGCTATTGTTTTGATCGGCTCCCCGGTGACGCGAGCGAATTGTTCAGTGTGGATACGCACGTATGCGGTAGCAGTAGCTGGAAGGTGGGTGTTTAGGTTTTCGTGTGGGAAGCCCCCGGGGCCCAGGGCTTCCCCAGTCGCCCCGAGATTATCCGAAGCTGGTCGCTCCCTGCTGCGATGAGATTGCTCAATGCGCCCAGCGCATTGCCAGCTAAGGAGGTCGCTGGTTACTCTAGAGCAATGCTTCGAGATAACACCGTGCAAGAGGCTTCTGTTCGAGTTTGAAGTTGCACACGCGGCCCACTCTAGAGGCTTCATGCTGCGACGTTTCGGGCTTCCTAGAGTCTCGATGCGGAGTGACCGGGGTTTCTGTTTGGAAGGGCCGAACCCTGCAGTCACTCCGCGGCCAATGAAAGGCGGGCAGTGGCAGGCTGGAACGGCAGGTGCCACCCACAGCGCCTGCATTCCCTCAAGCTTCGCCCAGCGAACTCCCACTTGGCTTTGACGCTTAACCCACGACCGCGACCCTCGACCTCAACACGACACACAGGCCATGCCACTCATCTGAACCTCCATGGGCTTCTTCTACCGGACACCAACTGCTGCTGGACAGTCATAGACCGCCGACCAAGCATGTGGGAGGCCGACTCGTCCTGGTATGGGGCGCCTCTCCTGGACCGTCGCGCGCCCGATGCCACCCAACCCTACGTGAGTATCACGACCGCGACACGGCCCACGCACGCGACTGACGACCGATATCAGCACTGCCCCTCGTACAAGCTGCCCAAATTCGGTACCATTGAAATCTCGCCCGGCAACACCATCACCCTCGACGAGAACGCCGTCTTCCGCCCGCTATGCACCAACGCAGCCACCTCCCAGGACGATGGCACAGGCGGAATCACCAGTGTAGCTGACATGCGCGACCCCTTCCACGCTTCCATCACACCCCAGGCCTACGCGACAGGCGCCGCGACCGTCATCGCCTGGATGCTCGTCATCATGCTCATCATCACACCTCGCACCTTCTTCGTCGGCAACGCTTCGGGACGTTCAGGGCTCATGGGACGGCGCGGAATGATTAGCGGGGCAACAGGAGGTGGATCTATCATAGGAGTCGGAAGCCGCCCGTGGCTGCAAAAGGCCGCAGCCCTGACCGTCGCCATTTCTCTGACACTCGCCACTGCCGACACCTTCAAGATCGCCGAACGCCAGTACGAGGAGGGTTTTATCGACGCCATGGAGCTGCGGGATCAGGTCGTAGCCGGCATGGAAATCAAGGTTTCGCGTGTCGTGTCCGACATATTTCTCTGGCTCGCGCAGGTACAGACTCTGATCCGCCTATTTCCACGCCACAAAGAGAAGGTCATTATCAAATGGGTCGGATTTGCCCTCATCCTGCTCGACATCGCATTCAGCTGTCTCAACAGCTTTGGTCCGTACGAAAACCAACGCCGCCCCGCACATTTCGACACTGCCATTCCTGCCCTCAGCTACCTGTTTCAGTTATCACTGAGCATGCTCTATGCCGCCTGGGTTATGTACTACGCCATCACCAAGCGACGATATGCTTTCTACCACTCCATGATGTGGAACATGAGTGTCATCTCCCTCCTGTCCATCATCGCTATCCTTACCCCGGTTGTCTTCTTCATTACCGACATCGCAAACTACACTATTGCCGGCTGGGGAGACTACTTCCGCTGGGTCGGAGCGGCGGCTGCTAGCGTCATTGTTTGGGAGTGGGTGGAGCGCATTGAAGCGCTGGAAAGAGAAGAGAGAAAAGATGGAATTCTAGGAAGAGAAATTTACGACGGAGACGATATGCTCGACAACAGCCCATCAGACTCCAAATGGCCCTCAAAACGGAAGGGCCAGCCATCAGAAAAAGATGAGAAGAAGAGTGGGGGAGGTCAAAGCGGATTCAGCGTCTTCGCATCTGCACACGCTGGTCGGTTCAATGAGTTTGCCCAGAGGCTTGGACGGAACATGACCCAAACGCCACGAACCGAAGCACGAAAGAAGCGCACTATCCACATTCCAGCACCACCTCCAGTCATGCGACGGTCCCCATCTACGACACGTGGAGATCGCAACTCGCGGGCCTATGTACGAGTGCAGACTCCGCCACCAGTGCCAGTCATCGCATCACCAGTGAGCAGGACAGACACAACGAGCGCTGACTCGACTGTATACACAGTCCGCTATCACCCAATCAGCGACACACCAGTGAACCCACGCCCTGCACCAGCAGACAGTAGACCTGGGAACCATGAAGCACAGCCACAAGCACAAGCGTCACAAGAACCTCAAGCAGCTGATCCCGAGGACCCGGAGAAGGGAGGCGAACTAGAGCCAGTCACTAGCAGGAGCAAATTCCAGTGGCAAGCATTGGGAAATCCATTCAGGCGGAAAGGACGGACACCCCCGAAAGAGCTCCAGAGAGGTCAGGTCATCGAGCCACTTGCAGTGGACGATGTAGCGGCGAACATACCCCCTCGCAACTACAACGGGCTAGCTCTAGCCGATCGACTCGGCACCTTTGCTGCACAGCAAGGTGAAAAGCTAAGGTCAAAGAAGAAGTCTGGGTCACAGAACGAAACGGTTCTGCCTGTCACCATCATCCCTGCTCAGCCTCGTGGCCAAACTTGGTCTCCAGACATTATTCGTCAGCAACAAGAGGAGGCTCAACAAGAGGAGGCCACACAGGCTACGGGCGTGCCGGCTGCAAGCGAGCAAGATCGGGTGAACTCACCAACGACTTCTCATGGAGTGACGGATTCAAGCGAGGTTGTCAACCTTTCCGCTACGCCAAACTCCACACGCACGCCTCGGATTCGATTCTCGCCTGCCGCTCCACTTGGAGGAAGTGTTCTCGGTGGAGAGACGGTGCGCCCATCGGCATCAAGTACACCACTGCCACAGGATGAATCGACGTCAACGATTGACTTTAGCAGGCCCGGACAGCACAACCGGACAGACCACGACAGGTAGCTTGTTTGCGCCTCATCTTCTCTCGCATGTTTCTGTTTATATTTGAAATGTTGATAGCACGTATATACCCCCACATTGAGCGGCGCATTGGTAGCATGATTGAGGAAAGTGGACACTCCACACAGCATTGGCATGGGATGGCGCAATTGGAAGTTCAAAAATCTTTGGTGTTTCTACGAGGACTGGATACCCGCCGACTACAAGGTCAGGCTCTTTGATTTGGGAGGAGGGCGCAGATATGCGACCGACAGACTTATGATCTGAATTAGCTATAGCAAAATAACAATATTGTCAAATCATGTCTCTACAAGTGTCAAGCATCGGTATGAAGATAAGTGCCAAGGCATGATAAGGCTGTGACGATGTGCGTGGAGCATGGGTCGGGCGTTAGTGGAGTCCGGTTCCTTGCACCGCCGCATCATAGCTCCATGTTATCATCGCGTGTAGCATCTCCAGTCTAAGCTGCGGCCCTGCAGCTCTACCCATCGACGACGTGTAGGTTGTGAATACTTAGCCGACTGCGCATCTCCTCTAGGCAACAATGTCTTTATTCGGTGACGACGATGACGCGCCGCAGCGCGCGAAGCAGTCGTCGTCGCTCTTCGATGACGATCCCAAGCCGGCGGGCAAGACGGGCAACAGCTTGTTCGCAGACGACCTGGACGCCAACGACTCGCCCTGGGGATTCCCAACCCCCAAGAAAGCCCCACGTGAAGCTCTTGTCAAGTCGCTGCTTCCTGCCTCGGACGTGCCCGACTCGTACATTGACGCTTTCGACGCACTGCTCGACGCTGGGAACGGCGAAGGCAATGGTATCAGTGTTGAGGGCATCAAGAAGCTGCTGGCCGACAGTGATATCCCCGGCCACGCGCAGTCCAAGATACTCGAGATTGTGCTGCCGTCTGGTGGCAGCTCCCAACTGGGAAGGAACGAGTTCAATGTCGTCTTCGCCCTGATTGGATTGGCGCAAGAGCATGAGGACATCACCCTGGACAGCGTCGACGAGAGGAAAAGGAGTGAGTGTTAGCATTGTCGCGCATGCGACCAAGAGACGACATTGACGCCCTGCCAGATCTTCCCGTTCCCACCGTGACGCTGCCACAGTCCACCAAGGCCCGCGAGCCATCTCCGCCTCCCCAACAGGTCCAGCCGCCCACTCCTCCTGCCCTACAACGCCAGCCTTCTGCGCAGCAACCGTCTCCTGCAAACAGGTCGAGTGCGCCTATGCGCAAGCAATCTTTCGGCGACCCAGAGGCCGATCCTTGGGGTAGCCCCGACCTGCACAGAGGCCATAGCCACGCGAGCTACACAAGCTCACAACCGCATATCAACGGCTCAAGCGTACCCACTACCGCACGAACGACGAGCCAATTTACAACTCAGTCGACCGCGGCTTCCTCCAACATCCCCCAGCCCGTCCAACCAAGTTCCTTGAGCAGCGAGGGCGGCTGGGGCGGATACAATGGCGGCGCGAATCAACCCTTCTCCGCCCCCAGTTTGGAACAAGGAGGATTTGGCGCACCCACTGCTGGAGAGGCTGGCTCAAACGCGACACCAGAGTTGGGCAGATCCATTGGCCGCCTGAACCCAGGTGGCAGTGGGAACGAGGAGGTCATAACTATCACAGCACTCTCCGAGAAAGAGGGCATGTTCATGTTCCAGCACCGCAATTATGAGGTCGCTAGCTCCAAGCGCACAACAAAGGTCGTCCGCCGATACAGTGACTTCGTCTGGTTGCTAGACTGCCTGCACAAGCGGTATCCCTTCAGGCAATTGCCGCTATTGCCCCCCAAAAGAGTCGGTAGTAAGTACCTATCCTGCCATGGCCTTGATACGTATTGAGATTTCTTAGTCAACGGCAACCCAATAGCTGCAGATGCTACTTTCCTCGAGAAGCGAAGAAAAGGCCTCGCGCGCTTTACCAACGCGCTCGTACGGCACCCTGTCCTCAACCAGGAGCAATTGGTAGTCATGTTCTTGACAGTGCCCACGGTATGCTTACTCGGCCGGACCACAGTCTCGACATACTGACCCAAACAGGAACTTGCAGTATGGCGCAAACAAGCCAATCTCTCCATCCAAGAAGAATTCACCGGCAAACCTCTACCTCCAGATCTCGAAGACTCGCTCCCAAAGACGCTCCCCGAACTGTTCGATACTGTCCGCTCGGGCGTCCGTCGTAGTGCAGAAACCTACATCACCCTCTGCAGCATGATGGAGCGACTCTCCCGCCGCAACGAAGGCATGGCAGCAGAGTACGCACGTTTCTCATCTGCTCTCAGCGGCCTCACGGAATCAAGTCAAGAGACATATGCCGTCGATACAAACGATGTCCCATTGCTAAACGAGGGCATGAACGCCACAGCACGACATCTCGACTCGAGCAGGCAACTGCTAGAAGACGAAGCTAGAGGATGGGAAGAAGGTGTTCTTGAAGATTTGAAGAGACAGAGGGATACTCTTGTCAGTGTACGCGACATGTTTGACCGCCGGGACAAGTACGCTCGCGATAACATCCCACAATTGGAAAAGCGTATCGCGAACAATGAGACGAAACTCCAGAATATCCGCCAGAAAACCGCCGAGCAGATTAAGCCGGGTGAGGCAGAGAAGGTGGAGGATGCTATTTTCAAGGTCAGTCATTACCATTCCTTTCCTCCCCACGTTTTTTTTTCTGACCATGAAATGCAGGACAAGGAATCTATTGTTCAACAACATGCACGTGGTGTCTTCATTACGGAATGCATCCGCGATGAACTTGCCTTTTTCCAAAAGAGCCAATATCATGTCAGTAGGTTGCATCAGGAGTGGGCGCAGGAAAGGGTCAAATACGCGGAGCTGCAGGCGGACAATTGGAGGGCATTGAGTGAGGAGGTGGAGAGTATGCCTGTAGCTGAGTGAGTAGCCACAGGGTTGTGTTTATCGATGAGAGAGAAGAAGTGGGGATGTTGATTTCTTATCGTTTTTTTCTTTCTTGCAAGGGTGGATGGGATGAGGAACGAGACTGGGAGAGACGAACGATATGCATGTTGGTTGGGTTGGAATGATACGAGTCCAAGGTTGTAATTTGTACATGTCTCCTTACGTTTTGTCTTTACGCGCGTTTGATATCAAGGGGTGGACGTATATACCTGCATGGATGTGTGAATGAGACTGGATACCCCTACTTTCTACAATCTTGTCTCTTGTCTTTTACTTGCTGCATGCGTATTCAAATGCCCTGCTATTACATATATGTGTACTAAGTGAGCTCTAGTTTTACACAGGCTTTAGAAAGATATTACAATATATTACTAAACTACAAACAAGGCATTTGCTAATCCTGCTTCGTCGTCATCCTCTTGACAAGCGTCTCCTCTGATGAAGTCCCCGAGTCAGCCCCCTTGGTACTAACAACATGAAAGCTAAAATCCAACTCCCCAACCAGCCCTTTAACCGCCTTCAACAACCTCTCAATATCCATATGTATACACCTCGTACTTATGCTCATGACTGCAAATGCCGCATATCCTGGTTCAGCAATATGTCTCAAACTCAGTATCTCTGGATCCACCATCTCGAGTTTTCGACTTAATTGGGCTCCCGGGGGTGCGTGGAGGTAAGGAGGTAGAGGTTGCGCATTTGTGATGCTGGAGGAAAGCATGGCGAGCAAGGATGTTATTTCATGCGAAGTTACTTTTGCGGAGAGAATGACGCGGCGGAAATCGTTGAACCACTGCGCGGAGTGATGGTCTGGGAAGGGGGCTTCGTCTGTTTGAGGGGATGTGGGATCGGCGGACTGGTGGTTAAATGAGGGGTGGGTGAAGGCTTGGGAGGCGTAGCCTAGAAGGGCCGTGTAGTTTACGATACTGGTTCACTTGTGTTAGTGCGTGCTCGTCATCGTTGGCAGTAGTTTAGAATAATATACGTACTTTTCGACATAACCGATAATCTTTTCGTACTCGTCCTTTGGAAATTTGCCCCCAAGTGGAAACTCCCACTTCACGAATCCGGCATGCATTTTCAGTCCTTGTAGAGTGAGCATCTGCTTCGCAAACACCTTGTTTCGCGCTTTGACGAGCTGGTAACCCGGACTCTCCTTGTCGCTTTCCTCGTCGCCTCCAAGTTCACCACGAATGCGACCCATGACCTGCTCGTGCATGATGGAATAGAGGTTCGCAGAGAGGTACAATGCGCCACCGAGTTTCTGGCGAAGCGCAGAGTGCTCAGTAATGGGGTAAGGGAAGATGGTCCAAAAGAAGGCGACGGCTAGACCGCCGACAACGGTGGCGAGACGGTAAGGGCCAAGCTCGTAGATTGGGTATGCGGGTTGGCCTGTTGTTGCGGTTGCAGCCTGCTCTCCTATCTTGCGTACTTGCAGTTCATAACCGACGATCATGGTGGCCGTGACTACGCTGATCAACCCGACAATAACCAGATCCATTCGCTTTAGCGGGATGTAGAAGCCAATTGCGACGAAGACCCAAAGGAATACTAGGATACCAGGAGTCTTCTGCCCAGGAATGTACCATATAAGCCAGGCTATTATCATTGCGGCTGCGGTACCAGCGATTCTGAGTATGAATTGGAAAATGGATTGACCAGCCGTTGGAGTCATGGAGATGGCGACCATGATAAGCGCCCAGACCAAGCGTTGTTCGACGAAGAATTGTTGAGTTGGGCGAAGGAAGGCCACAATAGCGATACTCATCGTGGCACACGCGGCACGGAAACCAAAGGCTGATTCGGGACTTCGAAGGAAACGTGAAATGGCACGAATACCGTTGCCAAACTTCTCCCACGTGTTGGCAGGTGGCAGATGCTCAGGGTCCTTTTTCTCTTTATACGCCTCGCCCATGTAAACAGTCGTGTTGCTCCTGTCAAACCCAGCGACTGTTGTTTCATCATCAGAAATGGAGTCCTGGCTCTGGAATATGCTCTTTGCCCACTTCTTGAAGCGTCGTCCACCAGGCCAGATGAACTTGCTTTTCGCGATTGCTTGGTCGTGCTGATCCGCGAATTTGATAAACTCGATGACTGAGCGACTTATTGAACCCAAAAGGAACATGACATAGAGTACCATAAAGAGCTGTCGTTGATCTCGCTTTCGTGTGGTGATGCTGGGCATGAGCTTCAAAGTTTCTTCGTCAAGTGCTGATGGCGATGAAAAGTAGTCATCGCGAAGCTTGATGCCCTTTGTTTCAACCCAGTGGCGGAGAGTAGGCTCTTTCCGGCTGAAGAAGGCATCTGATTGCTTTTGCATGTATTCTGCGAAGCCTGCTTGTCCTGGCTTGATAGCGTCACCTTTTGCTTCAGCATCATCTTGGTTTTGGCCCTTCTTCTTTTTGGGTGGCTTAGTGAGCTGTAACTTTAACATGACGTGTGCAAGTCCATCATCAAGAGCTTGGAAGATATTGTTGAAAGGTTCGTGAACAAATTGAAACATGTCGTTCCATTCTTTGACGGTTTGTCTGCGGAGCGCTTCGTCGTGTTCGTCCTCTTGTCCATCCCAGTGGTTGATTTCAGCTGCACGCTCGAAAAGATCCATGACCGATCCAAGACCCAAAATAGGAAGCATGATGGACCGCAAGTTCTTGAACATGGCCTCGAGATCATCTGGCGTTAATTTGCCATACGCAATCTCGCGTTTCGCAAATGGCAGATCCGCGGTAAGCTTGCCGTGCAATGCCTGCAGGGCTCCGGTCGTCTTCTTGATAGCTTCCACTTCAGGCCTTGATTTTGTCTTCTTCTTGCCATCTCCATCCTCAGGAGCGTACTTCTCCCCGAACATATCGCTTGTTTCCAGGCTATGTATGTAACCCTTGTGCGCACCGAGTGTTCCGCGCAATAAGCCAATATAACCCGCCACCTCTTTCATTACCACCTTCCGCGATGTAACAGGAATAATGAACAAGCTCACTCCTGTCGCGATCGCAAACCCAGTCAAGAAGGCCTCAAGAAGTCTTTGAATGAAGGACTCGCACTGCGCTACAGTTTGGAACAAGAAGCCGTTGGTTGCTGCAACATTGACCTGAATGGCATATATGATCGTAGGAAAAGCCAACTGGGGAAACTTCGCCTTCATCGCATTGATGGCATAAATCTGGAAGAAGAGCCATACTCCAAGAACAGCCGACTGCGAGGAGTTGTAGCGTTGTGGTGGTGCTCCAGCCGGAGTCGTGTGTTGTCGAGCTTTCACTCCCGTCCATACCATGAGCAATGCCAGAGCTGAGCCAACACATGTCGCCAATACATTCATCGTCATTGTCTGGATGAACTTTGCGCGCGGCATGATACAGAATCCGAGGATGCTGATGATGGCTGTCAGGTAACCCAACGTGGTGAAGGTTTGCGCAACATCTGTTGCTTGGTACATGGACAACGCGATTGTTGGGGGCAGTGCGGCTTTGCCCATCATCATGAGCGTAGGCGGGTCGAGACCGAGTTTGTCCCACCCGGCCTTGAGTTTTGAGGGTTTCTTCGCCTTCTTGTCTTCATCCTTCTTGTCTTGAGTGAGGGTCGCATCTTGATGATACTCATCTGATCGTCCTTGCTCGGTATTCGGTGTGTCTCTTGCTGTTCCTGTAGAATCCACCTCTTCCTTATCCACAACATTCCGGCTCGTCGCGGTTGACGCCATCATGGCGCAAAAAGTTCGATTGACCTCCCTGGTATGTGTGGAAGAAGTACAAGATTGAGTTAGGCGGCTTTCAATACATATTGAAATGTGCCTAGGGGTAGATCTCTCATTAGACTCCCCCAGAAGATCCAATCCGACCCTCCGCACGTTAGGTCGCGCGCCGCGCTCGGCATTTTTTCCACGCGCGGTCGACGTCATGGTCCGTGTTATGAGTGGTCAAGGATTGCGCTAAGGTAGATCTGGTAAGATCTGAGATCTAGTGCACATCATATCCCAGCGAGTCGGGCCTTCGGTTTGGTGGTCCTTCCGCTCACACAACAATGGCGGCACGTGCGACATGGGCACACTAGGAATTGACCAGACTAATCCGGTCTGTTTATATTGGAGCATCGGACGAAAAGAGAAGATGCCTGCTAAATTTCAAGGTGTGTATGCTATGTATAAGCGTTAAAAGCAATCTCCTATACAACAATGCGCTCGAAGCTATACTTGGGCACGCGTTTACTGATCAGCATACCCATCTCTCTCTTACTTCGCTGCTCCTTCTTTCCTCCTTTGCCGCTCTTCACCTTCTCTACACCTTGTTCTGCCTTGGAACCAAGGGGCAACATGGGCAGATCCTCCTCGCCATTAAGCTTACCAGTAACGCCAAATGGCTTGCCTTGTACTCCCAAAGCCTTGTTAGAAGGCTTCTTGGACGTAGGCACAGTGGAAGCATAGCGGAGGAACTCCGAAAGCAGACCGCGTATGAAATGAGCTTCGAAGAATCCACTGAGTGCCACGGACGCATCCCTGTTCAATGACTTGAGCATGTCTTCACCAGTCTCAGAGGCAGAGATGGTGCCGACAGAAGCCAACCAGGCTCCTGCGCCGATAGCGTCGAGGGTGGTAGAGAGAAGGGATGCAATAATAGCGACTGCATGGTCGTCTGGGTCCTCGCTTGAGCTCTCGACAGCGGGAGACTCTGTCTCTACGAAGCCGAGTGGAGAAGACCAGCCGCCATTCTTCAGCTCCAGATGTAGAAGACGGATGAGCGATTCGAGATCTCGGCGTGGCAAAGTTGAGCGGAGGGTCGCACTGACTATCGGGGCCGAGAAAGTATGGAGTCGGATCAGAGCAGGTCGCAGTGTATAGCTGCGTGTCAACAGGCCGTGGTCAAGCATGGATAACGCATGGTCAATTTCGTGCGAGGCTGCTTCAAGCTCAGAAGCAAAGTCAAGGTCCATCTCATCCTCCGATGGGTTAGCGCCGTTTGTCAAAAGCTTTGCCGCTTCATCATCCTTTGGTTCATCGTCTATACTCTGGATAAGAAGCTTGATAGCCTGAACAACCTCGCCCACTGGCAGGAACTGAGTGTGATTGAGGACGGCCGAGAGGATATGCAGATCGGGATCGTATTCGACCAAAGCCTTGACAATATCTCCATCCATGATGGCCGATGTGAGCTGCATCTGCTCGTTTGCGCCCTCGAAAATGGCCCGACGGATAGACTCTTTTGTGAGATGCCCGGTCTGTAGAAGCCATTGGAAAACGTTCGGTGCAAAGAAGCCGACCCTCAACTGTCCCTGTGGTTCCTCTTCCGTAGCATCTACCCAATAGAAAATCTTGCTCAATGCGTAGAGTGCATACTGTCGGTATTGCTGTCGTTGGTTACCAGGGATGGTCTTAGGCAGTTTCCATTGAGGTAACACGTCCTTTGAGGGCTCATTATCAAGCTTGTCAACCACCATGGCATCCTCGTCAGGAAGACTTGGCCCCCCTCCGTTCGTTAAAGGTCCGCCGTTTACCTCATTCTCGTGTTTCTGCGCTACGTCGGCAGATTCAAGCTCGATACCCAGGTCTGATGCAAAGTGTTGCTCGAACTTTGCGATCTTACCCTTCGCAGCATACTTGTTTAGCTTCCATTTGCGCTCCTGCCACTTCTGGTTATCGGCTGCGCTGAGTGTTGACTCGGGTGCGATTCCTCTTCCGATGGCATCGATAAGGAGAGTGCCCTCGGTCTTGGTCCTCTTGCGCGATGCGGCTCCTCCGAATTGCATGCCAAATACCTCGTCCTCTCGTGCGGCTACAATCAGTCCAATATCGGCATAGTAAGCGACCAGGCTGCAAGGAGACGATGTTTGCGAATCACCTTCCGGTTGTGTATGCTTCCTCTTCTTCGACGGGCTAGTAGTGTCCAAGGTGGACGGGCTGGGGCTCATGGAGTGGACAGCTTGCAGAGAATTGTACTTGACATCGAAAACTCGGCATGTGTTTTGCGACGTAGTGAAGATGACATCCTGCGAGGTTCGGAGAAAGGAGTCGACAGTCGATCCGGGAAGAACAAACTGTGAGTAGAGTTTCGGCACGGTTCCGGACAAGTCGTATGATAGCAAGATTCCACCTGCGAGTATATGAATGGCACCACTGGAAGGATACAGAGTGATCTGAGACGTGGAGGCTTGAGCGTTCGGGGTCTTTGGTTGCGGCAGGTCCAACGAAAGTAAATGTTTCAACGGGGTGAGCTGGCTCGTGGCAAGGTCAGCGGATCTTGGCTGCACTTGGACGAGCGTCAGTGCCCTTGTTCCTTGCGGTTTGCGGCCGATAACACAGAGGACCTGGACTAGGTCTAGAAGGTCGGAAGCCTCGTCTGGTGTAGGGTCCAGGATCGTAGCAATGTCTTGTCTGTTCCGCAGGAGCCCTCGTATGACAGACCTGGCACTGGCCAGTGTGATGTGCTCAATTTCCATGTTGGTATCGCTGGATGGTAGGAGTGTTTTCAAGTTTGCGGTCCATCTAACAACCTGGAGATCCGCCGACAGAGACATGACATCTCCGTTATCGAAAGTCGTCAGTACGTCGTGTATCGCATCTTGGGCTGAGCCACCCGGCGCGACGGGAAGTAGGTCCAGCGTAGAGATGCGCGCACCGTCAGATGGTGTGTACGAAGTTTTGTTGGTCTCGGTGTGGTCGCCCGACGACTTATCGTGAAAGCAGACCAAAGACGGCTTTTCGGCCGGGGACGAAGCGGCGAGGGAAGCATAAGTGAAGCGCTGGGTGGAAGTCTTGGACGCGCCCTTGCGATAGATGGAGTACGGGGCGGATGTGAAGGTTGTGCTTGGCGGTAGCGCATACGAAGTTACAAGTTGAGGGTTTTGGAGCTAGATGAGAGTTGAGCGCATATCGCTTTTCGCAATCGGGCAGTACCTACGCTGTATATAGACACGCCCTCTCCATCAACACCGACGGCAATCTCAGTGCGCTTTCTCTTCTTTATGCCGCTAAGGCTGCATACTCCGGCAGCGTGAACATGTCCATTGGTAGAGCCGATGGGTTTGGACAGCGACGCCAATGTAAAAGGAGCGCCAATCGGTTGGTCGAAAGACATGTTGTTTGCCAGACCCAGTCGTCGAATAAGATGAGGTCTGCGTGAACCGTAGGGTGAGGCGCGTGCTTTGGTTTGCGCGGTCGAGTATCTTTGGAAAAAAAGTTGGAGCTCCGGCAGAAAGACAGGCGGTGCGAAATCTTGGCGGAGGCTAAAGTGTGGCTTTAGTGGCGTCGTTCCCTAGCGCGTCACGTCGCGTCCGGCGGAAGTGGCTTTAGATCATCGTTGATGGCGACGGCAACCACGCGCCTTCAACTGCAACCTCGACCACTATATTCGCCTACAATACTGTATTCATAACTTGTCTGCACCAGTTCAATGTCTGCAACTGCTATATAATCTCTAAATCTGTACATGGCCCTCGCAGCGGTACAGACCGCAATGAATCTAGAGGGCAAGAACGTACATCCATTCTTCACCAAGCCTTCGAGTATGCCAGCACAGCAATCTCCAATGTCCCTCAGCTTACATAGCTCGCAGACGGCCACGAACCAGAGCCATTACCAACCGCGAACGGAATCCCCATCGACGACACGCATCATGACGCAGCACATTCTGAGACAGACCCCAAATCAGCAAACGGACAGCAGAAGAGGACACGAAAAACCGATGCAGTCAAGGGCAGACATGCAGCTTCTCACTCCAAGAACCAAGCGTCTCTAGACAGATTCACTCTTCTGCCAGCGATACAAAGTACAAACGAAACCAATGTGCACGATACAAACACACCTGTAGAGGCTTCGTTGGAAGTAGATCCAAATCTCGACCGGAGGAAGAGACAGAAAACAGCCTCGCCGGAGCCCGTTTTCAATGTACTGAATTCGGCGCAACCCGAGCCAGGTGCTCTCAACTGGCATCAGCAACTGCAAGCGGGAGAGGAAGTCATGAGGTCAAATGGGGTGCAAGGAACGCCACAATCGGCAATTGATGCACCACTGAACACATTGCCGAAACAGGTGGATCAACCGGACCAAGCTGTGGAGCCCAACACGCTGCCTGTAGCGGACCTGGACATTGCCGCTAACTCGAATGATTCCGTTGCAAGCGAACACATGAAGACGACACCGAAGAAACAGATAAGAATTACTAAGAGCGGCAGACTAGTCTCTAGTCCGCCGAAACCGACATTCGAAGCGTCACCAAAGAAAAAACGTGGTCGGCCGCGCAAGGAAGCCAAGATAATCCCTACGGTTACGGTCATACGGTACGGCACAGATGCAGCCAGTCGATCTGCTTTGGGCCAGAAGATTGAAGATATCCTGAACGCAAAGAAGAAATTAGTGGCACGTCCAGCGACTCAGAAGAAGGCACCATCGAAACCTGCTGGGCCAACGCATCCATTCTTTCTTGGTAAAGCCTCCAAGGAGGCTCCTCCTGCTAAGGTCGTCACCGAGCTACCACCGGCAACCCCAAGAAAGAGCGCTTGTACTCCAGGAAAACTGCGTGCTGAATTCCGACGAGACCAATCACCTGAAGGTCCGCAGGCTTTCAACAGAGGGCTACAGTCAAATAGGGTGGGAAAACAATCCGGTTTGAACGAAGCTTCCTGGCCTACTGGTGAAAACGCGCACGTCCGCAACCTCGATTCTACACCACCATGTCTGCAAAACGCGACAAGTATGCAGCTGCCTTTAAGGCCGCGAAAACTGAAGAACGCTGTGGTGACACTCCCAGAACATGAAAATGTGGTTGAGAGATTAGCGCAGAACCTCAAAAGCCACAATGGGAGCAAGGCTCGGTCAATTTCTGAATTTGAGCCCCCAGAAGATGTTCGTCTGCCCAAGAGGCTGCTTACTACTGGGGCAGAGATACAGCGTAGGGTGCGTGAGCAACTGCTGGTCCGGTTATCTTCGTCAGGAATACCACAGGATGCTCGACAAAAGTCCCACCCCGCCGTGAGAGATCTCTTCCAAGGAATTGAGAGCGCTCTCACGCCGTTTGACGAAGGAAGATGCGAATCTCAACCCTGGACTTTGAAGTACTGCCCCAAGTATGCGTCACATGTTTTACAGACGGGCACGGAAGCAGTGGTCCTCAAAGACTGGTTACAAAGTCTGACAGTCATGGCTGTAAGCGGCGCGTCGAAAGTCGCTACTACAATAGATGGCAAGCAGCCTCCACGGAAGAAACGAAAGAAAGCTATAGACGACTTCATTGTGCCAGACGGTGAAGGGGATGAGGAGGAAGACATGATTATGCTTCCAGCTGCGGAAGGGGCAGGCTTGCCTTCGAGGTCTTTCCGGCAACCGCAGTGGATACGTAATAATAACGTCGTACTCATCAGCGGCCCCCATGGCTGTGGTAAAAGTGCGGCTGTACACGCTGTGGCGAAAGAGCTGGGCTTTGAGGTTTTCGAGATTCATGCTGGCATGCGCCGTTCAGGAAAAGATATCCAAGACAAGGTCGGTGATATGACTGCGAACCATCTCGTGAATCACAAACGTAGCGCAGCATCCGTGCAAGAGAACGTCCAAGCGGCGGATGATGCGAACGACAACCGCGTAGACACTGTTCTAGAAGATGACATTAACAGTGGGCGCCAAGCGACCATGGCATCCTTCTTCCAAGTAAAACCCGGAACAGGGGCGGTCAAACCGAAGGTTAAGGCGAAAGTCTCTGAGGTTCACAAAGCACCAGCACCCTCAGCCCAAGCTACTCTTCCCATGGCACAGGCGTCGCATACATCACAAAAACAATCCTTGATCCTCATCGAAGAGGCGGATATACTCTTCGAGGAGGATCAGCAGTTCTGGGCTCAAATTACCAAAATCGCTTCTTTGTCGAAACGTCCGATTGTCATCACGTGCAATGATGAGCGGCAAATACCCATGCAAGATCTGCCGATAGCAGCCATCCTCCGCCTTCAACCTGCTCCTGTGGAACTGGCCACCGACTATTTGCTTGTTCTTGCTGGTAGGGAAGGCCATATCCTGGAGCGGCAGGCTGTGAAAGAGCTTTATGAATCGAAGGACTACGATATTCGAGCTAGTATCATGGAACTTGACTTTTGGTGCCAGATGTCTGTGGGTGACAGGAAGGGTGGCCTAGAGTGGATGTACCAACGCTGGCCACCTGGCAAAGATACAAATGAGCATGGTCAAACATTGAGAGTTGCAAGTGAAGGTACATACAAGTCCGGCATGGGTTGGCTATCACACAACGTCCTCGAAACCCAAGGCAACCCTGTGTTTGACAAAGAAGAAGAACTTTTACAAGAAGTCTGGGCGGACTGGGGTATCAGCCCGTCAGCTTGGGGAATCCCTGAAGCAAGTGGTACACGGTCATCTAGGGAACCAAGTACTGAGTGGTTCGATCAGTTGGGAGATCTCATAAGTCTTGACAACTACGCCGATTCATTGAGTGCTGCAGACATGTTCTGTCGGGTCGGTCTACCCACTTACGACCCTAGCTCTAATCAACCCACCGATTCAACCCAGCCCGCGATTACTGAGAAATCACGCCTTAGCTACACGCTCGCCGCACCTCTCCTCCAAGTCGACCATAGCTCTGACTTCCTGAACCTCGACACCGCGTTCTCTACCCAAATCCACCTTGCCATCCAGCGTACATACCCAGATCTATCCCACAGTCACAGCCTGTCATCAACCCCCAATTTACGCACAGAAGCCGACTACGCCCGCGCCATCCTCCACCACCGTAAAACCCTGAATACAAAAACCACTCTCACACGCCCCGACTTCGCCTTGGCCCTTGATCCCCTCGCCGACCCACCCGACCAACTCCTCCCCGAACGCTCTTCTTTCATTTTCATACCATCGTCCTTTGACCGCACATTCAGCATCATCACACTCGATCTGGCACCCTACGTCCGCAGTATCGTTGCGTACGAGCTGATCCTTGAGGAACAGCGTGTAAGGATGTCGAGTGTGCTGAACACTGCTGGTGGGATAGGAGGCAAGAGGGGCAGGACTACAAGAGCGAGTCGTGTGGCACTTGAGGGAGGTGTTAGAGAGACGAAGAGGAAGGAGAAATGGTTCGATGCTGATGTGGATTTTGATGCTGTCATGAGGACGGCGGGGAGGGAGTGGGCGGGTATGGGTTGGAGGTGCGATGGGTGGAATGAAGAGGGTTCGGCGAGTTATATGGGAACCCGGGACGGGACGGCAAGTTTGGCTGGAACGCAGGATGGGGATGTGATTATGGAGGGCTCACAAGAGTAATGTGGATATCTCAACGAAATGATGTATTGGAGCGTTTTGTAATTGCATTTTGAAGAAAGCGTTATACACGCAGCACTATTTTAGATAGACACGTAGATAGAAGAGACTATATTATTGCTACTACTACCACATCAAATCAGAATAACACTTCCAGTCTCCATTATCTAGGCTTTTTGTAGTGCTTTGGCCTTAGCGCCCTTATCTTCTCATTATTCTCAGTACTGTTCTATATGAAGAAGTACCTACTTGCTTTCTTCGATCTTTCGACGGCGGCTTCGCGCGTGGGAAACGCCCCGTTAGCATTGTTTCCACAAAAACATTGGTTGCTTGTGGCAGAGGTTTCCATGGCCTACTTGTAACGATCAACACTTTGACAATAGATTTCTTTCCACGATTTGTCAATTTTTCCAACAGATTGTTGAAAAGCGCGATGATCTCATCAGCTGATGATGGCGCAGACAAGGACGATATTAGCATATCCAACTCGAGCACCATGTATATTTCCCGGCATACTTCTGCGAGTGCAGCTCCAAGTATCTCAAGCCACTCCTTTGCTGTGGCAGCGGTGCGAAGTCGTGTGCAGCTTAGCGCTGTCGACTTCTGAGAGTGCGCCGAGCCGCTTATTGTAAGCGCTTGAGCTACGAGCGACTTCAGAATGTCCAGTGGGTTTGGAGTATCGGTGGCTCGATCAGAAATTTGTGCCCTTACAGCCCAGATCGTTGTGATGTTCAAGTTCTTCAACTCTTCAGTGACTCTGACGGCGGCGTCGCGCAATGCCCCTCGCTCTTGAAAGGTACCCTTGATCAGCATGAGCGATGACTTTGGACATTCTGCGAATTTCTTCAAAGTCGGAGATTGCCAAAAGGCGCTTGAAACATTGACCCGTTGATTTCGTTGGCGCAGATTACGTACGATAACGGCTTGGTTATAGCTCTCAAGTGGATCGAATGATGAAAGCTCAGCTGCAATGCGCACCATTTCCGAGAATTGTAGATCTGATACTTTCTGGTTCGTGTCTACAAGTGATGATGAATTGATAGCTTGGTGATCTATTTATAGTGAGTAGGCATCGACCTCATTTTATCAACTCCTTCTACCTACTGATCATCATGCATCTCATCTCAACGATTGTGCTTTCAGACCTCTCTACACGGTCAGACATCAACTTCAAGATCGTGTGCATCTGTCGCAGCTCTACTTGAGACCCAGCGATGGCTAGCTGCTCGATATTTCGTGAGCCAGCTTCGATATTTTCCAGAACGTCATGGTAACGTAACTCGGCAGGACGTGTAACAGAATGAATGATATGTCGCAAAGTACCCTCCCGGTACCAATCATGGGCGCGGATCAAAAACCGAATGATATGTGCATACAGTCCCTCTACGGCATGTGTCATCCTTGGGGTTGGGTATAAGATTGTCGCCAGTTCAATGCGAGGAAGAGTGTCTGCTATACGAGCAAGACCTTTTGCTATGGTTGCAATGACACCTTCATGGTTCAGAGAGGCCTTGTGGTTGCATTGTCAATATCGAACAGAACTTTTGCTTTATCGTCCAGGTCAACTCACCACGAAAAGAAATTTCATCGCGCCCCAAGCCAGAGCTACATACTCCGGGTGGTGCTGCGATAATACGTCGAAGATGTTTCCATAATGAATTATGCGGCTGGAAAACCGTTCTAGCCATTTCGCAGCCTTTTTGTTACGAGAGGACGCGTAATTATCGCGGGCAGTCTTCACAACATCTTCCAAGCCCTGCAAAGTCGTTGATCGTTCGGCGAACTCGACCTTCCGCTTATCTTGCGTCAATTCGGAACCGAAATGTAGAGTTGCAAGCTTGTATGATTCCGCTGCAATGTTGCCTGTTGTACTGCGGGTTGTTAGTGGGACGGCTAAAGCAGCCATAAGGGGCCTCGCCTTGTGACGGCTTCTAAGCTCTCAACGGGGTGCATACGTTGTATTAGAACAGCCAACCCACCCCTCACTTAGTTTCTGTTGTTGAGACGTCATCTTACTCCTGGTCGCGCGTCTGAAGAAATTACGAGCAGGCTTAAATCCTGCCGTCTGCAGCATTCAGCCGCCAAGCAGGTGGCTCTTGAACCAATCTCGTTGTGGTCTAGACCCATGCCGTCCTATATGCACATTCCTATCATCGCGCGGGGTCCTACTCTCTACCGTCCTTGTCAGCTCACCTATTGCAAATGTTCACCAGGCCAACGGGAACGCAAACTATTCGTACAGGAGGACCTGTTCATTCCTATGATCACATACCTGACATAGGCTCAGTAAAACCAAGAGCCAATAGCGACGAGACTGAAGATCATGGCCACGAGGCTGGAAATCTGGGTGGCTATCAGGCTCCAAAAGATCAGCCGTCACCCGTCTTCCATGCGCAGAATGATCCTCAGCTGTTCCAGGACTTTACCCTAGGATTTGACCAATTCAATCTGAACGACAGTAATGCGCATATCAGCGCGGGTCACAGCCCGCATATCTCGCCTCATTTGCTCCCGCAGGACCAACAAGTTATCCCATCCGACCAGAAAGACATAGAGACAACAGAGGAACGCTCTAGTTTTTTGAAGAAGTTAACCATATCCCGAGATCGGACAGAAGCCAGCAACTTCGAAGAAGAAAGACTTCTGGCGATTGCTGCGAACCCGGGGACATCCACTAGAGATGGTATTCCGCAAATAAATATTGCGGGACCAGTTCTGGCGTCGGCTCAGCCTATTCCTGAAGACTATCAGATGCAGCTTATGCTTCTGGAACAACAGAACAAAAAGCGACTCCTCATGGCGCGACAAGAACAAGATCAACAAGAAAAAGAAGAAAAGGAAAGAGTATTGGCAGCTGGCGTCCCTTCCATGCCCTTCTCCAAAGGCTCTCGCCCCAGCAAATCCCCCGAGACTGGCTTCCATACAACCATGAGTTTCGACATGCGACAGTCACCCTTACATGGCATCCAAAGCACACCCTCTATTCATTCGAGGGAAACTTCGGCTCGAACTCACGGTAATGCTGGTGAATCAGAGCTCGTCAGCCGACTTCTGAGACGAATTGATGATCTCGAAAGAAGTGCTAGAAGATCAGAACATCCACCAATGCAGAGTTCCAGACCGCCCCGTTTCCAGATGCTCTTTGTATTAGATGATGCAAACCATACCGTTTGTCTTCAGGAGCCAACTTGGACTTTCGGGGAAGGTGACGGACTGCGGCTCAAAGCGGAGCTACCATTGGTCGATCTAGATACCCATCTGCGAAAGAATGATGACATCTCCTTCGTAGTGTACAAGTCGTACACAACACCAAAAGTCAGCGTTACGGAGCTCGCCGAAAGATTAGAAACAGGCGTGCTTCCCGCCCCGGAACCGTCGAACGAATACATTGCCATCATGTCCAAAGACCTGCGCGCGGCTTTGCAAATGTATCTCAGATCAGTATGCTTAGTTGAAGAGAAACAGCTTGATTTCTTCTTGCATACCCTACACGCTCCCTACCTGTTTTGGTATCGTGGCAGATCAAACAGACAGATTTTGTCACATCAGCTTCCAAAGTTTCAAGCGCAGCTGGACTTACTGTTCGGCTGGATTGAGCGCAATTACGCCACAAAGTTCGACCGGTTCGACGAAATGATATCTCGTGGGCGCGTTTCCCATGCATTCACTGAATATCTCTTCTTCCCAGGCGACGTTGTCGTGAACAAGGATGGCGACAAGACTAGAGCCTACCAATTGCAAGGCATGCCGGCGTTGAAAAGGTCGTTCGGACGTACTCACCATTCGCAACAATTTGAGAAATTGTCTCGTGCAAGTCCAACGGCCAACGAAAGAGCTAGGACTAACGAACCATGGGTTTGGGAGACTGCATGCTCGACAATCGTATACGATGGTCGGTTTTATTCTCAAAATGATAAACTCACCCTCAAACTGGTTGCAGAGAGTCACAATGAAGAAGTCGACATTACTGAGTTGACTGTCATCCCTCTACAATTTGTTGGAAAAGATCTGCGAGAACAACTCATGCGGAGAGGCCGTACATTCTGGTCCTGTCGTTTTCAGCGCCCAATTTCGTATAATGGCCGAGATGAAGATGCGTTGCATACGGTATGGATAAGAAACCCGATTAGACATCCGCATCAACATTGACTTAACCATGATATAGGACGGTGAGCGATACGTAATCGACAACAAATCCTACAAGAGGCTCCACGTAGATGAGCAAAAGTCGAAACGATTCCAGGATCCTACGTTTACAAGTAACGACAACGATAGAACACCGTTGTTCGTGGAGGAAATGGATAACGACGAGCCTCCTCAAACACCCTACATATACCTATTCCCACCAACGATACCTGGCTTCTCCTTGCGTCGCAAATTGTGGAGTATGTGTTGTTGCAATGTCTGTTGTGCATGGAGGCTGATTACATATAGCCGACCTAGTGGTCGACAAGATAGTCGATATTTCATGGAACAAAGAAGCTTTCAAGCATCTAGTCGCCGACGACAAGACAAAGGAGCTCGTTCAAGCTCTTGTGGCTGACCGGATCTCTAGCGAAAGAAACACAGATATCATCCAGGGAAAAGGCAATGGGCTCATCATTCTTCTACATGGAGGTCCTGGCACCGGTAAGACCTTTACTGCAGAAAGCGTCGCTGAACTGGCCGAGAAACCGCTCTATCCTGTAACATGTGGCGACATTGGCACGGAGCCGGAGCAAGTCGAGCGATATCTAGAGTCAGTATTGTATCTAGGCAACCTATGGGATTGTGTCGTGCTTCTTGATGAAGCCGACGTTTTCCTTGAGGAGCGAGGAATAGCTGATCTAGCACGCAATGCTCTAGTTTCAGTCTTTCTCCGTGTACTAGAGTACTATGATGGCATCCTTATCCTCACATCCAATCGTGTCGGCACATTCGATGAAGCCTTCAAATCTAGGATCTCGCTTGCTCTACACTACCCCAACTTCACGAAGTCGCAACGTTGCCGTATCTGGAAGAACTTCCTGAACCGCCTGAAAGCGCTGAAAGAGCCGGATATCGATTTCGACGACATTGAGTGCAATATATTAGAATTGGCGAAAGAGGAGCTTAATGGAAGGCAGATTCGTAACGCAATCACCATAGGAAGGCAACTCGCAAAGTTCCAGAAGAAAGAAATGTCGTACGCGCATCTGAAGCACGTCGTTGAGGTAGCCGGGCAGTTTGAAACGTACGTCAAAGAGACAAAGGAGAACTTCTCGGATGAGCAGATTGCTCGGCTTCAAGGACGTCGGTAGTGACCAGAGGAAGTCTTCTTCAGATTCTCTGTGAAGCACACCAATCGACAATTCGCTTAATTGTGCGGAGAGGCATGTAGTACCCAGGATTGCATCTTTGGAGTCAGACGGTTTGATGTGTAGGTTTCATTGCGATAGAGTGTCGGCGAGGTAGTGGTCAGGTTCAGTGGCACTCACACCAGCTCAATATCCACAAGCTGGTCTTTGGCGTCTTCCCATACCTCCCCTTGCATAATACCGTGTACGTAAGCATCACCGACCACTTCCCATACGCTCCCTGTTGCTTCACTGCCAGCGAGCTTTCCTGTTTCCCGCAAGACATAAGGAACGTTGGCGCCCTGTAGCAACCACATTGCGTCTCCGATTTCACAGCTAGTTGAAACCAGGCCCAGATAGCCGTTGTTTGTCCTCGCCAAACGCCGAAACTGACCATGTCTATTAGCTGCTCTACCAAAATTGTGATCCCTCCAGTCTCGCTTGATGTCTGCATCACTTGGTGCAGCCCCAAGACGCGCTATGCGGTCGCTAATGGAAGTTCTGTAGGGATGACTGTGAGGATTTGGTCGGTTGAAGTCGGCAACGTAGGGACATTCGGAGTCAGGTGGAGGACGAGGTGGAGATGCACTGCTAATGTCGACGAATGACAAATTGGCCTTACAAGTACAACTTTGTTGCTCCGCTTGCCGAACTTCAGCCGAAGATGTGATGAAGCCAGTGTTATCGCCTTCAGACAACATATCTAAATCGCGAAAGAACGGCAAGGCTTTGTCCTTATATGCTACCTCGGACTTCGCCCTATCAGAGTAGTAGAATAGATAATGGAGATAGCGGACGACTGCAGCGCAGGTTAGTCGCCGGACCACGTATTTGAAGTGATCCATGTTGGGTTGGCGTTCGAGAGGCAGATGATCGACATGATTGGCAACCAGGGTAGTAACCAACGTTTCGCCTCGTGGTTTTCCTGTAGGGCGGGAAACCTTTGGTAAATTGAGTGTGAGGGTGACCCACTGAGGATCGAACTTCAAGCGCCCGCCGTGCCAATCCCATGGCTCAGCTAGCTCTACAATCCGGCCAATTTCAACACCTTGAACTCGAAGTGCGCTGTGGCTTTCAGACCCAATGTCCATGACGTCCAACATTGATCCTGAAGTGGCATTGTAGCCCACACTTGCGAACGCAAGCTCCGATTGCTCGGCCTTATCGTCAAACTCTCCGACCCAGGTTGGGGAATTCGGGAACTTCCTCAGAGATCTATCGGTAACCCAGCTCAAGCAGTTCAGGTTTTTCGTCTCCTGAATAAGGCGTCGGATCGCTTCGCTATAGACCTGCTCTGTCGTCTTGTTGTAATCGACACTTATTCCGAAGGCACCGCGCGGTACAATGCCTAGTAGTGCGAAGATTTTGTCTTTAGGGTTCGCACATCCGGACATACGGGCTAAAGTAAGAAGTTGTTCAAAAGTAAAAGGCAGTTTCTGTTCCTGCACCTCAGTTTTGTATAACAGCCGCCATCGGTCTTGGAATAGCTCCAGAATAGCCTTTTCATGATCAAAGTTTCGATTGGGCTTGATAGGAAGGTCCAATGCTTGCCCGATTGGATAATGAAGATGATGCTTTTTGATCCAAGCGACAAGCAAGGCGATCCTCTGGAGGTCCGAAAAGTCCACAATCTCCGTTCCACACAGCATGCATATCCGCCGAGCAAGCATGATTTCCTGAAGGACCCAGCAGCGGAAGAAATACTGCCTGGCGAGAAAACGAGTCAGTTTCTCATACTGTTCCTTGGGGATCGAGTCGATTTCTGTAGTATCGTCCTCACTCAAAGTTCTCTCCATAAAGTCTGAGTAATTCGAGCATTGCTGATGTCCTTGCATGTCGTCAAAACACTGCAACTTATTAAGGCGCTGCATAAGTGGTATAGCTTGGTCGCTATCTTTGTCCGCTGGGCCTAACCACGAGATAACTAAAGAAGCTTTGCTGTAGATTTGCGCCATCAGGCCAACTTGCGTATTCCGTTCCTGGACATCGTCCTGGTTGATGCACAACTTGTCCTGTATTTAACGTTCAGAGTCAGCCAGCATCTCGTATATAGTAAATGCAGGGACGCCACGAACAATCCACAGGTATTGCACTTGGCGTTTGAGCTCATGGCAATTCATACGCCGCGTGCAAATTGCTCTAAGCGCGTGTTCCAGATTGACTGTAACATCAACTGACACGCCATTGCATACAATAGGTACATCTCGCACCCAAGTTGTGTGTTTCTCCCGATCGAACCAGTACCGGTACAGCGGATCGCCCCAAGTGTAAGACAACGCTTGAAAGTCCAGGGTCTCGCGCTCTAGATTAGTAAGGTGAAGCGTGCAGTTGATAGGGGTGCTATCGTCTTGTAGTGGATGAAGCTCGATGACGCGTATCGATGTTGCTGTCGGCAAGGGAGCGTACAGGCCTCGAGGTCCGGACAGGGACGCATCCATGGTGGGGCTGCTGACTAGCTTAAGTCTAGCTAAAGCATCATCACTTACGCAACGCTATTAGTGGCCTTTCCGGAGTATCGCGGGAAAGTGACATCCTTACAGACACCTATTGATTCTGTGTGATTGTCGCTGTCGCCTTGTGCAAGGTGAGTGTCTGTAATAAAGGACTTGGTATAAGAAGTGACGCAATGTAGAAACAGGTAAGCTGGTGATGGCCAAGACGCTAAACTCACATCATGCATTGCGCCTGCCTAGGTGAGCGATTACCTTGAGTTGGTCATGTGAAATAGCCATCAAGAACGTCGTATGAAAATCGATTAGAATCACGAAAGGCATCTCGGTATGATTACAGGGGTAATATGAATAAAGAAATAGTCCAACATAACACTACAGACTTTTACTCAAACTACGCCAAACACCTTCCATGCAATGCATGCTGCCTCCCTTGTCTAGGCATCCTCGCCCTTCTCTGCCTTGTTCTCCCTCCACCCCTCCTCAAGTGCTTTGACCTTCTCTACACCCTTCTTGTTACCAACACTACTCTCCCACTCCGCCCACTTCTTAAACACGCTCCGTATCCTCGATGCTTTACCAACCTTGGTCATACGCTCAAACAGATCCCGGACGTTCTCTGCACTGCCATGGCTCTGCTCCAACATGAGGTACATATCCCAAACATCGCCCTTCTTTGAAAAGGTGTCGACGAGGCCTTCGAAGATGGTGCGACCACGCTCGGCGTCGCCGTTAGGGCTCTTGAACTCAAGCGCTGCGAACTTCTGGGTTAGGTAACGGTGTTGGGTTGAAGCAACGGATTGGGTCGCGCGCTGGAGGAGGGCGCGAGCCCGTGTGGGAGAGGGTGGTTGGATGACGTCCATCAGGAATGACGCGTAAGAAAGCCAGAATTGAGGGTCGGGGGTAAAGGACTTGTTCTTCATCATTGACTGATAGAGGTTGTCTGCTTTCTGTTCTGATTTTAGTAAAAGTCACGAGGTTACGAACATGGAGTGATACATACGTCGATCTTGCCTGAGGAGATGTAGATCTTGATCATGCGCTCATGCATCTCACGGGCGTCGTTGTTCTGGCACGCCTCCTTGAAGACGGTTTCCAGAGCATCGTCACCAGCGAAGTCGTTCTCCAAATGTAGCAAGGCGGTCCAAACATCAAGCTTCTCTTTCTCCTCCCTAGGGTTGATGGTTGCCAATGCGCGACGAGCGATTTGGCGCGCCTTTTCGATCTCGTTGAGTTCACGTTGGAAAACCATATACCGAACCCACATCTCAGCGCTGTTTGGCTGTCCCAAAAGCAAGCGCTCGTAGTCAGCGACAGACTGCGGGCCGTAAGCATCGAGATCACCAGTACGGTCCTCTTTGATGGTAGCCTTCTTGCTCTTTTTCTTTTTCTTTGGGGCATCATCGTCAGAATCAGGCTCGGCTGCACCCTTTTGCTCGTCAAAGTCGAGAGTCGCACCAGTCCAGTCGAAACCAGAAGTGCTGAGTCCTTGGGTTGCCGCTTTTGGCGCGTCATCGTCAGAATCATCGTCAGAAGCGTTTACGTCGGCAAGCTCAACGTCCTCGTCACTGTCAGCACTCTTGACGCTCCTCATATCCACGTCGTCGTCACTGTCGTCATTGAGATCGATGCCGTCGAGCTCGATGCCGCCATCCGAGTCACTTCCCTCTAGTTGCTCGGCTTCGGAAGTGTCTTCCATATCTTCATCCTCATCGTCACCCTTTACTTGAGAGTATTTCAAGGAGAAGCTGATCTTCCTGGACTTTTGGTCGATCTTTATGATCTTTGCTTTGACGACATCGTCTTCCTTGTACATCTCCTTGACCTTGTCCTTGTCGACGGCAGTGTCCGCCAGTTGAGAGATGTGGCAAAGTCCACTGACGTTGCTTGAGCCGTCGATAACAAGGAACACACCAAAGTCTGCTACATGTCGAACCTTTGCGGCGACGATCTGTCCAACCTTCAAATCACTGAACTCAACCGGCTCAGTGTAGGTCCCTTGAACATGCGAGGCCTTCAAGCTCAATTGTGGGTTGCGCTGATCTGGCTTGTTCGAGATGACTTTGCCTGTCACGAGTTGATCCACGTGGAATGCAGTCTTCCAGTCTTTGATGTATTCATCCGAAAGATGGCTGACCCGAACGTAGGCTTCGACATGAGGTCCAAGGCGGATGTAGACACCGTTGTTGGCAACGTGCTTAATGAATCCACGAACCACCTGATGTACCTTGAGCTGAGCTCTGTCCTTGATTTCAGGGTCCTTGACTGGCAGTGAAGAACTCAATACCCTGGAGGGCCTGATGGACAACCCTAACTTCTTGTTGGGAAGATCGACATCGATCACACACACCCGCAAGACATCACCAACCTTGAACTCGCTTGGTTTGGCCTTGTCATAATCGTCTGCCAGCTGCTCGAGGAAGATGGGCGCGGCGATATTGTCGTTTATCTGGACAACGATCGATGCGTCATGCAGCTTAGTGACTCGCGCAGGCAAAATGTGGCCAACCTTCAAGTCTTGAAGGGCCAACGACTTGCCAGTCTGAGTGGTTGCAGCTGTCAAGTCCAATTTTCCAGCTGCAACATCGACCGCCTTAACGCGAACCTTGAGAGCAGAGCCTACAGGGAAGTTTTCTGCGATGTCCGAAAGTTTCTCCAGGTCGTCGGTGAGGTCGAAATAGTCAATGCGCCCACGGACGTTGGCAGAAATGTTCACCCAGACATATCGCTCAGCAATGTTGTTGATAAAGGCGACATGGGATGATCCAGGCGTGATCTTGTCGAGGCTCAGCACGTCAGCTTCCGTCTTGATCTTGTCCGTGTTTGCGGTTAGCTCGAAAGTGGGTGTCTTGTTACTCGATCGGGACGTAATAGGAAGGAAACGGAAGTTACGGGCATCATGTCTTCCCAGAACTCTAGCCTGAATCTTCTCATTGGTCTTGAAATGTGCTGTGGGATGCTTTTTGTCTGGAATACTGTCCCAGGAATCGAACAGTTCCGAAACTGAGATACGTCCAGGCACGTTTGCGGCAAGCTCAACATTGAGTTGAGTGTCCTTGATTGATCGAATGCGGACAGTTGCTAGCGCGCCGAACTTGATGTCGTCGGTAGATGTGATCTTTGGATCTACAGGTTCCACCAGGGCTTCTCCTTTCGATGCTGGAGTATGAATAGTGTTGGCAGCGTCCATGTCACCTTCGGCCTTCATCGACAGCCAGAAGAATCCCTTTCCAGGATCAACGTGCGTCACACGAGCAGTGACAGATTGGTCCTTCCGAAGACCAAAGTTTGGTGCAGAAAGCATCTCCTCTGGTAGTTGTGATTTGAAAAGTACACCGCTTATGCCATTGCCGAGTTCGATGAAGATCTTGTCAGGTAGAATACCACGAACAAAACCATGTACCGTCTCGCCAGCAGAGATGTCCTCAATGCTGAGAGCAAACTTTGAAGCTTGAGCGTCCTTCAGGAGACTAGGCTTATTCGAGACGGTTGCTGTCCTGGATTTGCCATGCTTTGTCAATACCACAAGGTCTGCTAGCGTTCCTCCAACGCGGATCTTCTTCATCGTCGAGATGTCCTTCTTCTCCGAGCCGTCTGTGAGGTGACCAATACGAAGAATACCCTTAACGCCGTTTCCGATGTCCAGGGTGACGATCTCATCAGATTTCTCAATCACTGTGCCTTTTACGATACCTCCAGGGTTAAGCGCGTTGAAAGCAGCCTCCTTGTTGATGTCGACAGCAGCGGGGTCTTTGCAGGACACCAAGAGTTGCTTCTCCTTCGCATCTACAGAGATGACGCGGACGTTGACGACCTGGCCGTTTGTGAAGTGTCGCGTCGCATCCTCAATGTATGCTTCACTCATCTCTGCAGCTGGAAGCCATGCCTTTACGTCGCCGTAGAAACGTACTGTGGCACCATTGCGACGAACGCTAACCAAGATACCGGGGCCAGCGGCACCCTCCCTGAGCATGGAATAGTTCGTCCATGGCTTCACATCTGAGTTGACCAGGGACTTCTTGAGAGTAAGCTGAATCTGATGCCTGGCTGGCTCGGTATAAAGTACACGTGCTGTGACTGGCACACCTTCCCTGAACTTGCGTTCCGGATGTTGCAGACGAACATCGGCCAAATGCATCTCAGGGACTAGGCCGGTGATGCCCTCGGCGAGGTGAACCAGAACAGCGGTAGCTCCAGTCTTGTCGGCGATGAGCTTGTGGACCTTGCCCTTGACGATTTCACCAGCTTTGATATCCTCTATGCGGAGGAAGGGCTGATCGAGGATTTTCTGCTCCAGTGAAAGCTGGAAAAGTCCGTCCAAGGCATTGTAGCCGATAATGCGTGCCTTGTGTTTCGAGTCGAGCTTGTATGCACCAGCCTCTTCGGAGAGAATATCGACTTTGTCGTCGGAAAGCTTTGAGATATGCGCAAACCCGCCAACGTCTTTTATGCCGAGATCGAAGAAAGCACCATGGGCCGGCGCCACTTTGATGACTTTTGCAGCTTCGATGACAGTTGAGATTGGCAGAAGATTGACAGGAGGTTTGCGCTCTTTGGGTTTGCCGGACATACGGGTGGACAGGCTCACAACATGGTCTAGTAATGAAACACCGACTTTCCTGGGCTCTGAGTCTGGGCATGTGAATAAGATACGAGCCTTGACTTTGGAGCCAATCTTGTACTTCTCGGACACATTGGCAGCCTTCTCGGTCGCTCCGGAGTGGTAGGCATCGGCAGTTGCGTCGATAAGGCCTAGGATCTTACCGGTTAGTGTGGTAGCTGTTGTATCGGCCACGAGTACATCAACGGCGGTTCCTGGAAGGAAGACATCGATAGTAGGTGCTTCGGTCAGTGTGTTGCCCTTGGCCAAGTTGCCTGCTTTGGTGTGGTCCGCGGAAAGCTTGACAATGCGTCCATCGGAGTTGAGGCCAGTAACCAGACACATGAAGACGGCGCCTTCTTGTACCTTGGCGTGCTGAACTTTGGGTCCCAGTTCTCCCTTGGGCAGGAAGCCCTTCAGACTGCTGTCGTCAAGGCCCAGATCCATGACCAGACCGTGATCCTCATTGCTGACCACGGAGGCCTGTACCATGCTGTTCACTGGTATCTTCCGCTTGTTGAGACCTTTGTTGACCAGCTTGGGGTCGATGGACAGGTCTAGTCTCTTTCGCGCTCTTGCGCTCTCGTCGGTCGTCGCTGTGATGCATGCCCTCAAGTACTGTCCAACAGAGAACATTTCTTTCAGCTCCACATCTTCAAAAGAATCATCGTCGCTCCCTTCCTTGTCCGCCTCTTCCTCCTTGAGAAGCTTCTCTAGTCTCTCGTTGAGTTTGTCGGATACGGCGGTGAGTGGGACGTAGCCAACGAGGTTGTTTGGGAGGGCGAGTACGATGTCTTGGTGAGAGATGTCGGTTACTTGACCGAGAACGATGGTCCCAGGCGACAATTTCTGCATTGGTCAGTACATTCTCACAGGGCGCAAACTCTGCGACTGGCATACCTTGTAGCTCAGACCCTCGGCCCTCACAGTGTCATCCTTCTCTCCACTGTCATGCGACTTCTTGCTCTTCTTGGCCAGCGGCTTCTTCTTCGACTTGGCGGCTGCCTTTTCGTCGTCTTCGGACCCCATGTCGCTGAATCCATCGTCGCCGCCGCCGGTTCGCTTTACGCCGCCAGCCTGCTCGAAAAGAACGTCCTGGTTCGCCTTGATCTGAATCTGCTTGTGCTCAAGCGGAGTCAAGACGCTGGCGCCTCCTCTGGGGAAGGACTTCTCCTCATCCTTGAAGACGCTGGGCTTCGGCGCAGCCCTCTCAGGCTTTGACTTTTCCGGCGATGGCTGCTCGACGTCGGATTTCCGTCGCTTCGTTGATCGGTCGGCCGGCGCGCTCTTCGACTTCTTCTGTGGCGTGGCGCCCTGCTCTGCTTTTCGTTTGATTGCGCCCATTGCGATGCGCTACTTCTCCGGTGGTGGAGAGCTTGGTGGTACTGAAGTTTCCGCCAAGAGTTCGAGAGTCGCATAGGGCCTTCGACTTTTTTGGTGGGTCCATGCGCGCAGATTCTCCGACCCCCGACGACAGGGAACCGCGCTCGGGGCACGTGAGACCAAATGGCAGGGCAACGAGGTTCGAAAGAGCAACTTTTCGCTCGAGAGACATGTGCAAAGCATTGGAAGGCATGGACTAAAATTCAGACCAAACTGCACGATTCTGATGTCTTCTTCCGCAAATTTGAGGACTTTTACCCTGCTGTACGGCAAACGGAGAGCTCTTCTGGAGGCACAGCCAAGCCACTTAACACCTAAGACGGCATAGCGTAGCACGTCTGTCGCGCCTGCCCATCGCGACGTGCTTTGGCCGTGCGTCTTCCTCTCCAACCTCGCCGTCATACATGAGCTTTCGTCTCATATCCCCATTTGCGTCTCCAATTACTCGCGTGTGTTTATCTGATCGTCCGTTGGTGTTGCTTGTATATGTGTACTGCTGAAAAGGATCATGTCTTCTCCATGCGCCCCTCGAAGTCTGCGTCTTCAAGAGCCCACGCCTGAGCTATGCTCATCACCACCTCCTCCCTCATCCGCCACCGTTTGTTCACGCAAGCCAAAACGACCACCGCCCATTACGCCTAAGCGCTTCACCCGCTTCTTCACCCCGCGAAATTCCAAAGATGTCTCATCGCGCACACATCTCTCCAGGTCGGGTCGCCAATTGCAAGACATCACACGATCGGCTCTTAATCGCAGCCGTGAGACCCGGAGTACGCCGCGGAAGACGGTCAACTTTGTCGACATTGAGAACCCGATGCGGACCCCACAGAGCAGTGTGCGGAAGCGAAAGGCCTACTTGTCCCCCGCGAGTTCTCCTGCCCAGTCGTCACCCTCGAAGCGATCCCGTTACGTCACTCCACCAGCGATTGATATTCTCGAAGACGGGCTCGACCTGAATGACGAAGACGAGCCTGCCATACAACCAGCGCCGATACGGAGGTTAAGAATGCTGGGACGCCCGTCGAGAACACTGCAGCGATCCTTTGGAGGTATACTGGGCGTTGGACGAGGGTTCAGGATAGACCATGGCGCATCATGGCAAGACCAGACTTCCAACTTCTACAGTGGTGCGGATGACTTCCGTCAACTACCAGAGGGCGCTCCCCCATTCTGCACAGCTAGTTGCAACAGTATGCTATCCCTCTCTTCTCATACGTCATCGCAATACTGACCATTCTTAGCCAACTCTATGCTCGCTATAGGAGATGAAGACGGATATATTCACCTACAAGACTCTGAAGGCGACTTTTCCAAACCAACCGTAACATGGAAAGCCCACACCAACGCCATCATGGACCTACAGTTCTCCTCAGACGACTTGCACCTGGCCGCCGGTTCCGGAGACCAGACTGCATCCATCATCGACGTTCGCACCCAACAGACACTCGCCGTCTTGGCCAAACACAAGTCATCAGTGAAGCAAGTACGCTTCCAGCCGGGTGACGACAAAATGGTAGCTACTTCGAGTAGGGACGGCGCAGTACAGATCTGGGATCTCCGGTGTAAGGGCAATCAGGGACAAATACACTCAGCCTGGGGCTCCGATGCGCCATATGCTAGTGTCGTGCGTACGCTTGCTTCGGCACATGCGGATATCAGCCTTCCAACACCTACATCGTCCGCCACTCGGATTCTGGGCAACAGCAAGACGGAAACAATAAACAGACGAAATGACATTTCAGTCACGGCTCTATCTTTCCTCCCTGAAGGCCGCGAACACCTACTCCTAACTGCTTCGGACGCATCGACATGCGTCAAGCTTTGGGACATCAGAGGCAGATACTCGCTGCGAGGACCTGCCATACCCATCGCGACTACACGCCATCCCGAATCTCATAACCGCCACCGGCACTTTGCCATCAACTCACTCACCTTGAGTGGTGACGCATCACGACTTTACGCCCTGAGCAAAGACAACACTGTGTACGCCTACTTCACAAGCCACCTCATCCTCGGCGTAGCACCCGAACTATCTACATCCTCTTCATCAAAGCAGAAATACTGTGGTGTAGGCCAAGAAGGTCTGGGGCCGATTTATGGTTTCCGACACCAGAACTTCCATGCCGGCTCCTTCTACGTCAAGGCATCGCTACGCAAGGCGTACCAGGACCGCACTGAGATGCTCGCAGTTGGCAGCACAGACGGCTGCCCCGTATTATTCCCTACCGACGAGACCTTCCTCAAGCGCGAAACAAGGACCGAAGAGGACGACGCAGACGACCTCCCGGATATTACTAGCATCGCTGCAAAACCTTCACGACCATCGATCCTTCCCCGATCATCCTCTAACACCCGTTGCCCGGATACTATTCCTATCTACGAACACGGCACAGCGCTTATACGAGGCCACGATGCAGAAGTTACAAGCGTTTCTTGGGCGCGCAACGGCAGCCTGATTAGTGTCAGCGACGACTACCGCGTCAGAAGGTGGAAAGAAGGAAGTCAAGCCAGAGATCTACGTATGGGTGGTGAGAGCGAGGGAAGGAGATGGCAGTGTGGATGGGCCGCTGTAGGAGACGGATATGACGACGATGAGTAGAGTTGTTGTCCACATACTTTCGTGCGACGTTGTTTATCATACCCCAGCTATTGATTCGTGTAAGATTATGAATGAAAGAGAGGTTGATGATCATGGTTTTTCTTATGGATATGTAACGTATTGCATCTGTGACATGATGCTGGTAGGCACTGTCTTCATAGTCTCAAACATAGAGTATCTCTGTCACTCTATGAGTATACTTCTGACTATCTCTTTTTTAGCCAAGGTCTTCCCTTGAGCTTGCCAGGCTTTCCATCTCGGTCTCGGTCTCCGCCCTGCCCGCTCTTCTCTCTCGCTCCACCCATGTGCTCTGGTAGTAGTCTGTACCTCCGCTCAACAAATCGATCGACTTCTCCGCCGTCGAAACTACCAAAAGACCCGGACAAAATCCTGCGGGTACCGTCAATCGTATTGCCCAAGGCATCTGTGGGAGGCGAAGGTATAATAGATTGTGGCCGTGAGCTTGATGGATGCGAGTGTGGAGACGTAGACTGGTGACTTGTAGTTCGTGCAGTCTGGACGCCTTGAGGCCGTAGTGCGTGTGATGAGAGGGGCTTGCCAGTCCGATCAGAGTTGTTCATAGACTTGTATTCCAGTGGCGTGCCAGAGGAATCGTCGTATTGCGACCGCCTCACAGGGAAGATCTCCCACTCCGAGGCTGTAGGTGTACGTGGAAACGATGTCTGATATCCCTCACTCGGCGGTAGCGAAGGGTAAGAAACAATGTTATCGGAGTATGTACTCGACGTAGAAGTAGACCCAGAGCCGGATATCGACTTTGAATTTTGCAGTGAATCGAAACGTTGTTCCTCTTGCCCTGCTGCGTTCTCTTTCTCCGTTGTAGCGCGCTTCCTCTTCCCCATTGTCTTGCCCCAGATTTCCTCATCGCGGCGCTGCCTCTTGATCCCATCATTGACGTCCGCGTAGACAGTACCGTTGAAAGACTTCCATACATCGACACCTTTGCCAAACACCGTCTCGACCTTCCTATCGGTGTCATCGACCATCTTGTTGAGATATTGTTGTTCTGTATCGTCATCTTCTTCGTCTGTGGTAGAACCAAATGTAGTGTCCATGATACCGGTGTTGGACGTTGACACGAAGGAGGTAGAATTTCCGCCATTCCGGGCGCGGGGGTTGTCGAAGAGTGACATCTTCTGTCGCTTCTGACTTGGAGGATTAGCGGGATTGTCCATATTCGAGGCTTCATCCATCGTATCGCAATGCACCTAGGTAATGGGTATGAGATTAAGGGGCAGAGTTGTTGTGGCAAGTTGTTTGAGTAAGAACACAAGCTCCGTGCTTTGTTGCCTTGTAATAGTATCTGATATCCGATCTGGAAGCATCTTATCGTAGTTCAGATGCTTTTGTAATTGTGGGCTGCGAGAGATGCTTTCACTGTGATGCCGACCTCGTCCTGTAGAACTCTGACAAACAAACTCCCGTATCATTTGTGATATCGTCCCGTTCGTTCTTCCTGTAATCAAATATTCACAATAGTGGCTTCTTGTAGTTCCCAAAACAGTCAAGGCTGTTTGCTGCAAGTGCTTCCTGATGTCGCGCTCCCAGCGTATCCAGCCTTGTCACGAAGCTCTCACTGATCCCATAACGTTTCTGTGCATTGTTGAGCTCCGTTCTAATCCACAAGACAGCTCCTTAAGTGTTAGATAGGCACATGATTTAATTGTAGAAACTTGCGATTCGTGTATCATTACCTAGGTATTCAAGCCTCGTGAAGTAGGAAAAAGGTACCTCATTCTATCAGGTAGAATCAACAGTTCTATCTTGGTATGCGCGTCTTTGCTCTGTAAATTTGACAGTGTACTCGGATTCTGAGCGCTAACTTGGGAGAATACACGACCAATGATCAAGAATATCCTAATGACATTGATAGGTTGCGTCACGAAAGTTCATGATTTGGTTTTGGATCGGGAATACTGACAGCCGACGATCACTTGCCGAGCGCCGCAAATCGGCCTTCCCCGGCAGACACGTCGACGCGACCTTCGTGGAAGGAACGCGCGACAAACCTCACTGTAAGGACGATTTACATGCGCATTCCCGCCACCTATCGTGCTATCTTCGCACATTTCTTGAAGACATCATCGCTACCTACAACACACTGCGGCCCAGCCACCGCGGAGCACATCACGGCTTACTAGTCATCACTCATCATGCAATGCAAGCACAATGCTCGTTCCCCAACAAAGGTCGACATGCACTGATCGCCACTAACGAAGCCATCGGGCCCGAGCCGTCAGATGCCAATCACTTTAGTGAGATTCGATACATCCAATGAGGATGGTTTGGACCAAAAACGGTAACTTGCTTCATGGAGCTTCTGCAAGCCATCATTGCAGCAACGCATGCGACCACCACATCGCCGACTGGTAGTCGCCCAAGTGTCTGCAGATCATGGGAATATTGGGTTCGATGCGCAAGTATAAAGAAGGCCCAGCGACATGTATTGCCAAGCAGTGAGAGGTCCTTCAGCACATCGCGTATCATATACTGGCGTCATGCGTGTATCGGCAGCAGCAGTCAGTTTGTTGGCCTCCTTGGCCTCAGCCAGCTTAGACAGCCCTAGCCTGCTACAGCAGTTCTACGCTCCACGACGCCTTTTAGGTAACTCCTTCGGCAATCCAGGCGTCAATGCAACATACGACTATGTAGTCGTTGGAGCTGGCTTAGCCGGCGCTCTCACGGCATCCAGAATCGCAGAAGCATTGCCAAACATGACGGTCGCAGTCATCGAAGCTGGCTCCTTCTATGAGATATCGAACGGGAATTACAGTCAGATGCAAGTTCAATATGAGTGGGCATGTCATGTCGACGTGCTAATCTTGGTGGCAGTCCTTACTATTCGACCATGTATGTTGGTCCGGATCCCGAAGACTACCAGCCGTTGATCGACTGGGGTATCTTCACCGAACCTATACCCGGCGCGAATGGACGCCGATTTCACTACGCGCAAGGGAAAACACTTGGTGTATGTGACCTTTAGATATACGATTCTGGACGAAAAGCTAATCGCAGCCCAACTTGTAGGGCAGTTCGGCGCGAAATCAAGAAATTTACCACAGAGCAACCAAAGGTTGGTATGAATCTATCGCCAACATTACTGGAGACCCAGCCTACTTGTGGGATAGCATGTTCCCCTTCATGAAGAAGAGCTTCTCCTTCACACCACCCGATGTTCGCTTTCGCGCTGAGAATGCCAGCAACATCAACTTCACGCTCTCCGCCTTCGATATTCCGGGAGGTCCTGTTCATTTGAGCTTTCCAAAGTACGCGCAACCGATCGCCTCCTATGGTGCAGAGGGATATGCTGCTGCTGGCATGAACGCGGCGAATGGCTTTCTTGATGGAAACCTCTTAGGATATGGCTACTGGCCCTTTACGCTGAGACCCGAGGACAGTACGAGGAGTAGCACCGAATCGGCTTTTCTCTCTCACACAGCTGCAAGAACGTCTTTGAAGATTTATCAGTCTTGCATGGCGCGCAACATTCTTTTCGATGAGTCAAAGCGTGCGACGGGAGTAAACGTCACAGCTGGCGGGATGAAACCATTCATCGTTCACGCGCGCAAAGAAGTCATCGTGTCCAGCGGCTTCATTCATTCTCCTCAGCTACTCATGGTGTCTGGAATCGGTCCGCGCGAGGCACTCGAACGACACAACATCACCGTCATATCCGAACTAAATGGCGTTGGTCAGAATCTTCGAGATACTCCCGCTATTGGCGGCGTCGTTCACCACACAAACGTACCGGGGAGAAGTGCTTGGGAGCGCGAGTCTTCGTCTTTCGACGCAGTTATAGAGCGCTATCTGACGAACGGATCTGGTCCTCTTAGCAGTCCCGCTAGCGATTTTGCCGCCTGGGAGAGAATGCCTGAACAGTTCACCACCAACATGAGCCGATCTACTCTCGAATTCTTGCGAGAACTGCCCAGAGACTGGCCGAATGTAGAATACGTATTGCAGGCTTCAGAGCGCATCTTGTCTTCAGCTCAAACTGCGAGCGATACAGGTGTCATCGGCACAATATTGACATCCACCACGAGCGCGGGAAATGTCACCATCCAATCTGCTGACAACGCTGTTGCACCTGTCGTATACATAGGCTGGCTCGACTCCCTTGAAGACCAGGAACTTGCTGTTGCAGCATACAGACGTGCACGCACCATCGCCGCCAGCATATCCGCATTTGGTGATGAAATAGCGCCTGGAGCGAATGTCACAACGGATGCGCAGATTTTGCACTATATTAGAACCAAAGGGATGGGCGCCATTCATCACGGAGCAGCGACGTGCGCGATGGGAAGAGATGCGTCGAATGGAGCGGTCGTTGACTCTAAGGCAAGAGTCTTTGGTGTGAGTGGACTGAGGGTTGTAGATGCAAGTTCTTTGCCGTTCACGGCGCCTGGACATACACAGGGCGTCACTTATGCGCATGCGGAGAAGTTAGCGCAGGATATTATCAATGCTGTGAATGATGTCTAGATTAGTGGTGACCAATAGGATGCTCGTATACAACATTACAGCTCATTCAGTTTTGTGAATGCTCTGATGTCCTCCAGTGCACTTACAAAAAACATGATGACTCATTAAATCTTGCGTCTATGTCGAAGAGATGAGAGGGGAGGGTGGAACGTGGAGAGTTCCGGTCTCGAAGCGGGATACTGTAAAGGCCAGTCTGAGCATTGCTGCTTTGAGCTTCATTCCGATCGCTGCAAGGAGAGATTCGAGAAGACGCAAGGGTCGAATGATGTGATGCAAAATAAGTAGAGATGACGTACAGAATATGTTACATATCAGAGGGATGGCGGTTTGTTTACGAAAGAGATGTAGCAGCTATGAAGTCGTCGCGCAACAAGGTTTGCATGCTGGAAAGAGTCGTAATTCAGTATCGAGCAGCGAACCCGCTTACGAGTCTCGAAGCATGCCATGGCAGAACAAAAGCGTTCTCAGATGAGCATTAGCAAGTATATTATGCTTATACTCCTTTCAAGAAATAATTCGAGTTAGTGTTGTCTCCACCTATCCGTGTACTCTTCACATCGTAGTCTTTTGTAACCTTGATCGTACCAAGCTCACCCTCCTGAGCTGAGTTCAGCGTCCGTAATGGTATGTTACCTTGTCGGCACAACTCCTCTTCTGACTCTGTTGCAGTAACCCCTTGTTCCAACCGTGTGATACTTCCTCTCTGGGCCCTCTTCCCCCACTTCGATCCGCCCGGGCCTTTTCCTTCCGAACCAATCGTTATGATCTGGCCAAGTGAAGACAGTCTGTACCCTTTCTGCTTCGAACTACCTCGCTCTCCTCCTCCTGATCCGTATGAAGGTCCACCCGCTACTCGCGTCCAAAGTGCTTTGAGACTTGGCAAGTTGACAGCGATGATAGCAAACTGTATCTCGAGCGCAGCCACAATTACCATCTTTCCAAGCACCCATGATGTATCCGGCGAGTTGTTTAGTTCCATGAGAGGTATGAGTCGGAAACATGCAATAATGACGGAACTGCTGCCAAAGGCCATGACTCCCAGCACAGCTGCTTTGCGCCGTACTGACATTTGGAGTTTCAAAACTGTATGTATGGGTAGGATGAGGATGTAGAAGTCTTCCAGGATGTTCTATCTCGCTGTTAGTGCCTTATCAGATAAGAATGTAGGTGTATTCGTGACTTACGAGGATAGATGGCCCTATGAGAAGGACGAGTTTGCTGATACAGATAGCATCGGGATGCGTACCTGGATGAAGAATCTCATCAAACGGAATGCATTGGAAACATGCGAGCATGATATTGATAATCAAAATTGCAAGGTTCAGGACTCCGCCAATGTATACAGCAACCCGAAAGGCTTTACTTGGGGAGAGGCGCAGGTAAAAGAGGAGGAAAGCCGATTTGATTACCCAGTGAACTGAGTAGTAAACCACTTCTTCTATGAACAGCCACTGTTGTTTACTCAGCTCAATTAAGATGGAAATGTCGTATTAGACCGTACCTTGACAATTTCGAGCTGTTGGACACCGCTCAACGTTTCCATGTGTAGTCCACATCCCCAATACACGAACATGTGCAGGACGACTTGTTGTCCAATGCTAAACAACTGCACTTTCAGTCAATACTGATGATATAGATATACTCTAGGGCCTAGGTACATACCAGGATCAAAATGGCAAAATTGTCATCCCAACCACGAGTCCTTAGGACAAAATGCCGACAGTAGAAGCGCAGGAATACAGATGTAGTACCAAGAAAGAAGGTAACATATGCTACAGCATAGGCCAAAGGCTGTAGAGTTGTCAATCCCATAGTAACGTATGCGTTTCTCCCGAGTGGTTTAACATTGAATTCGAGAGGATGCTCGCTGTCTCAAAAGAAGTACTCGACAGGAGCCGCATAGTAAACTGCAAACAGACACGTTCGTCATGGCCTATTGAGGAACAGTTTCAACATTTCCTAACCGACCCCATGCTTTTTTCTTACCGCCCCCACGGGCTCACAAAATAGAACGTAGGAAGAATGCCACCGTGTATGAGGCCGAATGCGAGCATGTGTTGCTAAGATCGGTGAAGAATGTGCGTATCTGAGCTTTGTTGTAACGTATCAAAGACAAGATATTCCACATCGCTCAGGATAAGTGGTGCCTGCCTAACCGCCGCGCATGATTAGGTTTTTGCTTTACTCCGTTGAGACGGTTCTGCGGTGCGGGAGGCTTCCCTTGTGGGCTACGGCTCGACCCATGTACTAACCTGGCGCACGCGCTCCCCCGAGCCGTCAAGCTGAAGCCGAGGAACTGGTTCGGTCTAGAACAAGTACACTCAAACTGCTACTCAAGCGTTGTGTTCACCATATGTCTGCAGGCTCTAGCACATACTATATAACGCACCAACAGTCAGGCGTTAGGCAGATCTGTCCTCCCGAAAATCATATCTGGGTACTGGGAAGGATTTCGAAAAGGATGTACTGAGACGGGGAGCCTAACATGAACCACAAGAAGCGAAGGATTCTCTCATATCGCTCGCGTGCATGAAGAAGATGTGACTTCCTGTTGGTGGTGGAGGCGCGTGTGCGTGTCGACAAGGGCCGGGACGCGTGGTTGCCAGCCGATTCCCCGCCCCACACCCAGGGCTATCTCGCCACTCAGCACGTCCACCAGAACCCTAGTAGCTTGACTTGCAATCTCCTTCACTAGCAAATTCCAACGCTTCGGAACAGTTCCTTTTCGTAAGAGCATTGTGATAGGTGAGCAGGTGTTGTGGCTGCTTGCGCCCGCACACGGTCGACCCTGGTTTTAGCTTCTTCAGGTCGAGAATGCAGTAGCGGAGAACAAGGTAGTAGAATAGGGTAGCACTAACGCTCTGTAATTCCATCTTTTAGAGTATAGCACTATCTCGTCAGGCTTAATTTGTGCAAGACATTCGCTATTTCTTCCCTTCAACGTAACGTACGTCATTAGAAGTCAGGGTTGATCCAAACAGCACTGTCACATATATTCCTCCTATCTTCTGCAAGACCAAACGCCATCTGCCCATTCACCATTATGTCGATCGTTGTGAACCCGAAAGAAAGTTCCCCAGGAAATTCAATTTCACGGCCAAAGGTGTTCCGCCAGTACACTGAGGTGGATCTTTTGTTACTATTTGACTCTACGTCTGTGTGGTTGTTGTGGTTGTACTTCGCACTTATATGGACGCAACCAACGAGACCATTCACCTGGCCTTTAACATGACTTGACCGGCCGTTAGAATTGTTGTAGGCATCATTGTAGAATTTGCGAAACAAGTAGGTCCTGCTGTTGTCGTAGTAAGGGTAGACAGTGCTGTTACACGAAGGACAGTCGCGAGATAGCGTGGGTTCAGAGCTTTTGATGAGGCCAACGATGGCGCCCGTGCTGATCTCTTGCGTCGACAACATGGATGATGGTATTATAGATCAGAACTGAATGCTCATGCAAGCACTCTTGAACAGCTGCTGCTAGTGTCGTCGCTAGGCTCGTTGGACTTGCGTTTTGCGAGCGTGCCGCCTACTCCACCATCACAGCGCTAGCGACAACTGCGATAGCGGCAATTATCATGATCCAAGGGTTTCTCATGCGTAGACAGCACGTAGGTGTGACCTCATAGATTTTAGGGGTTTTGAAAGTGCTGTGATCGCGAATAAGAGCGACTTCTATTTCAGTGCTGGGAGCGACCTCCAGATCAGAATATGGATGCAACGTCGTATTGCAAAGCTCGCGATAAAACATGAGAATTACTTGAACAAAGATGATAATGGAGATGTCTTTTCTGGCACGAGAGGTCGCCTTCATAGCTAAATCTGAGGCTCTGAGGTCCAACTGTTGGGACGGACTGTCTACTATCACAGCCACAACGTTAAAAAAGATAGAGACGAATTCAATTGAACTCGATACCGGCGAACAGCCTCATAGGACAAAAATCTTCTCTGCTGATATCGCGTAGGAGAGCGATAAGTTGGGGCCTGCCAGACCAGACCTCGCCCATATTGTGCCATAGATACATATGACCTTACCCGTATTGGTAGTCATCTTTTGCGAATCTTTGAGTGGATCATGCAATGGCTCACAGCCTTCGTTAGAACTTCTTTCGTACAAGTCAAGTCTAGCCTCTCCGCGCTGCAAATGCAGTGATGAGAGGCGAGGCGAGGCATGGGTGCTGCAGGGCTATATGCAACTAACGTGCCCACTCGCCTATCAAGAGCAATTCAGTAGCCGCTTAACGGCAGGGAACTGCAAGGAATTTAGGTAAAACGTACGGCCTCCAAGAAGGATGCGCATGCTGCTGTACCCTGATCGTGGGGGCACTCGAACCGCGGAGCATGATGCTAGCTTTCCGTACACACGGAGGTGTACTGGAAACGAGTAAGTGGCTAAGTAGCGCATTGCTACGGATAGCTATATTGCAACGCACTGCAACCTCTGAGATAGGGTCTCAAGTCGTCATCCAAAGCCTCCTCCGTTTTTCTTACTTCGCGAATCAATCAGGGAGCTTTGTGTTGAGCCTCAGAGCTTTCGCGACGACCATGGACTTCATTCGAGATGCTGTACACAATGCCGCGCAGCGTAGTGTATCACAAAGCGCCATTGCAGCAACCCTGTTCGGCATTGTCTTCCATCTATTGGTTCGACCATTCGAATTTGAGCTGATCATGTTCCATTTCATGGCGGCTTCTACTCTGACCTTTTTCGGGATGTTTTACACCTTTGGGTTCGTGAAAGCCCTGACCTTTGCAAGCTGTTTCAGCATCGGATTGCTTGGTAGCATTGCTTTATACCGATTAGCTTTTCACCGATGTCGAAACTTCCCAGGGCCGACCGCTGCTAAAATCTCAAAATTCTACGCAGCGAGACTTTCGGCGAAAAATGTACAGTACTACAAGGAGCTGGAGAAGATGCACGGTCAGTACGGTGACTTTGTGCGCACAGGTGAGCGACTAAGTACCCAGGACTCCATACGCGTGAATTCTGATGAGCAACAAAGGTCCCCGAGAGATCAGCGTTCTACGCAAGTCGGCTGTTCCAATTCTCTATGGTCCCAATTCGGAATGTTCGAAATCAACATGGTATGGCCAGACCGGCAACGACCCGAAGAAGTGTTCGATACACATGACGCGTGACTTCAATGATCATCGCCTTCGCCGCCGTGCTTGGGACCGTGGCTTCTCCATCAAAGGTATGCATGAATTCGCAAGGTATGTTGGAGATTCTTCTGACTCTTAGCAGCGCTCAGCACATACGAGCCACGTATCAAAGCAAAGGCAGACTTGTTTAAGAGTCAATTGACAGAGAAAGGAGGAAGCTCGATGGATGTGTCCGCCTGGTCAATGTTCTTTAGCTTCGACGTCATGGGTGAGGTCGGTTTCGGCAAAGACTTCAACAACCTCAAGAGTGGTGTAGAACATGTTGCCATTAAAGGAGTTCATGCTCACATGACGATGTTGGGGATCATGAGCACAGTTCCGTGGTTGCTCAACGTCTTGAGTTCCATTCCTGGAGCGGCAGCGGGTTATTCGGACTTCTTCTCTTTTTGCGCAGATCAGATCAGGGAGAAACACAAGGTATGTTTCATGGTCGTTTCCTGAGTAACAATGGGTTGACGTAGCCTAGACATGGAACAGCGAGAAGTATCCGCAGGATGTTGTATCATGGTTACTCAAAGCTGTAAAAGAGAAGGATGCTTCAGCTTCGCCAAGTGCAGCAGCTCTCGAGGATGATTCGAGGGTGATGATCATCGCTGGAAGGTGGGCAATCCGAGAAAAATGATGGAGCAACACAGCTAATACGATGTAGCGAGACAACAGCCACTACCCTCGCCGGAGCTCTCTTCTACCTCGCCAAATGTCCCACTAAGCAGAAACGACTCCAACAGTTCCTGGACCAAGCGATGCCGGGTGGATACAGCCAATGGTCATACGAGAAGGTCAAATCAGTCTCTTACCTGGATGATTTTCTCAACGAAACGCTGCGGCTTCGTCCCGCGTTGTTGACTGGTGGAGCGCGAGAAACACCAGCGAAGGGCATCCAGGTGGACGAGACATACATTCCTGGCAATACGAACGTGGTAGTACCAGTGTCGCTCATTCAAAGAGACCCGCGATGGTGGCAAGAGGCTGAGGATTTCGTTCCGGAGCGATTCGGCGAAAGGAAGATACAGATGGAGACGGACAAGGCTCCGTACTTGCCATTTTCTCTAGGTAGGTACTTCAATCCGGCTACTGTTCGCGTGTCGTAATCAGCTGACACTTTTATAGGCGCGTACAGCTGCCCAGGCAAGAATTTAGCCCAGATGAGCTTGCGCATCTCTCTTTCGATGATTGCGCAGAATTTCGACGTGAGTTTCGCATCTGGAGAAACTGGGGAGGAGTTCGAGAAAGAGATACTGGACACGTTCACCGTGACGCTTCCGTCTCTTCAGTTACGGTTCACGCCGCGCACCAGTGCTTGAAGATTAGGCGATGAACATCGTAAGCCATGCGTCCTGGGCATGCTTGACGCAGGAGCTTGAGAAGGACAAGACTGTGTGCTGACGGTAAACGATCGATCGCATGCAGCGATGCAGGATTTCCAAGATCGGGTGAACTTGCGAGTGAGGAGACGAGATTGCCCAATAGGACCGAGGTCAAAGAGGGGGTCATTGAATCGATAGCCTTCACAAACGTCTCTGCAACCTGGTTTTCAGATCGCTAGCAATGATATTCCGGGCTCCCGTATGCACAGGCATGACACTAATGGATCTCCTGCGCAAGCGGCTTGGTCTGATGTTGTCTGGATTCAACGACGTGGTAAGGCGACGCGAGCACGTTGAAACTCGTGTTACCGGTAGTACCAACCATCCTTCAGAAGCTACTGCACAGCTGTGCCCGTTGGATTTGAGCAAGCGAGCTAACGCGCGAACATCAATGACGTCATCGGAACTGTCTTTGCAAGACGAAAACCGTCATATTCTGGCGAGAACCTTCTCCATTGAGACTTCAGCACGACGAACAGAACAAGGCAAATACTTCAGAATGTAATTTCCTTCCGACCTTAATTGTTTGTCTGGTCTGCGCTCGGACTTGTGGCTAAGTCATGCGGAAACTTACCGATCAGGCATCACCCCCTTTATGTCTGAAGCCTCCAAATAAACTATAATTTGGGGTTCAGGACAAAAATGCACTGTTTAAGCGACTGAGTGTGGGCTGTACGATCGCTACCAAGAAGCTAATGTTTCGTAGGTAGCTGGAATTCCTCGGTTCACTCCGAGTGTAGAACTTTTTCTGGTGATTCTCCTTCGAGATGGCTAGCCACCCATGTGCTAGACCTAATTGAGTCCGTTCGCGTTTAACTCCATGCCCGCAGACCAGGTTCGGGGTATCACAGTTCCCAAACTCTCGATGCGAACCTTTTGCCCAGGATTTCGAACAAATCAAAACCTATGAGTGAATCCGGCATTGGGTATGCCAGTAGGAATGCCCAGGCCCTGGGACAAAAGCCATGTATATAGGTAACCATGATGACCCGAGTTTGGTAGGGTATCACCAAGATCTCTCCTTACCTTGGTCTCCCAGCGCTGCCCATCATGCGTAGCTCATTGTCACTCGTTTATTTGGCCGTTGCTATAGTCTCTGCTGTACCGGTCGCGGAACATGAGAAGAGACAGAGCGCAGAGTTCGACTATGTCATCGTTGGCGTACGTTGTTTCCACCATATACTGCGCTAGTTTGCAGAGAAGTAGTTGCGCTGACGCGCAATACAGGGTGGCACCGCAGGTCTTACACTTGCGAACCGTTTATCTGAAGACAGCACCATGAAAGTCGCTGTGATCGAGGCTGGTGGTCTCTATCAGGTTACGAACCCACTTTTGTCGTCGACGCCAGCTGGAGATGTCTTGTGGGCAGGCTCTAGCCCTTTGGATCAGAACCTTCTCGTGGACTGGAATTTCATCACAGCCCCTCAAGCAGGTGCGAATGGTAGGAGGATCAAGTATGCCCGCGGAAAGTGTCTGGGTGGAAGGTAAGCTTCAAAACTCAGATTTGAGCAAAGACATAGCGACTAATGTGTGAAGCTCGGCGCGAAATTTCATGATCTATCAGCGGGGCGACCGTGGCTCCTACCAGCGTTGGGCAGATCAAGTCGGCGACGACTCGTACACTTTCGACAACCTCATGCCTTATTTCAAAAAGTCGGTCAAGTTCACGCCACCCAATACCCAGCTCCGTGCAAGCAATGGGTCGGCCGAATACGTCGCAAGTGCTTTCGATGCCAGCGGCGGACCGCTCGATGTGTCCTATGCGAACTATGCGGGCCCTTTCTCAAGCTACATGGAGGGTGGCCTGAATGGCATTGGTATCCCAACCAGACCCGACTTCAACTCCGGAGAACTTATGGGAGCGCAGTACTGCAGCTCCACGATCACGCCTGGTAATCAGAAGCGAGCTTCGAGTCAAACAGCATTCCTTGACGCTGTTAAGAACCGTCCTAATCTCAAAGTGTACTCTTTGACACGAGCTGAGAAGATTATCTTCGATAGTGAGAAGCGTGCCACGGGTGTTCAGCTACCCTTTGGCTCTATCCTTACTGCGAAGCGAGAAGTTATTCTCTCTGCTGGTGCTTTTCAATCTCCCCAACTGCTCATGGTCTCTGGTGTTGGTCCTGCTGCACAGCTGAAGAAGTTTAACATTCCCGTCATTGCTGACCGTCGTGGTGTTGGTCAAAACATGCAAGACCACATCTTCTTCGGCCCCACCTACCGCTACAAGGTCCAGACTTTGACCAAACTAGCCAACGACCTTCTTTACGTCGGCGCCCAATTCGCGTTCGACTACGGCCTACTCAAGAAAGGTCCACTTACCAACCCCGTCTGTGACTTCCTAGGCTGGGAAAAGGCTCCTCGAAATCTCATCTCTTCAGAAGCTGCCGCGGTACTAGATCAGTACCCTGCTTCTTGGCCTGATATCGAGTACCTTTCTGCGCCTGGCTATATCGGAGATTTCTCTAATCTCTTCGCGACTCAGCCAAAGGATGGTTACCAATACGCATCCATCCTCGGCGCTATTGTGGCCCCGCTCTCTCGTGGTTCGGTTACCATCACGAGCTCCAGCACAGCCCAGCTGCCTTCGATCGACCCTGGCTGGTTGACCGATCCTACCGATCAATCCGTCGCCATCGCCATCTACAAGCGCACACGCCAAGCTTTTGCTACGGATGCCATGAAGCGCGGACTTGCAGATACGAAGGAGTATTTCCCTGGTCCTAACGTTCAGACTGACGAACAGATCCTCAATACCATCCGTGATACAGTAGGTCTACTTTGTGTTCGTTTCACCGCACATACTGACAAGAGCAGCTAATGACTGTGTGGCATGCGTCTTGCACATGCAAGATGGGAAAAGTTGATGACCCTGATGCAGTTGTGGATAGCAAGGCAAGGGTTATTGGCGTGACAGGGTTGAGGGTTGTAGATGCGAGCTCGTTTGCTCTACTACCTCCTGGCCATCCTCAGGTATGTTATCTCCTGTCGCTTCGTCAGTGTCACGCTAACCTCCAATCAGAGTACGGTATATGCGTTGGCTGAGAAGATTGCGGATGATATCAAACGCAGCTAGTAGAGACCTCGGGGTCTGTTGAGTAGCCACGCACGCAGTATTGCGTAGTACGATTTCAGCGCCACGGTAGCATCTCTCCGCCCAAGGATATAAAGAACTCAGGTCAGCTTCCGATGCGACATGCGACGCCTAGTTCTTCGCTCTGCGCGAAATTGTCTGTTTTGTGATTGTGTTGATAATAGAACTCGCTGATGTGGCGGGCTACGGGCGATCCTGGCGGCAGCATCCGCCCAGCCCCACCATCCTTCCGAAACGTGTGGCCGAACCAATAGCACCCCAAGTTCAACACCACGCAATTCTACCAACAAAGGTCGAATTCGAGCTGCGCCTGGATCGTAGCGTCGTCAGAGTTCATTGAATGTATACGTCACGCGTAGATCGCAGAAATCGTCCTTGCCCTCCGATTTATGTCGATGCAAAGGTATTTGTGTATCTCTGACCAGGTTACGCGTCACGCGCTTCCAAAGCCAGCGATTCCTCCACATTGAGGGTGAACTACACTATAGCATTTCATCCAACAGTCATCTACTCATTCGCCAGTAGGAACCATTATGTGGAATGTTACCTTCCAGATCGAGCTCCTGAGCACAACAGGACGGCAACGGGAAGCAGAAACCAACCAATGTGGCACATTCGAAGACGACTTGAGCTGAGTCGAACAAACGTAGCTTACAATTAAACCACTGGTTCTTATCATGATACTCACTTTGGTGTGAGAGGTTGCCACTGGAAGTCCGCGAATGTGACATTGCCAGATGACCGCTGTTACTTTCCGGCAACCACATTGATGTTTGACCCTCCATCAACAGCTGTGCGCCTTCAGCAGTTGACCAACCACAGCAGTCAAGAAAGCAAAGAGGATTTCAACTCACTACGTCTCGAGTCAAAGCTATCCCGATCCCCGCCACCACCTTTCCCTCCCCCGCTCAACCGCTATGAACCCCCCTGCTTGGTTAAAGCGTGTGTCCAATGATCGCATTGAGTCTGTGGTAACTACGTTCAAGGCAGTATGCACAAGAAAGGTCCGCCTACCTATGGGAATATCGCCACAAGCTGCATTTGGGGTGTCATCGGTGCAGTCGAGTAGTTCATTTCCGATGTGCAGACCCTCCAAACCAATAATTACAAACTGTGGGAGGTTGGGAGATGGCTTTCAGCTCATGTACGCAATATTCTGAACGGTTGCCTTGTTTGGTTGCGTCTCGACTTAGCCGGTCAGTCTTTGTGCTACACACCATCCCTTTCGACGAATGGCACACTGGCGCTTAGAACAAGGCAAACAACATCGGAGACAAGCCTCCCCGCCATCTTAACATCCACAACGTATGATACCCGCGACTCTCAGCCTCATCACTCAGGGGCTAGATTCGGGTTACAGGTCTTTGTTTATTTAGACCTTCCCAGAATGCTAATGTTCTCGAGCTCCTGGTGTACGAGTGACCTACTGCAAAACAAGGCCTCACATCGGGTGAGTTCATTTCAAGATGTGCTTTGATTATTTGGCTAATTTGATGTGAGACCAACAAACATACCGCTTGTCGGAATGGAAGCTATGGCGACCTCAACCAACATGCCTTGCAGTGACGAAGAGTTCGAGAAGCCGACGATGAGAGCGCACTCAATTTGGAGACTTTTCCAGATCGCCTTCGCTTTCGCAACAGTGTTCTTCCCCTTGGTTTTTGTAGCGACATTGCTGTGTCTTTTCGTTACGATCCCTGCCTGGACGATACAGGACCCGCCGGAAGAGAATGCAAACCTCCCCATTGACCCTCATGATGAATCGTTCCTAACGACGACGGTGCTAATCAACAAAGTCGCGCTTACCAGCTCGTTTGCCTCCAACGTTGCGCAGTGGGCCGCTGTGCCATTTCTGCTACTTTACTCGTTTCTCGTAGCGCTTGAGCTATCGAACCGACACCAAGTAATAGACCAAGATATGAAAAAACTTTTACATGGCGACCAAACGTTTCTTCTCAACTGGACTGTACTTCGGTTATGGCGTGCTCGGAAGACAAACATTGCGAGTGGAACCAGGATCGCCGGTATTGGCGCTTTTTTATGTGTAGTTCTTACGTATGTATCTTTTTACGTCCGCCAAATGTCAATATGCTAATCTGTGGATTAGTTTTCTTCTGCTAGTCGGAGGTAGTTAAGCTCACCGAGAACCTCGAATGAAACTGACGGTATCAGACAAAGTATTGTCAGGAACACTCACTCCAACGTTACAGCGGGTCTATGAAAGCACATCCCCAGGCCCTGACTTTGTGCCAGATGATTCCCTGGTCTTTGGCGGTTTCAAGATTGATGAAACGAGATGCCCATTCAATGAAACGCTCATTGGCATCTACGATCACGACGCTTCTCCGCCGTGCACAATCAATGGATCGAGCAAACCTTGGACACTCTGGGATGCCCCATCAGCATATCGAGTGCTTGCGACAGGACTGTTGAATCAAACAGGAGAATACAACAACGAGGATTTCAATACCCTAAACGTTGCCTTTGATGCTGGCGCATTCATATATACCCAGCTTGTCACGCATGTCGACAACGCCACGAATGAACAGCACGTTCTTTACTTCAATCCATGGTCAGCCGAGGAATACAGCTATAGCCCAGAAGCGAGCAAATTAGATCTGACGAATCAGGACGTAGAAAGAGTTGGTCTCGACTACATCGCCGAAACGATTTCCGTTGTCACCAAGTGCACTGCAATCACTACGGACTGTGGAATTTACAATACCACAAGTGATGCTTCCTCTATACCATATCACTGCTCTAACAGCTTCTATGGCGACTTGAATGAGATACCAGCAAATGGACTAGAGCGTCTCAAGGGCTGGAACACAACGTTCTTCGACTTTCACAACGACCCTTCGCTGAACGTTTCCATCGCATCCCAACTGAACCCATTCAGCTACAACGTCACAGCTGTTGTAGACAGTATCGATCTGAATGGCCTCATCAACTATGGGGATCCACAGGTACCCCAAGGCATTGTTGTTGAGATCGGAGAGGGGCGTGTGGGATTCGCAATGTCGTGCAATTCTACGGTCTACGACGTTACGTACTCACTCGTCAATGGTAGCATCCTGGTCTTCAACACGACACTGGCTGCTCCCAGCACCGCAGCCATGATCAAAGCACCACTACAAGCTGGCTTTGGTAGCTACGAACTTTTTGAGAAAGCTGCCATGTCCGTGTTGCTATCTCATTCGACGATTCTGGACGCGATGGAGCTTGCCTTCAGCCAAACTTTTCTGGCGCTTGTGGCTGGTGTCTACAATCCGGCTCCATTCATCGAAGAGCGTTGGCGCTATGATATGACGGTCACGAAGATTAGAAAAGCGCCATTCTACTTTCTGGTTGTTTGCATGTTCATGTATGCGATCGTCGTTTTGGTATTCACGTTGATGGCTCTCAGTCTCTTCCGGAGGAGTGATGTACGAGCTTTGCACAGTCAATTGATGTCCTAGACCAAGGAGATGCTCGGACGATAATGTTTTCGGTTTGTTCGCTGCTGGGCAGGCTTGTAACTTCTCTCTTCTTATGTACTATTCTTGTACGCAATATCAAACAGAAAGCAACAACTGCAGTTCAGTAACTTCGTCTGTGGTTACTAGTCAGCATGAATGACAGAAGATACTGGGTTATCACCATATTCGAAATATGATATCTTCTCTAATTGCTCCTCATTGTGAAGTCACTTTCTCTGCAAGCCCAGGTAGCGTTTCAGCCACGATGTCCATCTCCCCAAACACATCTTCCAAAGGCTCTTTCTCCAACACCAGGCAATATGCCGTCTTAAATCCAGCCCTCCCCATTGCGCTAACGTCCCAGCCATGTGCAGCGGCAAACCAAAGCTCGGCAGCTGTATCCTCGACACCAAGCTTTGCTCTCAGCTTTTCATATGCCTGGACTTCTGACTTGCCTACACCAATCTCGTCACATGTAACGACATGATCACCGTCGATGTTGATGTTGCCCTTCTCGAAGTATCCCAGCACTCTTTCGCGATCGCCACTAGTGAACGCCCAGACCGTCCAACCATCCTCCTTTATTTTATCCACACATTCCTTTGCACCAGGCCGAACTTCACATTTGTTGTACTCTTGCATAAAGTACTTCACATCTTCTTCGCTCGCCACACTATGCGGTTCTGCCACTCCAGCGAAATGCAAGACGCGGAAAAAGATAGATTCGAAAACCTTGGCAAATGGGACGTACGAGCCCGAAAGTGGGAGGTATGTGTATTCACGCTCTGCCGTTTCGAGCTATGCGTAACCAAGGAGACGTACGGAAATATTATGGGGCTGGAGTTTGGACTCAAGGTGTGGGTCGATGACGGCGTAGAAGTGCTCGTGCAACACAAGCGTGCCGACTATATCGAAGACGATGTGCTTCGTTTGTGACATGGTGTATAACGTCGGTGATGCGAAATTTCGACGTCAAGCCTTCACTCCCTAGTTTGATTTACGTTGCGCCAAGCTGCTTTTATGTAAAACAGCTCAAACACGCCCTGCGTGTCAACGGGGCGTATATAGTGCTCAGCTGACGTCATGGAACACGTGACTTGTGAATCCCATCTGCGATGTGTCCACCCCAGTATTGCATACATGGCATTTCAACTTTACCATGTATGTAATCGCGGTCTTGGGTTAGGTTTCATAACTGCCAAGTGCGCTGCGCTGGAAGAATCTAACTATAAGTGTGCATCCGATTGGCCAATGCACATTCTTTCCCGATTAGGGCCAAAACACCGTGCGATAACAACCGTCCGTTAACGGCGATGCAGATCTGGTACTGCGACGCGTGTTTAAGCTCATGTGGGGAGATAGAAGGATGAAGATAATGATACGTCATGCGGGGAGAAGAACGAGACAGGGTCAAAGCCATACCCACTATCGCGCGTCACCAGAAGCAAGCAAGGACGACATGCAAAGGCAAGAAAGTGCATTCTATCTAGAGAATCAGGAATGAAACCTGCGCTATCGCGCGAACATCGCTAAGAGTCATTACAAAGAATGCTGTCAAACAACAAATCCAAAAGTACGAGTTCAAAGCCTCCAGTACCCATAACGCTCCAAACACCAAAGCCATGCATCATCAGTCGTAATTTTCGCGTTGCCGACTACCAAGCGAGATCACTCTTCTCGTTATCGTTGCCACAGGCAAGACCCTCGCAGAAGTCTTCCATCTCTTTGCTGATGGCCGAGGTACCTGTAGGCTCGAGTTGCTGCTTGGCAGGCCAGATCTTCTGACCAGCCTTCTTCTCCTTCATACCGTGCTCCATGACAATCTCGCGGCATCTTTTCTGGAAGAAGAGAGGTCCCTTCTCCATGTGTGGGTGAAGCTCGCCGTTGACGAAGATGCCTGCCTCGATGTTCTTCTGGGCGCGCTCGCACAGGACTTTGTCCTCGCCCATGACTCGCTTGTAGGTGTCACTGATGAGAAGGAAGTCCTCCTGGCTGGAGTGCTTGTTCTTCCAGACCTCGTAGTACATAACGGACTCAGTGGGCGACTTAGGCATGAACTTCTGCATGAAGAGGAAGTGTTTTGTGACAGTGAAGGAAGCGTTGGGGAAGCAGTATGTGGAGCAGATCTCCTGGCCAAGATCCTTGCGGTCTTGGGGAGTCTTGGGGTCGTGCTGAATGTGGTCGGCTGAGCAGTAGACATCGTAGCTCTCGAGGTCGATCAGACCTGTTGTGAGATCGGGATGTGTGCTCTTGCAGTGGTAGCATTCGTTGAAGTTGTCTGCGAGAATCTTCCAGTTAAATGGACCATCAAGGTTCCATGTGTGGTCGAACTCGTAGTCATTGAAGTCAAATTGGTCGAATCTTGTCTGTTCGTCCACGTGGTCGAACTGTGACTCCCATGACACCTCAGGCTCTTTCTTCGCATCCATGTTGATCCAGATGAAGCCATTGCGGTCAATACGGGTGTGAATAGGGAAAAGACCGTTCTTGGCCTTCTCGAAGTTCTGAAGCTCTTGATAGCCTGGTGCCTTCGCGAGCTTGCCGTTCAAACCGTACGACCAGCCGTGGTACTTGCAGGAGAAGATCTTTGCGTTGCCACCGTCTTTCTCGACGACGGGGTATGCGCGGTGTCTGCATACGTTGTGGAATGTGTTAATCTCGCCAGATCGGTCCTTGGAAACAACAATGTCGTAGTTGGCGACGTTGTAGCGGAGGAAGTCGCCGGGGTTTGCGAGTCTTGACTTGTGCGTAAGAATGAGCCATCTTCTGGTGAAGATAGCGCGTCGCTCAAGCTGGTACATCTCCTCAGAGGTATACCAGTTGGCGGGCAAGGCCCGTACAGCTTGGTTCTCTGGTGGCGCCTGGGCGGCGGCTGAGCCGCCGAACCCAAAATAACTCAGGAGTGACCCGACCATTGTTAGATATGTGTGTTGGAAGAATGTAAAGTTGTACTCTGTGTGAAGTAGTGAGGTGCGAAGAGTAGTCGAAGGTGGTCACTTGGGTGCTGTGCAAGTATACTCGAGAAGATGGTGTTCAGTGTGAGGACGTCGCAAGCATTATTATACTGTCTTCCAATACTCTGCCTCCTCACTCTTATCAAGTAACACAAACGACTAAGTCCCCATGGGGTTATGGCTTCCATTCGCACCCAGGGAGCGATAGCCAGTGGGATGTGGGAACGTAATTCGGCTGCAGGTGACGGTCAGGCGCCACACATTCTGACCTATTTTTCACGTCCCTCCGTTAACGCACGAGCTACCATCGTGATCAATCCAACATTCTAGAAAGCAGGGCTAGAGCTCAACGGCGTCATGTAAGTGGATGGCGTCGTATTACCCCAGATTAGTCTGATTGACTGTGCATTGACTGCAGGCAAAGATAATGGTGACCGAACGTATAGACCGTTCTCGTCGTTGCCCCTCTTGTTGGCACGGACTTGGATGGATCTGATTTCCAAATAGGGACAAGGGACGCCAGCCCAAGGCGCTTTCAAACTCCCACCAGTAAGTTCTTGCGGAACTATTGCGGTCGTATTATCCAAAGGCTATCGTGCTCTTATCGAAGATTTTCTTGACGATGTTGATCGCAGCTGTTATCATCGAGATAGCGATGTTATCTAGATGAGCTGTCGGGCTTAGACTCGGTGTCGCAGCTGATAGCGACTGATGGAATGCAGCTCGTGATACTCTGTCTAAGATTGTCGTGCGAATATCGGAGCCCACGTACTATCGACGCAGCGCCGACGAGTGCGAAGTGAAGCGACACGAGCTGCGCAACGTGTACGGCAGGAAAGCGTCACTGGTCTTGATGCCAGCGCCGTCGTAAGCGGGAGATTACTACAGCATCTCGCATGTCTCTACCCCTCCTAGCCATACGAGTGATGGTCGGGAGGGTTTGGATACTTTCGGCAATGGCTGTCGTAAATTTTCCCGAATTGTGATGGCAGCGCAGCGCAGTGTCACGTTGGGCTCGCTCTGGTGCTTGAGGTGTCAGGGCGACATGACGATATAAGCTGCCATTTGTCTCGCAGCATCGACATGCTGAAGAACGGGCTCAGAAAGAGACCTTTCAGGTAAGCTCTTTGCGAAAGCTGTCCTGAGACTGTCTTAGAAGTTGGGTGTGGGCGATAGGTACGACAGCAACGGGTTGGCGTTATGATCCATTTTCCCTTTGTCTTGCACATTGTGCGGTGCAAATACTGATCCATGGGCTTGGTGCTCTCGAAAAGCCCTGTAGGATTGAGGCCGGATCCGGGAGATTTGTTGGCGCATGGCTTTTGTCGCAATGGTGGGATACTTCGCATACCGGATTTCTGGCTAGCGATGGGCTGTTGCAAGGCTGATGGCGGTAAATCACCCTCAATTTCAAAGCAGGTGCTCGTCTTTGTCATAATGATGAAATTGCAGCGGGTGAGGTACGATGGTATTCGCGGCAGGACAACCATTGAAGTCCAGCTGACGGGAAAAGCATACTAAGCTCTCCATGCTACGCGTACTTACCTGACTCAGACTCTGATGTCGAATACGATGGAATGCCCGTAGGTGTAATTATCGTGAGAAGGATGGGATGGTGTTGCGCACACGCGAGGCGGGGTTGCGGCAGGCTATGTAGTCCCGAGACGGTTTGCCTCTTCGATCGTTACTAATCCCAAAATGGATATCAGGACCCTACATCCACGACTGGCATCTCCCCCACCAATGTCGTAAGTATCCCATGCGGGGCGGTGGACTGATCTCGTGCATGACTCTGCGGTTGGATTCGCTATGGGAATTATTTTGCCAATTGAAGTTTGCGCTGCGCTTAGTTTCGGCTTCTATGATGGCAGAGCACAGTGAAATGGTCCGTTATCGCGAGCGCAAACAGCCTTAAGAGGAGTTCCTCCTACATTCTTTGGGAATCAATTATCCAAACCCATACTCTTCAACTCTTTTGCAATGGCGACCTCCCAGCGTGTTGTGATTATTGGCGCCGGTGTCGTCGGCACCAACCTCGCTGATGAGCTGGTCTCACGAGGATGGAACAACATCACGGTGATTGAGCAGGGTCCATTGAGCATGCCTGGTGGTTCAACGTCACATGCGCCTGGCCTGGTATTCCAGACGAACCCTTCCAAAACGATGACTTTACTCGCCAAATACACCGTCGAGAAGTTCTCAGCGCTCGAGAAAGACGGACAGAACTGTTTCAACCAGTTGGGTGGCTTGGAGATCGCGACAATCCCAGAACGATTGGAGGAACTCAAGCGCAAGCACGGGTACGCACAGTCATGGGGCATCGAAGCGCACCTGATCAGCCCCGAAGAATGCCTCAAGAAGTACCCTCTCCTTAACAAGGATATGGTGCTAGGTGGTCTTCACATTCCAAGTGATGGCTTGGCACTAGCAGCTCGCGCGACACAGCTACTCATCGAAAACACGCGCAACGCGGGCGTCAAATACCTCGAGCATACCGTCGTTACCGGAATCGAACAAGCGAACGGTCAGGTCACCGGTGTGATAACGAACAATGGTTCTGTTCCGGCGGATATAGTGGTTTCGTGTGCTGGTTTCTGGGGTGTGGAGATAGGAGCAATGATTGGACTCAAGGTCCCTCTTCTTCCTCTAGGGCACCAGTATGCGAAGACTACAGCTGTACCAGGCCTCCAGAACCGCGAAGTCAATAAGAAGATCAACGCCATGAACGCCGAGTTGCCCATATTGCGACACCAAGACCAGGATCTATACTACCGAGAGCATGGGGAGCAGTATGGGATTGGTTACTATGGTCATCGGCCGATGCCTGTCAAGGCCTCAGATCTGGGTGTAACACCGAAACACGTTGATGAGAAGCATATGCCTTCTCGCCTGGATTTCACACCAGAAGACTTTGAGCCGGCCTGGAAAGCTACCAAAGAACTGCTTCCCATTCTCCGCGAGACTGAGATCGCTGACGGCTTCAACGGCGTCTTCTCTTTCACGCCAGATGGTGGATCCGTTGTCGGACAAGCACCCAACCTCGATAACTTCTGGGTCGCCGAAGCTGTGTGGGTAACACACTCGGCCGGTGTGGCTCGAGCTGTCGCAGAGACCCTTACGGAGGGTCGTTCGACTGTCGACATTGCGGAGTGCGAGTTAACTCGATTTGAGGAAATACAGCTCAGCCCAGAATACGTCAGCGAGACATCGCAACAGAATTTCGTCGAGATCTACGACATCATCCACCCCCTCGCACCGAAAGAGAACCCTCGAAACCTTCGCGTCAGCCCGTTCTATACCCGTCAACAAGAGCAAGGCGCTTTCTTCCTGGAGGTAGGAGGCTGGGAACGTCCACACTGGTATGAAGCGAACGCAGATCTGGTCAACACCTTGCCGGATGAATGGAAGCCGGTCGATCGCGATGCTTGGTCATCCAAATTCTACTCGCCAATCGCAGCGGCCGAGGCTTGGAAGACGCGAAACGCAGTAGCATTGTACGATATGACTACTTTTCATCGATTCGAGGTCTCTGGTCCTGGTGCTGTCCACTTGCTTCAGAGATTGACGACCAGTGACGTTTCCAAGCAGCCTGGTGCTATCACTCATACTCTCCTTGTCAATGGCCACGGCGGCGTACTAAGCGATATTTTTGTGTCCAGGATCGAGGAAGACCTGTTCCAAGTAGGCGCCAACACTGCAACCGATCTTGCCTACCTCGCACGCGAAGCACGTCGACAACAAAAGCACACACCTGGTCAGTGGGCTCAGGTACGAGACGTCACTGGCAGTACATGCTGTCTTGGTCTTTGGGGTCCTCGCGCGGGGGACGTTATCCGCACAATCAGCTCCGATGATTACAGCAACAAAGGCTTGCCGTATATGGGTGTTAAGAAGACGAGCATAGCTGGAATTCCCGTCACGATGTTCCGGAAGTCGTTTGTCGGCGAATTTGGTTGGGAGATTCAGACTACACCCGAATATGGCCTGCGACTCTGGGACTTGTTGTTCCAGTCGGGCAAGCCCCACGGTCTAGTTGCTGCAGGTCGCGCCGCCTTCAATGGACTACGAATCGAGAAGGGTATCCGAGCTTCAGGTTCAGACATGACTTCTGAGCACAACCCATGGGAGGCTGGCGTGACGTACGCGATCCAGATGGACAAGAAGGCGGATTACGTTGGTAAAGCTGCATTAGAGCAGCTTTCTAGGAAGGCAGCATCTAAGCGACTTAGATGCTTGACTGTCGATGACGGACGATCCATGGTTCTGGGTAAAGAGCCAGTCTTCGTGGAGGGCGAAAGAGCTGGTTATGTTACCAGCGCCGCTTTTGGTTACACGGTACGCAAGCCTGTCGCATATGCATGGCTGCCGAGCAATGTAAGCGAAGGAAAGTCTGTGGAGATTGAGTATTTCGGCAGGAAGATCAGGGCCACAGTAGCTCGAGACCCGTTGCACGATCCTCAAGAGCAGCGTTTGAGGGGTGAAGGATCATCCGAGAAGCCGGAGCTACAGAAGAGACTGAAATCGTTGTTGTAGGAAGGTTGCTGTAATGTTTGACGACTTTTATGATTGCATATGAGCATCGAAATGGCGTGGCTGGGTTAGCCTTTAGGCGTTCGTCGATTGTATCCGTAGTCTAGTTCTGTATGTTAAATTCGATCCGTTCTCACTTCGACGCGTGTTTTCGTGCTTCTATTCCGGACATACGCCAATGTGTAGAGTGTGTTGTGTTCTAGAGCGGACTCCATGGTTGAAGCGAACGCGTTTAACAGATGCATCTTGACGCGTTGTGGAAGTGGGTTACCGGTCACGTGACTGGCGACATACCTTATCGATAACAAGCAGTAACGTCATCACCTCGGTCATCTCGAAGCTTCATGACATTCCCAAGCCTCCGCCAATTTCTGTTCTGCATCTCCCTTATGAGCCTATTCACTGCAGCCATTAGAAGGTACCCACTAGTATCACTTGCTCGACCCGCTTTCAAGGTAATTGCCTACGGTTCCAATCGAGTCATCGAAAACAGCAATTAACGCCAAGCAGCCATCGTCTATACCAGCACGCGCCATGCATATCCAATCAATTCCCATGTGTACGAGCACCCTGATGGAGAATTTTGAACCTCGGATGCGATCTAACCTATTGGTCAGGGGAGGGTTCGGGCAACAACTATGCCTACTTGGTGTCCGATGACAAGACTAAGGAAGCCGTTATCATTGACCCTGCCAACCCTCCGGAGTATGTTAGGAGGCCAAGGAAGTAAGCACACAACTGACTGGGCTATAGAGTTCTACCTGTTTTGCGAGAGCAAACAACCACTGGAGGCCTCAAGCTAACCAAGATCATCAACACACATCAGTAGGGTGATTACTCCTGATGACTCGACTCTGCTAACACACCTGACAGTCACCGTGATCATGCGGGAGGTAATGTGGATGTCGTAAGTGAAGAGACACCACATGAGTCTTCGAGTGCCACCAGCTAACGGCTCTGCCAGATCAAAGCGTTCGGCCTACCTGTAATCGGTGGTCGCGACTGCGATAAAGTGTCCGAAACACCAAGCCACGAAAGCACCTTCAAGATCGGGTCTATCAATGTCAAAGCCCTCCACACACCTTGCCATACCCAAGACAGCATATGCTTCTACTTCGAAGATGGAAACGATCGCGCAGTATTCACTGGAGATACACTATTCATCGGAGGCTGCGGACGATTTTTCGAAGGCACTCCAGAGCAGATGCACAAGGCTTTGAACGAGACCCTAGCGGCGCTTCCTGACGACACGAAGGTCTACCCTGGACACGAATACACAAAGGGCAACGTCAAGTTTGCAAAGAGCGTACTGAACAACGACGCTATCAAGAAACTTGACACGTTCACACAAGAGAACAAGGAGACACAAGGAAAGTTCACAATTGGTGACGAGAAGAAGCACAATGTGTTCATGCGTGTGGAAGACCCTGAACTTCAAAAGGTTACTGGCAAAACCCAGCCTATCGATGTCATGGGAGCATTGCGAGCCATGAAAGACAATTCGTAGAAGGAGAGGTTTATAAAATACGACAGAAATAGCGCATCAAGTTGTTGTGTTTGGCTAGGAGCACATTCCCAGGATACCTCGGTGAACGACCTGCATAGCTAATTGGTGCTTTTTATTGTTATTAAGCTAACAGTGCGTGTAGCCAAGGAGGCCTAGCTGCAGGGAAACATATTAGAAGGATGTACTTGCATGTTCGGTGCTACCCCATAACGTAAATGTTAATGAAGGATGCAGTGGTTGACTCACAAGCGATGACTGGAGTCGAGGTTCGCCTTACTTAAGAACTTCAATGTTTCATCTGGAAGTACAACACAACTTGGGAACATCTTTCTCTTACGATACACTGCGCATTAATTGTTAGTTTGCAGATAAAAAGTGTTCAGAAATATTCATCCAATCGTTATGGCTACCAACGGTACTACCACAACTGCGAGTAAGCAGCGAGCAAGACGTAACCAAGAAGAAACACTCCCACCTCACAAGTACTACGAGAACCGCTCTATCTTGGTGCATAATCTGCGCAGGGCGTCTCACGAAAATGGCCTCTATTCTTCGTTCATTCCCAATCTCACTGACGTTAGTGCGTTCCGTGAGCGGCATGAGTCCATCGCGACTGGCGAACAGCTGAGAGACGTTGAGTATACGATGCGCGGTCGTATCGTTACGATTCGCAGCGCAGGAGAGCGTCTGCGTTTCTACGAGGTTCAGGTTGGGGAGGAAAAGATACAAGTCGTATGCCAGACCAACTCATCTGAACACTTCGAAGCATACAAGCAGCAACACGAGCACCTAGCCAGAGGAGACCAGATCGGCATAACTGGCCATCCAGGCCGAACAGCGCCACGCAACCGACCCGTAGGCGAACTCTCGCTCTTCGCGCAAAGCGTCATTCTCCTGGCACCAAGCCTGCACATGCTACCTAAGACGCTCACAGACGCTGAGACACGCCACCGCGACAGACCTCTTGATTTCATTACCAACCACCGCAGCCGCGAAATGCTGCGTACTTGGGATGCCATGGAGTCATACATTACCACCTTCCTCCGCAGCCGCGGCTACATCTCAGTTGTAACACCCATCTTCTGCCAACAAGCTGGCGGCGCAGCAGCCAAGCCCTTTATCACGCATCACAATGATCTCAAGCGGGATATGTATTTGCGTACGGCTATAGAGCTGCATCTCAAGCCTCTTATTGTCGGCGGCATCGACCGTGTGTTCGAAATCGGACGGGTATTTCGTAACGAAGATATGGATTTAACGCATAACCCCGAGTTTACGAGCTGCGAGTTTTACCAAGCGGATGCAGATTATGAGGTAATGATGCAAATAACGCAAGAAATGATCTCTGGATTGGTGAAGAATGTGACTGGTTCTTATGTCACTACGTTCACAAGCCAGACTGGAGAAGAGAGGGTGATCAACTGGGAGGGGCCATGGGAGTGCATTGACATGATGACAGCGCTTGAAGACGCCTGCAAGGTTCAGTTCCCTCTGCCATCTGAGCTTCATACGGAAGACAGCCGGCAATTCTTACTCAGTCTCCTGAGTGATCATAACATCATCTGTTCGCCCCCACACACAAACGCCCGCTTACTCGACAAGCTGGTTGGCGTGTACATTGAATCGCGCATCACGAACCCCACATTCATCATGAATCACCCCAAGCTCATGTCGCCTCTCGCGAAGACGCATCGCTCGATTCCCGGTCTCACAGAACGCGCAGAAGCCTTTGTATGTGGCTTTGAGATTTGCAATCTCTACAGCGAACTCAATGATCCTTTCGAACAGCGTGATCGATTTGTCGAGCAAGCGAGGCAGAAGGCTCAAGGGGACGACGAAGCTCACGGAATTGATGAAGAGTTTGTCAAGGCGTTGGAGTATGGGATGCCGCCGACGGCTGGGTGTGGTCCAGGGCTGGATCGTATTATGATGTTTTTGACGAACAACTATACGATCAAGGAGGTTCTGGCGTTTCCGATGATGAGAGAGGAGGGGAAGAAGGGTTGCGGAGCAGTTGCCACTAATCAATATGGTAAGACGGCGGATAAGCAGGAGCGACTTGCTGAGTTGAGGAGGCAGATGGCGGATCTTGAATCCGAAATCGCGGCGATGGCTGTTTGATCCTGATACATCTCGTACTTGTCGCAAGTTAAAACGCTGTGTCAGATGCATTCAGGGTAGCTTTTAGTCGTGTACAATGACTGCTGAATAATTGAAAAGCGGTGGGGGTAAGATGTTGATTCTCTCATGAAACCGTACCTATCATAGTCTACTCGCAACACTGACAAGGAGGCCAATACCGTGACTGCTATTGATCTATCTGATCCTGCAGTCCTCTTGTCAACACCTCTCTACCACCCGGAAGCTTGACGAACACCCCTCTTAGTAGGCATCGTCTCCTGCTCTTCAGTTCCTGAACCATCAATGTTAGCACTTGCTTAAGGAAGTACTTTGAACACAAAAAAGAAAGCGCTGGACAGGATCATATGTTCGTACTCAAGCGGTGAACCACGGGAACCGAGCTAGGCGGCAAGCTTCCGTATTCGGTGATGACCATGTTGATGTACTGCGCAGGCGTGACATCGTAGAGAACTTGGAGGTGATGAAGGTTCTTCGCGTCGTCGATCCACTTCAACACGTCTGTGGTATCGGCGGGTGACTCTTCCGATGACGGCTTTTCGTCGTTCCTGGACGTTGGAAGTCGTGACTTGAGGGGGAGAAGGTCGCGACGCTCCGCCTCAGATAGAATTTCCTCGGCAGGTGCGACTTCGTTGCCGACAATGGAGTCTAGCGCCACCTTCTCGGTGAACTTGACGGACTGGCAGAGTACGATGACCGGTAGTGAGTGGGAGTATGCGAGCATGGAAACGAGAGCTGTGCCAACGCGCGAGTAGAGGCGGCCGTTTGACATCATTGCGTGCGCACCTAGGAAGACCTTTGTTGCGTCCTTAACTGCGTGTGAGGCTCCTGTGATGAGATAGTACCGCACGGTGATACCGTGGTTCGCGAGCTTCCGTGCCAGCTTCTTGCCTTCAAACAATGGCTTTGAGTCAACCACAATAACTGTGAAAGGTTTGCCAGATTGGTGAGCATGGATGATAGTCTGTTCGACTATCGAAGATGCGGCATATACCAGAATGACATCGCCAGCTTGGATCTTGGTAGCGGCTAGGTCGCGGATGAGCCTGTCAGCGGCTGTGACACGTTCCCGAATGAATATATCAATCTCCTCGATCAGATCTCGCTTCGCCTCATTCTCTGGCGTTGCAGGGTCTATCTTGATAATGACTGGAAGGAGTCAGTATTTTATGAATTACTAATTGACAAGTCCTGATGCTCATGTTGAGCGTTTTGAGCCGTGCCTATTACGTTAGTTTAATGTGAGATGTCAACTTACTATCCTTGAGCCATCGGATAGCATTTCCCATACTAATGCTAAGCGGTCTACAGCTCTTCAGAAACTCGATCTGAGGACCAAGGTGGTGGCTGGTCAGATGCCGGGCTAAACTGTTTCCTGGAGGTGTTTGATAGGCCTCGATGACTGTCTTGAAAACCAGCAACATGGCTACCATACGTGCCGTACTACCACAGATGGCATAGCTGCTATACTGTAGGCCAAGTGCGAGGACTGAAGGATGTACATCTTTTGATGCACCGACAAGGGATTGCTGCTTTGGTTGGCTGTAGAGATGACCGAAAAAGAGGCCAGTCTGTTTTGGTTCCTTGTCCTTCTTCGCTCTTTTTTCCGGTTCCTTCAGAACTGGTGCGTTGGCTTGCGATGGTCGTCGCCGTACTGGCCCTGGTCTTGATTGGGCGTCTTTTGATGTTTGCTTTGGGTCCTTCTGCTGTTTTTGGCTGTCCTTGGATGGTCCTTGTTGTTGATTTGGTGGGCCACCCGCGGCTTTGGCTTGGGCTCGTTTTGCTTGCTTCTCGGCTTGCTTTTGCTTTTTCAGCTCTGCTGGCGAGAGCTTTTTAGGCGCATCTGTGGCAGGAGCGGCTTCGCCGTTTGTTGTTGCAGGTGTGCTTTCTTGGGATGGTGCTACTGCCGCAGGAGATGCCGGCGCCGGCTCGGCAGCGGGCGCTTCAGACATGGCGATGTGATGTTCTTGTTGTCGTCGACCTTTGTAAGTGGAATGTGGCCAGTCAGGTGTCAGAGGCTCCAACGTGGTGGGGCAATATCAAGTGTCGTGACGCGAATATGGTCCCCAATCGAGTATTTTTGAAGTCGTCCGATATCAGTGGACCGAAATAGTTAGGTGGAGCAGTGCAACGCGTGGATCGAAACGTGTTGCTGGGCAGGCGGAAAATTGATAGAGACTCGTGAATTGAGTCAGAAGTTTGGTCGCTGCTTCGGGTTAGCGCGAAAACGGAAATGTCCCGCATTAATCCCCGCGCTCCTTGCGTCATTGGGCGTGTACCCTCCACGCTCGCGTTCTACAAACATCTTGTTTACCACGTACTCGTCATCAGCGCCGTTTGGAGCAGGCTCCAACCCCTCTACCCTTAAAATCAACGTCGCCCTACAAGCCTCGCTACTACGATATCGACGCCGAACAAGAAGCTTAGGGGCCTCCCAATACCAACATGGCCGATAAGATCAGCTCCATCACCGACCTCCCCCTTGACATCCTCGTACTCGTATTTCCCTACTTGGACGCCAAGAGCTTCCTCGCCCTCTGCAGCACGTGCAAAGCCTTCCAACAACCGTCGATTCAACTAGATCCCGCGTACTGGAGTTACCTCGCCAGAACAACATTCCGCGTCCCGAACCAGCCAGTCGTACAACATGACGGCGACCGCTGGCAGAAGATGTATCGTCGCATGCTTACCCAGAGCCGCGTCTACACATGGGGTCATAACTCGCACAACCGCCTAGGGCACGCCCTTGACCCGGAAGACCATACACATGGCCGTCGTGGGCCTCGGATGAGAGCTGGCATGATGCGGCCAGGCAGGCGCATGTACGCGGCACACCAAGCCTTTCCGACAGAGATGGACAAGACAAGAGACTTGGGCGTCATCGCTGATATGCAGTGTGGTGGCTGGTCCACGACCCTGCTTACCTCTAAAGGCACTCTACATACTGCCGGTGTGCTAGATGGCCAACGGATACTCCTCGCCAATGGGCCTCTACAGCCGCTCCACTTCCCTGAAGGATATCCTCCTACCGCTACCGATGCCCAATACGAAGAGCCAACCGTCGCCATTCGCCAGTTCTCCTCCGGTCGTGCACACATACTCGGACTCTCTGACAGCGGTCGGATGTGGTCATGGTACGACGTCAAGAAACCTGCGCTCCAGGTCAAATTCGCAACCCTACAATTGAACGACATCTCCCTGAACGACACAACGCGAACAACGTCCAACTTTGGGCAAATAAAACAAGTCGTAGCAGGTTGGAGCCGCAGCTCGGCCTATGTACATGGCATCGGCATTGTCGTATGGGATCCAGTCGAACGGGATCATGGTGAGGACGGCACAGATACTATGCTTGTCTTGGAACACGCCGAGGTCCCCCAAACCGGCTATCAACATGTCAAAGGAACTCGCGAGTCCGATGAGCAGAGGGCTCTAGGTCGAGAGGTTGGGGCGGTACTGAACTATGTTCTGCTTGAGCATTTTGTCTTATTCACCACCGACCTTGGCAAGGTCTTCTGTGGTAAATTTGGAGCCAAGAACCAAGTCGAGGATGTTATTGAGCTTCAGATGGTGCGTCATGAGAAAGGAGCTCCTCTTGACGTTCAAGGCTCGTTCCGCAATTTTGCCATCTTCAAGGACAACGAAGTGATCACTGGCGATCAAAACTACCTTGAATCATGCTGGAGCCATCGTCACAATAGCTCTGGAGGCATGCAAGGCCTCAAGAAGATTCCCGCTCTGCAGGGCACTAATGTCATCTCGATCGCTTTCGGTGACTACCACTACCTGGCACTCCATTCGAATGGTAAAATTACATCGTACGGCACCGAGAATGGTGGCTGTGGCTCTCTCGGTCTGGGCATGAACGATGACAACCTAGTCGGAAATGCGCGCGGTATTGTGTATGATCAATTCAACAACAACGGCCAGTTGCTCCCTCACGCATATACGACCGGTCGTCAGATTTGGTTCGACGCAAGGAAGAACGAGTGGCTCAGGGAGGTTATGCACGACCAAGCGCACGCTGAAGAAAGCGCTTCGCGTAGGGAACTCTTTTTGAGCGACCATAACGTTCAGGGTGAAGTCAGTGAGTGGTTTGAGCAAGAGGGCAGAGCCTGGGATCAAGACGGTGGCGAGGACGGTCTTGGCGCATATTTCGCTCTCCAGGTGAGCGCTGCAGGATGGCAATCTGGTGCTTTGGTCTTGGTCAATGAGGAATTGGCTAAAAAGGATTCGACAAACAATCGCGAGGACAGGTCATTTCCCAGGCTCAAGCTCTCTGACGGCAGCGAGATGCCCGGTGAGAAGGACTTTGATGAGTGGAGAGAGGGCCGACCGGAATTTCAACTAAACGCTTAATCTGGAATCTTGGAAGCTTATCCTTTGAGAATGCAGTTGTATTGCCAGCTATGATCCGAAGGAAGAAAGTTACGTATAGACGCATACTGCATATCGGTCTCGCGTTATCCTTAAACGTTGATCAGAACAAAGCGCAGCTTTGCGCTGCGTTTGCTTTGCAGAGATCTAGGATTCAACTCTCAGGCTGGCACGCGTCCCCCAGAAACTTGCGTGCATTTGATAAGTGGCGGTAATGCAGGGCGCAGCAATTTGACGAATGCAGGAAGACGCTGCGGATAGTCGTGTGCAAGGTGGGGCACTCATGCTCAGCCCACCTTCTGCCATGTGGTGCCTGGCCTCCACAACAGCTGCAACTTGTGCAGTCTTAACTTATTATACTTCCAGTCGAACTCTTCGAAAGTTTGGAAGCGAATGCCCGTGGGTATGGCTTCAGTCACTAACAATCAGTTGTGTAAAGTATGCCAGCTACTCGTCTTGCATATTAGTTCCAGACCTGGCCGTGGATCGCTCCAACTTCACTCAACATTTGAACTGCTCGAAGAACGCTCGAAGAGTGCTTGTGGGATATGTGTAGAACTTCTACGTTCTTTAGGAGATGGCGTTGTTGGCGACGCAGTCAATCCACTAGCGTCCCTTTTCCCGGTCATCTGCGAATATGATACATCTTCAGCGAGTTGGCAAAGCTCATTTGATGTGGTGTTCAAACTATCCAAGTCCATTGACTTCAGTCTACGCTTTATCTTCGAGATTGTAGAGAATACCGAGAGTGAGTTAAACCATAAAGCAACGTTATTTGAAATCACTGACCTTCTTGTGAAGACGAGGCAATCGGATATGCACCCTCATCGTCTACAGACTCTCCTCAAAGCTGGGAGTTGATCGGTCGTTGGCTCAACCAATGCATCCACGAGCACGAGCGATGTAACATAGCTGCTGAAGAACCCTGGGTTCCAACACGTCTTCTCGACATTGGTACCTCTGAGGACAGTCCGGTACGCCTGCTAGATCGCGATGAGACGCGTCTTCTATCCAAACAGTCTTACGCCACGCTGTCTCATTGCTGGGGTATGATGAATCTCATCAAGACGATTAATAGCAATCTACGAAGCCACCAACAGGAGATCCCCCATGGAGAGCTCCCACTGACTTTCAAGCATGCCATCAAGATTGCAAAAAACCTCTGTCTACGCTACTTATGGATAGACTCGCTTTGCATAATCCAAGATTCGGCGGAGGATTGGCAGCATGAGGCTGACTTGATGAGTAAAGTGTATAGGTATTCGTTCGTCAATATAGCCGCCACTGGATCTAGCGATAGTACTGGCGGCTGCTTCCGGGAAAGAGTCGAGCGGAATATACTACCTACAGAAGTGTACATCCAATGGCATAGCAGTCGGGTTGGTCGCGATGGAGAAGCTCAAAAGATCAAATATCGTGTAGTGCTGGAAGCGGAACAGTGGACCAGAAAACTTACAGACGAGCCGCTGAATCAACGCTGCTGGATTTTACAAGAGAGGATTCTCCCTCCTCGTGTCCTTCATTTCGGAAGTGAGCAGCTCTTCTGGGAGTGCCAGGAGTTTTTTGCATGCGAGACCTACCACTGCGGTCTACCTGCTGCCCTTCAGAACCATCCTCTCATCAACATCAAACGTACACAACTTAAAAACGAACCCAAATACCACCGATGGCCCACAAACTACATAGCAGGGATTCCGAAGGAGACTTCATATGCACAGAGACTCTGGTCCAACTTCACAGCAATATTTCGACCAATCGTCATTCACGAAACAACGCTGTATACCGCTATGAACAATACATCTATTTATAAGAATTGGTACGCGATTGCCGAGCTATACTCCATGGGCAAACTGACGTTTGCGGGAGACAAGCTTGTAGCTTTATCTGGAATTGCACAGGCTATCATCACTGTTGATTCTAATGACCACGGCGATGGCTATCTTGCAGGCATATGGCAGTCATCATTGCCAGCCTCTCTCCTCTGGCGGCCGATTAACACCAAAGCTGCACAGAGACACAATCACCACGGACACTCAGGTGTCTCTTACAGATATGTGGACCGGAATTACGACTATTACGTTGCACCGACATGGTCCTGGGCCTCGGTAGATGGTCAGATCTCCTTCGAGTCATGCCAGATGAACTGGACATCCGAAGACTACCTAGCTCGGATGGAAGACGCAAGTGTATCTTATCACGACCGCTATCGTTTCGGCCAGGTAACATCAGGATTCGTAAAAGTTTCCGCACCCGTGGCGACAGCTCTGTGGGAAATCAAGGATGAATACCCTCCACCTTTACCTCCACGCAATGAGTCCAAGCTGATGGTAATATCGCAAATGTTCCCACCTCATCTCACTCGCCGTGCGTCTGTCAAGGTAGATATAGACAGACCACCTTACGAAGAGATCTTTCTTGATTCGTTCATGGAAGACATACCCGAAGAACTAACGCTCTTGTGTATCATTGGGCGTCAAAGACAGGGTCTTCTTATCACCGAGGGACTGGTACTGCAGCGGTCGACCGAAGCTGATAAGTATATCCGTATAGGCTTCTTTCAGGTTTTGCATAATCAGAAAAGGAACATTCTCATGAACATGCCACGGCGGTCAATTACTATAATATGAAACCAGTCCATATCATGGTCTCAAATCATTTGTGTTTTGTCATACACAGCTTGTTGAATTGTTTCGATTTCGTCTATAGCATGCAATAAGTCGTGACTAGCACCGATTGTTGTCACTCCAGATTTTACCACCTACCTAATGAAGAAGCATTAGTGTAGGGGCAGGTCACGTGGCAACGTGGCGACGGCATCGCCGTGATGAGCAGACTAGGCTAACTTGACATTGCGTAAGATCGACACGTCCATCCCCATCGAGGGTTCGATAACGTTGCATTCAGGGGTCTGTCTACGCTGCCGCGTGTTTGACCATGAGCCGCTGTTCCTGCTTGGAAGCTGCGGGTGTCAATCTCAGATTCGCTAAATGCAGATCTCTTCGCAACAACGGCGTCTCCGAAGATGAGGAAGGTGTTCGCGGAGGCGTACTCGATCTACGCAAGGATCAAAGAATACTAGCTTGTCGGTTTCAGCATATGTGGTGTAGCTGCTGGAAGCCTGATGTCACTAGAATATCGGACGCCTGGTGGAAGTAATATCGACCGCAGCCAATAGAATATGAAATCGGTGTTTAGAAAGCGATTATCTTGTATCAACTTCTGACGCCGCAACTACATGTAATTGCATCTCAGTAGCTTCAAGAGCGGTACTCCAAACAACCGGCACCTTCCAGGTCCTGTCCGAAACATCCAGCTGACCAGCAACTAACCTCGCCGTTACTCGACGCACGCTCGCTACCGGGAACCTGTTTTTGAGGTTTGCCCAGCTTTTGAGGATACAAGTGTTGTTGTGGGGATCGCGCGACTTACTCGAGATCGCGAGTTTTCCACGAATGGCGGCTTGTGGCGTGAGGAATACCCGTAAGTTTCGACAGCCACATGTCCTGTACGACTTCCGAAATCTCTTTTGGCGAAGACCTGGACATATTGATAGCGACTTATCAGCTTCGCGTAGCAGCCGCCTCCTACGTGGTGTGACTTCCGCTGCCGCCGAGGATCGTGAGAATGGTAACTGCCCCGCAAAAAGCAGATATCCGGCGAGCGTTTCCTTGATTATGATGATAATAGTCTAGGTTTCTATTTCGCTGCAAACGTGGTTCTTTGTTTAGCTTCCCCTCTTACATGTGCTTAAGTTGCTTCCGGACGTATCATGAGTGCTTGCCTTTCGGTTGGCGTTCCTGCAGAAGCTGAAACGGATCCATCACGGGGCGCCTTACTCACCCACCACACCTCAGTCCAACGCCCGTAATGGCGCAACTGCATGCACCCAAGTGGTGGACCCTACTACCGCGCGAAAGCCTAGCCAAAGGAGCTCAGCCAGCTCGCCGTTGTCCCTTCGCGCAGGATCAGATCTCGGGTCATCCCTGCCGATTAGCTCAATGAACCAGTGGCTAACGCCACGAAACAACGCCACCATTACGGACTCAGCTGAACATGCTCCCGCCAAGCATCAAGGACACTGGCTGTCGTGCTGAAGCCGGGCACCAAACCATGCGTGCCCCAGCAAGACTCGTACTGTATGCCTTGCACAGGCGCGATTCGTCGCAGCTGAACATGACCAGTTTGTTGCCTTTTGCTTGATTTGCGCATCGTGGGCTTACGCTTCACTTTGTCCACCAGCCTTCGTCACCAGGTCTACGCCGAGCTAGCTCGCCGATTGCCTCAATGTTTCAACGGTATCTGGGCTTGCTGATGTCGCCGTCGAAGCATATACGCAAACCAGGATGGCGCAGTTCCGTAGAGATCGGACGCAGGAACCGAACCTGACTCTCACATGCGGATATCCTTATTTATACGTCAACCCCGGTGCTAATCCTACAAGAACGAGACAATAACCGTACCCGAGTATTATTAGCTGGATACTATCGAACGGAGGATCCGGACTCTAGTGCTTATGCTAACAGTCCTTCCGCTTTTACTTCAAGTAAGTTGTATGAAAGCGGTTGTATTCCCGTCTTCTCAACTGACCGAGTAGCTAGTTCATCTAGGACCTGCATCATCCCACGCGATTGACAGTCAGAGTGGACCCAGCAAGCCATACCTGCCACCATCGGCGTCATTCCTGAACTCATGCCTCCACTTTTCAAACCTTCAAGTCTTGCCAGTACAGAAAGCTGGCATCCGCCTGTTTATCTGCAGCATCTTTCTGAAGCTATCTTGTTGTTCGCACTTTTTGCAACAGTCTTGCGATCGTTTCTTGTCGCGCGAAGAGAAGGAAGGATGACCAGTTCCGGTGTGGGTCAAAACGACTTGGCCATACCGCAAGAGAAGAAGTTGCCTATCCACCAAAGAAAAGACTCATATCAAGAGGAGTTAAATACTCCAAGTAAGAAGATGGAGAGCTTCGACGATAAAGTGGAAGAGAAGTCTATATCGGTGGGACGGAATGATAACTATATTCGTCTACCGGCGCTGGATCAGGAACCAAATCAGTATCTCCAATCGCTTCAACAAGAGACACTTCGACCGACACTCTCGCCAATCTACCCATGGACGTCGCCACCACAGAGACTACCAGGACCGTATGATGCTCCCTACTTCCCGGTTCCACTACCGACAGTCAGAAGTGAAGAATTGTCTGGGATTAAAGAACAGTCGCCGATTATCAAGACGGAACCAGTCCCAGATGATGTACCAGAAGAGCTAGAAACCGTATCGTACACCCGTCGTGTCTCAACACCCAGCATACCAGACCACGAATCTCTCCTTGAAGGCGCAGTCACCGTTTCAAGCAAAGGCTGGCGCCGCACTCAATGGACCGTGACTGCAGGTTGAGACCACTGATGCCACGTCTTCACCGCATGATCAAAGAAGCTAGGGATATATCGGAAGGGCAGTACGGAAGGACTCTCGCGCAAACACACCTTGTTCCCATACCGATAGCAGTGACGCTGCTGATACAAGCCACCATCGCTCGATCGTGCTCGCATGACCTCAGAAGATGTGGAGACTGAGGCTCCGTGTGTAGTAACTGAAGCGGATAATTCGAGTCCTGGGAGTTGTGGCTTGCGTAGTATAGTTCCGCGCTTACTAGCTGAGGATAGTGGAGTGAAATGTGGGGCCCCGTAGGCGAGTGAAGGGACTACGAGGACGCCTCTTATGAATTATTGAGCTATGGAAGCTTGCGCCATAGCCGGAGTGTGTAGATCCGAAAGTTTTCCGTTGCTTGATTTTTTCAGTTGGGGTATTTGTCATGCTGCGAGTGATACAAGGGGTCCAAGGAGCGGACAATGTGTTCTACTGTATCTAGGTGTATTCGTGCATATGTGTTGCAATTACCCGCCACGAATGATCTTTGAGTGTTTTTGGCGACTCCATGCATGGATCTAGATGTGTACCTCTTCTCAAGCATGGATCAATACTGGTTCCACTTGACACCTCAAGCGCGCGGTACGGCATGGCCATTACGGTGATTAGCTCCCGCTGCTTACAGTGCGTGTCGTGTGCCTATGTCGCCCGTGCGACTATGGCCTTGCTTTTTTTACAGCCTTCTCCATCTCCACACGATGCCCAGGGAGTTTCTATTCTGAGTACAAGACACCGATTTTCGTTCAAGCCTCATTGCGAATGGCATCATCAAAGCCACCCGCTCATGCGCGGCATAAGCGCCAAAAGCAATTCGGAGACACCTTCCTTCGACTGTAACCGACTTGCTCGTGTATGTGTAAAGTGCATGAAGAGTACGTACTACATCCAACGCAGTCAGCAACACATTGAATGTAGACGTCAAGTTAGCGGCCGATCTACGTCGCTTGTAGAAACCGCGCTCAGATAGGAAGGCATACGGTCGATCTTCCTCGTCTATGATTGCCTCTCGCTAGATATCGCGTTGTCGATCAATGAGATGCGCAATCGCGGAGTTTGGTGGAGAGCTGAAGGTGGAGCGGAGCCGTGGGGTGCATATGCCAGACTGCGTTGAAAAGGGTATCATGATGGGCACGGCTGTGAGAAGTGGTCAGCATAATATTCCCACCAACAGAAGGCTCCACGGCTCAAAGCGCATACGATGGATGGAGCAGGCCTACGCGATCCAGATTTGATGTGTTGGTAGTATAATCCATTGCGAATACATGAAGCGTTCGCGTACGCTCCGTAATAGGTATCTCAATCAAAACCAAACGCCAAAACAAATTCACTGTATGCGTCACCCACGCCCGACTGCGTCAAACCATCTCTTGCTTCAACCAGATCATTACGCAGATCTCTTGTTCTTCCAGTCAAATCGCTCGCTAATAGTATACCACCTAATCAAGCTCCGCGCCCCAACCTCATCACCTGTCCTAAACAGTTGCGCAACATCCACATTTAGCGGGCTATCCGGCTCAGCACTAGTGAGCAGTTGGTGTATACTCGTCATGGTGCTAGAGATGGTATATGCGGGCGTCCAAGCCGTCTTGAGCAAGTCGAGGCAGATCTCGCCGGTTTTGAAATCGACATTGGGGTGGCAGATGGGTGTTACGAAGCGGATGGTGGGTGGGGAGAGGGGGTACTGCGAGGGGATCGAGATGGAAAGGAGCCAGCAGCCGTCTGTGAGACGTTAGTGAGTGAATGAGGTTTGTATGTGGTCGTGTATAGAAGTGAAGCGGTATGGGTGGGGTGGACTCCGGGTTTGAGTGTACCTTCGTATGCCGTCCCTTCTACACCCTTCATGACGGCTCTCCATTGCATCACATCATCATCCGTAGGTCCGAGTTCGAGAAGCGCATCGTTGGGGTCGTGTTGTAGTGTTTGGAGTTCAGTCATGAGGCGCTTGATGGGCGATGCGTTGCGCGATGAGCCTGCCATGATGTTCTATCTATATCTGCTTCGATGTTTGATATTGAAGTCGAGGTTATAATGGGTGGAGACGATGCGCTGTGTGTCTCTGGCGGTGAAAGCACGCGTGGAGCTCTGTTGTCGCATCGGCAAGCATGGCTGAGCTGGCCGCGGTGATGCACCGAGGTCTGAAGCTTGAGCCGCCTTGTGGACTGAGCTGCATCCCCACCAAAACTTTTGGACATGGTCGTCACTGATGTGTAGAAGCGCATACTACAACCAGTCTTCTCCAAATCCTTGCGCATAGGTGTTGCTGACTTTCTCTCGACGCTCCGCTTAGTCATTACTCTGCCTGCTGCGTACATTTCCTACCGCACTACGCCAACAGACATACAGCAATCGGACTCTGCACCACACGCGCATACGAAACGACACACCCAATCATGGTCGCGCCTACAGTTACTCTCACGCATCTAAACCGTGCTGATGGCTCTGCGACTTACACCCACAATGGCTACTCCATCATTGGCGCCGTCAATGGCCCGATCGAAGTACAACGACGCGACGAACTGCCCGAGGAAGCTGCGATCGAGGTCAATGTCAGACCAGCTATGGGTGTTGGAAGTATGTACAATCGTTAGAGAAGAGATCGCGAATCGGCTACTAACATAGACCAAGGCCCAAGAGAAAGGCATCTTGAAACCCTTGTTCACAACACACTGCGCAGCATCATCTTGACAAGGTCGATACCACGGACGCTTGTACAGGTCACACTGCAAGTTAGAAGTTTACCGGAAGAGGATAGCACAGCAGGTGTCAACACTGTACGTCCAACAGTTCAATCGTCTTGCTGTACCACTAATCGCTAACATCCACACAGTCGCTAACTCTCCTCCCACATCTTCTACATACCGCGCTTCTCGCCCTCCTCTCCGCGTCGATACCCCTCCGCACAGTCCTCACTTCTGTCATGATTGCTCAACCCGCCTCACCATCTACAAACTCCTTCCCACTTCTCCTGTCGCCGACCGCCAACGAACTCTTACGCGCAAGGCCCATACGATCAGTCCACGTCTTCGCATTCTCGGGCGACAGAAAGATGTTGTTGGGAGAAAGCGAAGGGAAGTTTAGTTTCGAAGAGTGGAACGAAGCATGTCAAATGGCCGAGGATGCGTGCTGCGGAGAAGAGGACGATGAAGAGGAGGGTGGCGTAAGGCTAGAGGCCGAAGGCGAGGCCATGGATGTCGATGGGCAGGTTGAAGGAGAAAATCTGGAGAAGTGGTTGAGGAGCGTTGTAAGGAGGAAAGTTGATTACGAACAGCGGTGGAAGAGTGCTACCTGAACATAACGCGAGAGATGCAGAGACAAAAAGCATGCAAGATACCGAGCCGATGGCTCTTACGTCAGTTGACGCATCGTAGAGTGCAAGATGCTAGCTACGGCATATCCTGGACACTCCAAAGTTATATCCTTAGCATGCCGTTAGGTATCGATCAGTCAGGGCTTCCATTGGTGCTGAACAAAACTGTCGAGTTGCCTCGAGAAAGGGTGGCTCAGACTTGTAAACCCATGAATGTTCAGCATTTTGACCCGGAGATGACTCGACGATAGATGACGGCTCAATAGCCAAGACCAATCAAAGGTTAAGATGCACTACCTTGGTGAGTGTGCATCACTTTCTGTTCATGCGTCTGACTAGAGGGTATAATCTTGGTTTGGTGAAGTGCATTGGTGAAATGTAGTGACTAATACATGGGTCGAGCCCTGGTCGTGTACGAATGAGACCTGTCTTATAAATACTATGTAACAAATCTGACTTGGTGTGACCGTGGTGCTCGTTGCGTTTGATTGAGTTACTGGGGCTGTTGCGTAAAGTTGACGAGGCTGAAGCGGAGTCTGGAGCTGAAGCTGGCGAGGCTGGCTGCGAGGAATTCGATGGCGCGGGTTGCATGACTTAGGAAACTTCAGCATACGGAGGCATCAATTCCTCCCTGGATTGAGTTATAATCTGGAAAGTTCCAAAGGTGAATATACGCACTCGAAGGCTGACAGAGACCGGTGAGAGACAGGTGGAGTTTGTAATGCACAGCCGCATAGGTGCCAACACACCCTAGGCTGCATGATGCTCAGCCTCTTTTGATTGATACTATAGATACAAGAACGCTCAGAGCGCTAAAGATGCAACAAGTATTGATGATTTCTTAGTAAAGGAAATATGCTGAAAATTTACAGTACATCGCGTTGAAGTAGATGGTATGCGCAATTCGTCAATATATGCTCGAGGCGATTGATTCGTGATGAATGTGTCGCTTCGAGTCGTGATTCGTAATTCGTATGATGATCCGCAAGGTCGTGTCCTGTCGCTATGCAAAACCCCAAAGGAATGTCCATGAAGTCATATGAAAACGTCAAACCGATTCTACCCTCTCTGTTATCAGTTTTTTCTCTTTTTTCGCCTGCTCGGCCAAGAGCATTCCCAGAGACTTTTGTGCGTCCCAATCTGGTATCTCCCACATTCTGTTACCTCTCGACAGTTTCTTGTCCTCAACCAACCTGACATCTTCACTACATGCTCTTGCCTCCCTCAGCCAGTCTTGCCAAGCTTCGGTATCTGGGCATGCGTCACTCATTCGCACCCACCCAATTTCTTTGGTGACGCAGACTGCCCTCCAAAGAGCTTGTGTGAACGTTTCATTCTCGGAAGGAAATCCTTTTTTGTCCATGTTGGAGTCGGAGAGGCATTCGTTTACGACCCTGTAGCAAGACGTATCCCAATGCATTTTGCTAGGCAAGGCAGCGACTATCCAATATGAGGCCCCCAGTAGCATGTAGGAACCTGCCCATGCGATCTGAACCTGAATTTGAGCGTTGGCAAGGCATATGACCCCGCCCATGAGCATCATCGTGCCCACCAGACTAAGGATTCGGTATGCCGGGCCATGCGTAAGGAGGTAGTCGATGCTCTCTGGTGCGAAGTACAGTTCACGGGCAACGTCTTCCTCGCAGCGGACGATGAGGAAACTACCCTTGGGATACCGTATAACAACGTCGCCACGAGGAACTATTCCCGACTTGTGCTTGCGTTTAGGAAGTTGCAACACCCATTTGTTGCCAAGACCGATGAGGCTGGAGAGGAGCGACAGGAGTACCGTGGCTACAACGGACATACCATCATCTTGCCATATCGATAATGCGAGAAGAAGGGCGGAGAGGGCGAAACCGATAAGGATAACGACGGTGAGGGGACCGAAGGTCTTGGCTTTGAGTGGTTGTAGATCGTCTTTGCGTTCTATCTTTACAACGCGGACCGAGAAAGGAGCGAGATTGTTGGCATCACTAGTAGATTCCCTGTCAGCATTATGCGGTACTGCTACAGTTGTGGTACGGGACGTGTGACTTTTAGTGTGTTTTACGGAGTCTGGTAGACATGTCGGGTTATTCTCGAAAAAGCTCGCCACTAGCAAGAATGCTTGTAGAAACTCACTTACCAGACAATATTTCCGATATGATTAATGTTGTCTCTGTGATTGCCGCTGACGATGCCAGTCACCCATCCCGAGAATGGCTCCAGTTGTGTCGGCCTCGTCGGCCTCATCAACGCTTGAGGTGCCGGGATCAACCGTGGTAGGAATATCCATTTGGAGAGAGTCGAGACCTGAGCGTTGGCGAGCACTGAACCCTCACCCAAGATGGCAAGGAAACCAACGATGTCGAGTTGTAATTCATTGAGCGATATCTTCCCGGTCTCATCTGATGGAAGCCAATACATATCGATAAGCGCTTAAATTATCTTCAAAGCTCAACGCGAATTGAAGGCTGAACGCTGCGGAAACGATGCATAGGTCCGACTCGACGCGCTACAATGCAGTAGGAATGTGCCGTAAGCGTACTCAGTATATACGACAGATGCGGAACTGAGGCGAGGAAGGCATGAATGATGGTGACGAAGCTCAACGTGGAGCAGTAAACGTCGCGCGCGTCGAGTTGGGGGCCAAAAGCGCCTGGCATCGCCCACCGGATCTGCGTGCGGCACGTCTGTTACCAGTCCGGTCAAAGGCCCAGACACTTTATCGAGGACACGGGAGTTTGTGCACTCCCACAGCCCCCATGGATTGGGGCTTGTGCAGCTATTGGGTGCCTCAAGCTGGAAAATGAGGGGCAAACATGGCTGACAGGACCAGTGGCTAGGCTCCAGGGTGTCTGGCGCATGGCAGAATGCATGAGGCTTTAGCATAGCCTCAACCCGTGTGAGCAATAGGTAGTTCCGCCCAGCTTGATTTTCAACTCCTTTCTAATGACAGATCCACTTGTCGCAACGACGTCGCGATAGTTTGAATCGCTGCGCCCCGCTTGCGTGTTGAGCTTGAACTCAACTGTGATCGCCATACTCGCCTACTGTTCGCAACACCAGAACAGGCGCACGCACCAGGCTGACAACCCCGTGACACGATCCGATAGCGACAGCTGTACCGACCGACGAGGTTTGCATTGAAAAGGCATCAAAAGCGGTATCGCATGCACTCGAGTTGTTAAGAGAAGGAAGAATCATACGCAAGGAAGCGTGCGCTGATGTATGTGGCTGCTCCTTCCTTTCTCTTGCGCGTTCTCAGACACGCGATCGTTGTAGGCATCGTCCTTTCTTCCCCAGCACGAGCAAGAGCGCAAAATCCATCATTTATCCACTATAGCAGAGACCTATGTCCTTCTCTTTGCTTCAAACTTTCATGCTAGCTCACCGCAACTCCATATCTTCCCCGTCGTGCCTATGTCTCTAGGCATCAGTTGTTTCCCAGCCTCGCGCATTTCCTTAGCCGCGGGGCATGAGGCGCAGCGAACAGATTACATCAGAAACTATCAATGGGCAATGAAACTAATACAGGCGGTTTTGCAAATTAGGCCGACAAGCGGGACAGTAGTACTTGAATTTGGTACACCATATCCATCGCCTGGTTAGAGTACCACCTGGTCACGAGGTGTGCCTTGAAGCAACCTCGTTTTGCGGGATCTAGCAACCATCTTGAAGATCCAGAATCGCACACAGCCCAAACCGGTCAATCAAGAACAGTGACCGAAAAGTTGTGCATCTATCATATTACTGTACCTGCAGCCTCATTTCGAGTGGTATGAGCAGCCGGTGATAGACGTTCTCACACAATCGTCATCGGCATGCCCACTGACGCCGAATCCAAAACTTCGAGTGAGCCCCACAGAACCCGTCCTGGGTTATTGGCCAAGTGTGGTATTGTCATCCCCACATTGTGAGTCTCCGGGTGAACACTCATGTCTGCTTTGTGAGTTGGTGTTGACTGTCAGATGTAGCTTTGTACGTGACCGGCACGGATCTCCAGGGGACCCGAACAGGCCAGTTATGACTACAGCTGACTCGCCGAAGAAGAGAAAAAGGGCCCTCAGCCCGCTACCTACGAGGAAGATACCACTACATTCAGGAGAATCGCAAGCTATGGAAGCGACATCAGAGAAAATCATGACCATGGAAGAAGAAACGGAGAAGGCATTGGCCGAGTTCAGAGCGGCTTTAGACGATGAACAAGCGATCAAGCAATACGACGACGAAAGAAATAAGCTCGTGAAAAAAGAAGAAGACAATGCTTGGGATCAAGCAGCAAGATCAGACAAACCCGGTTCTGAGGATGATAAGGTAGAGAAATTGGCTGCAGATATCATCCGGGGGATTCGGGAGTATGAGCGGAACGTTACTTTCGGCAATGTAGCTTCAGAAGCGCTACCAGAGCCCGAAGACCGCGACATGGGTGGCCAATATCTCACTAATAAGGACCGTATAGACCGCGAGAGCAAGCTTTTCGAGATTGCTAGAATCGTTCCCAAAGGTGCTCTTTTGCATCTCCACTTCAATGCCGCACTACACCCCGAGTTGCTTCTCGTAAAGGCCCGGAGAATGAAGAACATGTACATTCGCAGTATACGTCCAATTGCGGACAAGAATGATCTGGCGTTGACGGAAGTGGTCTTCAATATCCTAGATCCGAAGACCGTCGATCCTGAAATTGACATCTTCTCTGATACATATCCTGCGGCCGAAGATGCGGTAAGATTCAAGGATGCAGATGTCAAGGATAGAATCTGGATGCTCTGGTCAAAATTCCAAGAGGAGTTTGAGAAAAGGTTCCCCGGACTATATCAACAACAAGAGCCTGAGACTTTCAGAGAAGGGCGACCACGCCGAACGCGGAATTGTGGGGATCCAAAGCAGATCAAATTACATCCTGCTGAGAACTGGTTGAGGTCAAAGATGGTGCTTAGCGAAGATGAAGCTTATGGTCCTCAACAAACTGTCAATGGGTAAGTCCCTGCCCATTTGAAAGCAGGATGCACTAATCATATCATAGTGTTTGGGCCCGTTTCAACCAAGCTACCAGAGCCTTCAAGGGTCTGCTTAACTACGAGAGCGTCTACAAGGAATATATAGGCGAAGCTATCGATCGCATGATTGTTGAGAAGATCATGTATGCCGAGCTTCGCCCGATGCTGCTAGACAAATCCATACCTAGCAGCGATGGTCGCCGTGCAATTGACAATTTTGCCCAGATGCAACTCATAATCGATGGCGTTCGAGAGAAAAAGGCGCAGCTCGAGAAAAAGGGAGAGATTAACAAATTTCCGTTTGGACTTAAGATCGTGTACTGCACGCCACGATCAATACCTCCGGCACTTATGAGAAAGGAAATGGAACACTGCATCGAGCTCAAGATGAAGTTCCCAGAGCTCATATGCGGTAAGCAAGGTACCTAATCAGACCATGGAACAATATCTGACTTGATCTAGGCTTTGATCTTGTGGGTGCTGAAGATCGCCCAAACCACATCGGCTTCTACAAGAAAGAGCTCAAAGCTTTCCAAAAGGCTTGTAAGGAGGTGAAAGTGGAAATTCCCTTCATGTTCCATGCAGGTGAAACTTTGCTCGATACCGGCGGCTCTGCTAAACCAGAAAATTCCAATCTTTACGATGCGGTGGCTCTGGGAGCAAGGCGCATCGGCCACGGGTTTGCACTCTTGAAACATCCGCATCTTGTGGAAGAGTTCAAGAAATCCAACATTTGCGTCGAGCTTTGTCCTATCTCGAATGAACTGCTACATCTTTGCAGAAATGTGAAGGAACACCCATATCCAGAACTACTGGCGGCAGGTATACCATGCACAGTCAACTCAGATAATCCCTCGCTATTTAAGTATGGAACAATTTCAAACCCCCTGTCAATAGCTAACATAAAACGTAGCAATTCCATGTCCCACGAGTTCTATCAGATCATGGTGGGCGCGCCTACCATGTCTCTCTACAGCTGGAAACAGCTTGCACGCTGGAGTATAGAATACAGCTGTCTTGATACTAAGCAACAGAAGGACGGACGCCAATTCCTCGACGAAAGTTGGAGTGAGTTCTGTCAAACGATTGTGAAAGATTACGGTGGCCTCATGAGCGAAGACAACCCAAGGGAGATAAATCCCTATAGGGCAGAGGTAGCATATGGACCCCGCAAGAGGATACATCCAGCTATCCTGAAAGCAGAGAGTGATAAGGATGGTGGACCGGAACGAGTGAAAGTAGAGAGGGAGAAAGCAGAGGCGTGGAAAAGATCTTTGCCTAGCGACAGTGTCGTGCTAGTGCATAGCGTCGGCAGTAACCAAACATAGCTCAAAACGAGAAATGGATTGAAGTACGCTCTGTAGTTGGCAAGCTAGCTGGCTATGTGTACTGTCAAAGCTCAAGCGCGATGCATGATACCATGATCTGTCTGGACTAGATTATGGCCTTCAAGTAGATCTCATGGCTATAACATGAATACACACAATGGTCTTTAATGTATGGAAGTGAAGCTAGGCATCTTACGAAGACCTTTCGCCTCGCTGTGTTACACCACAACCACTCTTCTCCTTGATTAGTTATCACATTTCACAATCTCGCCATCAATCAGTACCGTAGCATCTACGCACGAAGACATAGTTCCAGATTTCCTCTCTGGCGGTCTGCAAGGATGCTATGCGGCCTTTACAGGCCAATACCGAAAGGGGAACCTAGGATGGCACACCAAACAGGAGCATCAACACTGGCAGGAAAACTATCTTGAAAATCATCACGAAGCTACGATCTACTACTTTGATTGGGATACACATGTGCAAGCGATGAGAGAGGCATCTTATGCATTAAAGTTGCGAAACTAGGTCACTGCCGATGTTCGGATGAAACCCTAGTATCGAAAACAAACAGCCATTCAACATTACATAACCATAGCCACAACCTAGGCCACCTCTCCCACCCCACCCAGCACTCTCTTATCACTCCCTGTGACTGTCTGCCCTTTCGCCTGCGCAAAGTTCGCACTGCGCTCATGCGCCGGATTCGGGCTATAGAACTCATCGACGATAGGATGAATCATAACAGTTTGCTTGGATATAGTGAGCGTACTGTTTGTTGGAACCGTGACCCAGTTATCTGTCATTGTTAGTTCAGTCGAGAGGAAAAGGTACAGAAAGTGACATACCACGTTCAAACGTCAACGGTTCGCTAGCCACCAGCACAATATCACTTCCCTTATCCCTGCGTTCCATAACATAGTCCCTCTCCCTCTCCTCATCATCCACAGAACTCGCACCCGCATCCGACCCCACCGACTGGCCATTGAGTTCCCTCCAACTCGTTCCACTGCTAAAGAACAAGCTCGCCGCCTCGTCCGTCTTACTACTCACATACCGCGAGCACACAACACTGACACCATCCGTAACAGCAAAGTTGAGCAGACTCCTACTATCTTCCTCCCCAACTCCACCCCCTTGTTCCCCAACAACATCCCTGATGAACCCGTTGAGCCGTTCGATCGTCTTCAATATCGCTTTCCTCAATACCGTATGTCCGAAGCCCACACCAGCTTCCACCTCCTTATCCGGGCTTATCCCCGCTTTATCTAGACAATCTAAGAATGTAGCAAACGCCCACTCACTGTCTGTTGAACCACCCACAACATTGAACCACTTCTCGTCCAGGCTCATAGCAAGCCGGCGTTTGATCTGTTTCCAGCAGCCGATGCCGCCATTGTGCATGAACATGAGGGACTTGTAGGAGAACGGATGGCAGTTGCTGTCGCTGAGGTTGCCTTCAGTTGTGGCGCGCACGTGGGCGAAGATGAGCGAGGATGTGGTTTTGGAGGCGATGCGCGAGAGGTTTATGCAGTTCCATGCTGGAATTGTGGAGGTGAAGACGCAGGGCGTGAGGCCCAGGGAGGGCGACGTGTAGTAGCCGATGCCAAAGCCGTCACCGTTGTGCGGGCGGCGCCTGTCCTGGTGATAAGTGCGTTAGTAAGGGAGATGTGGGTTCGTGGGAAGAGACGTACTAGGCGGAGGCGCGAGTCGAAGGACTGTGTGAGAATGGAATGGGAGGGGTTTAGAATGAGCTCTGAAAGGAGTATCTCATCCTTGCCTTTGTAGACCTTTGGTTGTTAGCTGTAGCGCGGCGTGGGTAAGACGTCGTACTTACCATGAATCTACACATGCTGGATAGCTGTTGTTGTATATTCGACGTTCAGTGCAATGGTATCATGCAGAAGTAGAGATTGTGATATGACTGTCAGGAGTTGTGAAGATGCTGGTGAGTTGGCTGCGAGGTCGGCGCGGCGGTGTATTCGCGATGATTGCGCCATCGGTCCAGGGCATTGCTTGAGACATCATTGGGTTGTGCAAGTTGTGCAGAAACACGGTCGACACGCGCAGACAGATAGAAAGACGCCATTATGAATGGCACGCGACATGCTATCGCGAACCGAGCGCAGAAACAATTAACCCCACGCGTGGTTCGCGGAGGTATGCCGGCGGGGGTGTTCAGGGTTCCGCGGATGACGCACTCACTTTCCCAGCTAGCTCCGTTTAGTTCACGATTTCCTGGGTTCGCGCTCGTCTCGTGATGACCCAATTACAATCACCTAGGATTTGACCTTGCTTTGATTAGTTACGACAAGACGTTGATTTGCTGGCGGTGTCTGAAGTAAGAACTGTTCTACATTCAAGCACGGTAGTGGTGATGCTCATTCTCAATCACATGAATCTTCATCATCGCGACAAATTGTGTTGTAGACCGATTACTCGGCGTTATATTCCGCTATCTGTCTGGCGCGGCTGAACTGCGAGCGCATGTCACTCTTCCACCCAATGTGTAGAGCTCCATCCAGAGCAGACCGCCCAGTCCAAACCATTGCGATCTTCAGACAGCTAGGCAAACACGCAACGCCGGGGATATGATGCGGTTAATGAACATGGGAGGGGTACAAGACGGTGTATCTTTAAGGCTTCATTTAAATCATGGCGAAGTGATAGCTGGAAAGGATGGGGGTATTGCCAAGGAAACACAAAGGTCCTCGCAATCATAGCGCTTCCGTGGATCATGTATCATATCGTGTATGATCTCCGACTTCATCCAGGATACCGCAAACACTACTAGTCAGGCTCTCGTGGCTGGCTAGCGTGGTAGAAGGGCTGCACTGCAAGCAATGCAACATTCAACTTTGGACTCGTCACGAGTTTTGACCCGTTTACATGTCCATGGAGTCACCTCCGTTGGCAAAGTTGAAGTTTTGTTGTTGCTGCTGGCCAGCGGCGCCGAAACCGAAGTGACCCTCCTGGTTGACCTGGGGTCCGGCCTCGCCCATGTTCTCGGCCTCACCCTCCTCGTCGGAGAAGTACTTCTCAATGATGTTGTAGGCCTTCATGTAGATCTCCTCGTTGGCATTGTTCTGGCACTCGTGGATCTTCTCCATGCCGCCGACCTCCTCGATGAAGAGAGCGTAGCGGTTGATGGGCTCGCCACCAGCACCGCCCTCGCTGGCCTCCTTGTCCATCTCGCCGACCTTGAGGATGTTCTCAAGACCGTCAAGGGCAACCTGGATGATCTTGTTGTCAGGGCAGGCCAGAAGGTCGCAGAGAGGCTTGATGCAGCCGCTCTGGACGAGGTAGCGGATCTGGGCAGGCTTCTGCAGACCACCGCTCGTGGCGTTGGAGATGGCCCAGCACGCCTCCTTGCGTGTCTTGAAGTCGCCGTTCTGGAGGAGGTGGATCAGAGGAGGGATGATGTTAGCATCGATGACAGCTTGAATCTGGGTGGAGTTGCCGGCGGTGATGTTGGAGATGGTCCAGCACGCCTCCTTGCGGATTCCGTCCTTGGTGGAGCTCAACAACGACAGCAGTGCAGGGAGCGAGCCGCAGTTGATGATGACCTGGGTCTGGACGTCGTCACCAGTCACGATGTTACCGACAGAGCGCAGGGCGGGGGTCTGGACGGAGGTGGACGCGTGCATGAGCAGCTCTACGAGACGGCGGGGGATGCCAGCCTCAATGACGGCCTGGATCTTGTCGTTGGAGCCATCGGAAAGGTAGGAGATGGCCCAGCAGGCGTCGATGAGGACTTCGTCGTCGAGCGAGTATACGAGCTTGGCGAGCACGGGGAGGGCAGGCTGGATCTGCTGGATAATTAGTATTTCGACTTAAGTGGGGCTGTAGAGAGAACTCACAGTCTGCCAGTCGGGCTGGGGGGTCTTGCCGCGGCAGAAGTTGCTCAGGGTCCATGTAGCGTTGCGGAGCATGCTGAGCTTGCGGCTGTCGCCCAGGAGCGCAAGCAGGGGGCGGAGAGCACCGGCCTGCAGCACAAAGTCGCGGCATGCGGGGCTGTCACCGGCGATGTTACCCAGGGCCCAGACGGCCTGCTCCCGGACATCTGGCTCGTGGCTGCTGAGCAACTCGACGAAGATGGGCACGGCGCCCGCCTCAATGACGACCTGTGTCTGTTGCGCCGAACCCGACGCGATGTTGGTGAGGGCCCAGGCGGCCTCGAACTGCACCAGCGTGTGCGGGGAGCGCAGGAACTCGACGAAGCGGCTCACGACACCAGTCTCGATAACGCGCTCGATGGGGGGGTTGCGCTCCTTGGAGAGCAGCTTCCTGAACTTGGTTGTCGCCTGGATCTGCTCATCGATCTGTTCTGAAAAGACGCCCTTTACCATCTGCGGGAGCTCCTCGTTGAGCTGTGCGGGTGTGTCAGCCTCGTGTGCTCTGTTGCTCTCTATACGCCTGCGTTCAGAAATAGTGGGGTACAGTAGAGACGTACCTGGCTCTCGATGTTGCCGCCCTCATCGTCGCTGTCGGGGGCAGCACCGAGCGAGGCACCGGGCTGGTCACGGCCAGCAATACCACGGCGCTTTGCGAGGTTCTCCTCACGCTTCGCCCGGCGGATCTCGACCTGTTGCTCTTCACGGCGGCGGCGGAGTTCATCTGGCTTGAAGGCGCTCTTTGCCTTGAACGTCGTGCGACGGTGCTCGGGGATGTACTTGTCGGCCATTTCTGCGACTCTCTGGATTTGCAGTGTGCTGAGTCGGGCAAGATTGGGTGCGGCGTGTTTGTTTGTAAAAGGGAGTAAACTTTCCAACCAGAGGGGTGATTTTGAAAGCGGAAGCGGCGAAGCGGGTATCGGCGCTAGTAGCTTGGCTCGAGCGCTCTACCTAAGCAACCACCATCACGACGCGTCGCGCTGGAGCAGACATGTGCCCCCTCGCCCTGCATATGTTTGTCACATCTGCCCGCCTGTCTCAGAGGCCAAACGCTACAGACAAAGCCCTAGCTCAAGCCACTTGCCTCCCCCTGCGATTGCTCCCACTTCTTTGACGGCCTTGCAGACTGCGCTAACCGCTTTCGGCCATCTCCAGCTGTGATGCCGCTGGAGCTGCCCAAAGGCTTCACGGCCATCAAAGACGCCACCTACCCTACTGACAGTGTCAACCTGATCGGCGTTCTCGTCAACTACGATCCGCCAAAGTCAACAAGAGGCACTTCCTGGGCCCTCGACTTCACCATCCAAGATGACTTTGCGTCCGGTGATGTTGGTGATCAGTCAAGCATCCGTTGCCGCTTGTTCAGACGCGCTGAGAACAAATTCCCTCCCATCTCTGGGGTCGGCGATGTTGTCATGCTCCGCGGGTTTAAGATTCAGGAATTCAATCTTCGTATGGAGGCCGTCGGTCGGGACATGTACGACACCAACATGCTCGTTTTTCCTAGCAGCAGGATTCCGGTCCCAGGCCTGAGCCACCCTTTCCAGGCCGGCAGTCAGAAGCTGCCTCACGCCTTGACTGGAGGCTCGCCGCCTACGATCCCGGAGCAGATGGCTGTCATCCATATGAAGAATGCATCCACTGGCGCAGCGCAACAAGTGCAGCAGCATGCTGCGGTTAATACGTCCAAGGCCCGGACAAGAAGATCAGTCAGTTTGATCAAGGACTTACAATTTAATAATTACTATGATGTCCGTGCCCAGGTTGTCAATATTTACTACTATCAGATGGGAGGCCAAGTTGACCTGAAAGTAACCGACTACACTCCGAATGAGCAAATGTACAACTATGCAGATCCAGAACAGGAGCAGAGCCACTTCGTATCAGATAGGGACTGGAAAGGGCCATATGGTTTTCTGACTTTGAATGTCACCCTCTACGGAGCGAACGCGACCTGGGCATCGGAAAATCTTGTAAATGGCGGCTATGTCTTTATGAGCAATATGCGAGTCAAGACGTCCAGTAGGGGTTTCCTCGAGGGCGCGATACATGAAGACCGCCGGAACCCATCAAAGGTCGACATACGTCACATGACGAACATGACCGACATAGAGGAGATTGACAGACGCCGAGAAGAGTACGAGCAAAAACGTGGGAACAAGACGGCGTTCCAGGCTATGCAGAACGAACCCAAGAATACCCTGGGCAAATCTTCGAAAGAAAAGAGACAGGCGAAAAGAGAAAGGCAACGAGTACTGAAACAGGCCGAGCAAGACGAACTGGTGAAGAAACAACAAGAGTTGGAGAGGACTCGTGGCGGGGTCAATCCCAATGGTAAGAAACCTTCTTGTCCGTCATCCTATATACTAAGCTCCTTCAGTCATCGCTGCTTATCCTGACATAAAACCCTCCACCATCTCCGAGATCATACACAACCATCACCTTGAGGTTCAGACCCCAGAGAAGCACCATAGTTATAAGCTCCCTTTCATCAACTGCAAACATCGATCTCGCGTCCGTGTAGTAGATGTTTATCCTCCCGAGCTCAAGCTGTTCGCACACCCCAAGAGCGATAGAAAGTGGAGAGGGCAATCTAAAAAACAAAGAGCCGCTGACGGTCCAACGAAAGAAATCTGGGAATGGGGGTTTGTTCTCTTGCTCGAAGATGCAAGCATACCCCGCGATACAGTGTCCGAGAAGTTGCGCGTGGTCGTAAATAACGACGCGGCGATGTTCCTCTTGGGGATGAGTGCTAAAGAGTAAGATGACACGCTTCATGATGGCTTGAACATCTGCTAATACGCTTATAGTATCATAAACAAGCCCGCCGCTCTTAACCAACTCGAGGAGAAGCTCTTCATCTTATGGGGTAACCTCATGGAGCTCAAATCAGAGCTGAGAGATCGAGCAACTGACCTTCCCCTACCGCCGGGAGACAATCGCCTAACGAACAAGCCTTTCGATGCTTGCATCGAGGAGTATGGCGCTGAGGTGCCTATATCAGCCGAGAATCCGTACGGCTATCAACGCATGTTCAAGCTCTCCCAAACGAAGATTCAGGACTGAGTTTCCTCTTTGGCACACGTCGGTGTGCAAGTTCGCTCTGCGAATTCCTTTTCCATATGATACCCTTTCCTTCTTCTTTCCTTCTTTCTGGAGCCTTTTCTGAGAACACATTGAGGCATACGAAAGGTTGAGATTTACGTTGAGACGAAGGATCTTGCACGAAGCTCGAAAGTAGGTAGGCATTACATTTCGACCATCTCTTGCATCGTGAAATTGGCGTCAAACTCCAAGGTAAATGGATCGAATGAATTCAAGACATATCGTGCTTATTTGCGGTTTTCAATCTTTTTCATTCGTTGCGAGGATCATTGCTCACTGCAGGTAGAACTGGGGTATGCATCGTATTGTACGTAACCGGGCCTCGGACCAATCAGCCATGTCATACGCCGCATGTGAACTTTCGACTGCTACTTCCTTTGGAGAACTCCAACTGTTTGCGAGTGTTGACTATGAGGGGTCTAGCACGACATTCGTCAGATTGCGTGATCCGACGTGCTTGTAGCGAAAGGTCACCCATCAGTCACCGCAACTTCAAGCTTGCGACATCGCGTGCTCACCACGCCTGAATTCAATACCTAAAAGCTTTTTCATAATCACACACTGCCGTCAATTAGACCTATTGTAAGTGATAGTTAGCATTGAGTGTTGGCAAACTATCATTCCAAGAGCGGAGAAGAATACTTTATCAAGCTTGCCCAGTGCGACAAATCGGTACCGAACAACTACATTAAAATAGACCCTTCCAGTCATTTCTGAGAAACTCACCCGAGCTATGGCTGTCGGAGGCACAACCACGATGATACAAGCTCATGGTCATCGCATCACCGTCAAAACTCCCCTGTCACCGCCCGAGGCCTCCACCACCAACGACTATGGACTACCACCTACAGCACCACAACCGGACGTGTCGTTACACATTCACAGCGTTCAACTCCTCAATCCGGAAAGCATAACGTCCGAATTCGACAAACTGCGTTTCGAAGCCGCCGCACATGACCAACTCGTCTTCCACAACCCACAGCTCTACCAAACTGCAGATGATACTTCCAAACGTTCGACCCCAAATCAAGACCCCGAAACAATCTCCACACTCCTGATTTCCTCCCCATACAATATCCCCAACCACTATCTCGATCTCTCCTCCCCTCACCTAACCATACCCTCCCGTCTTCTCGCACTAGCCCTGACAGCGCTCAAACCGGCTACCTCAACCTACGCAACTGCGCCGTACCCCCTCGCCCTCAATTTCTCTTTCGTACTAGCCCTGCTGCATACCCTCATTGTGCAGGAAAGGTACGAATGGGAAGAAACGTCATTCTACGTCGTCGTGTTCCGTTCGCAGCTTAAAGAGGGCATTGATCAAGACTGGCTGTACCGACTTGATGAGGAGAGTCATCGCGAGGCGTGTGAGAGTGGGGGGTTATTGAAGTATTGGTTTGGGAAGGGGGATGAGGAGAGGAGGAATCTGGCTACTTGTACGTTGTGTCTGCTTTCTCTCTTTCTTTTCAGTCATGCATCCTTGTGAGATGCTATCTAATGAGCTGAGACTGATGATCTGAACAGGCTTCTGGCATAGTAGGGAAGATGCGTACAAAGGCGGTCTCGGTCCCTGGCATAAGAAGGCAAGAGCCGCAGGACGGGAGTTGTATGAGAGTATCGTGTTTAGTACCTACCGGCTTGTCATCAAGGATGGGGCAGAGGAATATGAGTTTGAAGACTATAAAGGCTGAGAAAACGATTTTGGATGTGGGAAAGGTGCGTAATGCCAGTCATGGTTTTCGACGATACTCAGAGAGCGAAGAGGCGCAAGAGAACATGGGGCAACGATTGGAGGGTATGGGTACGAGGATAGAGAAAGCACATGCTAGAGTGAACATAACAACTGTAACATAGGTTTAAGAATCGTGAAGAATGTACAGCACTCGATTGCCAGAATGATCTATACCATGCCCTACTGTACAATGCATATTTCGCATGCAAAGCTCGAATTACATAGAATAGTTCTGTCCCGTCTCGTCGTTCGTGTGAAATGGAAGGCTTATGGTCGGATAACACGAAGGCCGTCTTTTGGGGGTGATGCTGCGCGCTTGAATGACTGCTCTATATGTTAGGATTCGACATTCTGAACCTCTATCTCTGTAGGGGGAGTTCTCACGTTGTCGCACTCTTCCCATGCCCTTCCGGCACCAAATCCGAGACCGACGAATGCGGGCCACGCGCGACGCTTGAAGAGGAGTACGGAGAAGACGACACCGAATGATAGACCGAGGCCGGAGCGGATGAGCATAGAGGAGAGGCAGCGGTCCCACTAGGCAAGCATGTTAGCATTACTGTCCGGCAATCTCCAGTGCTCTTATCTCCGTATAGAATCGGCTTGAAAGTGGGCAGGAGTCGACTGAAGTGGGCAGGAGTCGACTGAAGTGGGCAGGAGTCGCGTGAGACGGGCCAAGATTGCCATTGACCGCCCAATTCGCCTCTGCCACATTCTAGTCCCTCTATCTCTCTCAAGCCGCAAAACGGTGTGCCGTGTGCCTCTATGACTATGTCCTGGGCCGTACCTTTTCGTTGAGGAGAGCTTCGCTCATGGGACGTGTGGTGCGTGGGATGGAGGCAACGGGCTGGGGGGTGTTGTCGGCCATGGTGTGTGTATGTGTTCGAGGGCAATTGATGGGTTCAACGGCGCACTCGGTGTGCTTGGGGTGATGGACAGCGGTTCGACGTGGTGTTGAGCGTCTCTGGGCGGAGCTGCAAGCGGAACTTTGACGTCGCCGGCCCTTGGCAGGAACGACCAGGATGGCCTGGTCCGTGCCCAAACTTTTTCCGCATACCAGCGCTGCTCCATCTTCTCAAGGTCTCTGCATCCACAAACGGGGAAAGAGGTGACAAGATGGCGCCAAGCAAGCCAGTAAGTGTGTTCCATGTCCCGAGTTTGAGAAAGCGCTGACACGGTTGAAGGCCTCGCAGAATGATCCTGCGTCCACCCGGCCGCGACTGCAAGCCATCAACCAGGACTTCTCCGACCTGGACGAGCAGATTCGCCAAGCTGCGCATATCATAGGCCTTCCTGACAACTGGAGTACGATACAAGACCAGGAGGTCCGATCAGATATCATACAAAGACTTGTGCGCGCAAGGGCGGAATGGGTCCTGCGCTGGATTCTCGACAAGTTAAAAGATGAGACGGAAACTGGGCGGGCGGCGCGAGCAAATGTCAGCGCATGGCAGCTTCTAGACTGGATGATACACGTTCTGCCTGTATCTCGTAGTGCGCCACATCTACGGGACGCCAGCTTCCCCAGCATACTGGAGAGAACGCTCGTGGAGAACTTCGACACAGACTCGACCCTACAACCCGCAGCCACTTCGGAAGACGTTGACATGAAGGACGACTCGGAATCAAGTGCGACTATCCGAGAAGGAACTAAGCCATCCAAGAAACGAAAACGCGGCACAGCTGAGGCATCACCTGCGACATCGGCCGCACTTGGTCCTGTCAATCTTAGCCATCTTTTCCGCGTAGTTAGGGCAGCAGTTGATTCAATCGCGCATCTGGCTGGGAGTGACAAGTCCGACGATGTCACTCAGGCTGAGCTCATGAAGATGGTCTTGAGGACAGAAAGTACTCAGGCTTCGCGCATCCTCAGATTCTGGCTTTCTGGTGTCCGAATATTGTGCGCAGCTCGCTCTCCCGCTTCCGATGATACCCCTTTGGACGAGCATCTCCAACTGTCACTTGCGCTTGAGATGTGGGATTTGCGCGCTGTGGAGACCAAAGACGAGTCTGGAGCCTCTGCTGAAGAATTCAACACAGAGTGCCTAGTACCGACTTTGCTACTCTTGGAACATCTCAAGTCGCTGCGCAGCAAAGACACGACCCAATTTCCCCAACGTACCCTGGACCGCGCGATTACAGTGCTCGACAAGCTGTTGGCGAGGCATTTGCTTGCGCCTTCAAGAGCTGCTTTCTTCGCCGATGCCGAAATCGCCGCACCCTCTGCCAGTACCGGTGCCAACTCTACAGGTGCTGGACTGAAGACACGGGATGCGACGGTTCTTGCAAGTAACCTAGAGCCGCTCCGCGCAAAGCTTCTTCAGGCAGCGCAGATCGAAGATGGTGGAGATGCTCTACCTGCAGAACTTGCGCTGCTCTTTGACACAGTACCTCATGTGCTAGATCTAGCCATTCGCGCTTCTCCGTCACGAACACCCAAGAGCAGAGCTATGGAAAAGCCCTGGCTACAGGCTGTCTTCTCCGCGCTTGCAGAGTGCGCTGGATGCTCGCTGGTCACTCCACCCGAGTATATCACACGGCCAACCGCCGTCGCTGCTCTCAGTGGCGCTATTCGTATTCTGCAGGTACATGAAGTAAGCCTTTCTTCGGACCTCATCAAGAACATCTTCTGGTACCATTGCGGGGTGAAATATCCTGAACGTCAAGAGAAGCAGGTGCATTGGTCGCTGATCGCATCCTTGATTGAGCTTGATTCGTCAGTATTTGCTGTAGAGTCCAAAATTGGAGCGAGAGGCTCGCAAGACCACACAGATCTTGCCGAGTTTGTCTTTGAGAAAATATCAGCTACAGAATTAGAGGGCTCAGGCTTCTCTGATGACGGAAGTGATGGTCAGCTAGGAAGATCCGCAATCTTGGAGCGAATCATCAACCCATTGATGCTGGCTTTCGTGCGGAACCGTAACCTGCTAGGCTTTGTTCGAAGATGGGATGACCAACTGGTCAAGAGCTTTAGACACGGCAAGCGCAAGACTCTTCAAGAGCGACAGGACATCGTGTGGGAAGATCGTGCTTTGTGGAATACTTTAGCTGAGTCTTTCGAGTCATCATTAACCCAAGGCCAGATAACCACATTGATTCAGGAGCACGGGGAGCGCCTGGCACAGCTCGCAGGTGCGATCGAGACTGCCACCAAGGAGAATGTCAAGGTCAAGAAACTCTCTGCGTACAAGAACGCCGCGAGTAGTGCTATCTTGCTTCCAGCTTTCCTTCAAGCTATCAAGTCTGAAAACAACATTGCAGCACTAAAAGCCGACCTTCGTGCTCTATTCCTCACCTACGCTTCGTGGGTCCAAGAGCGTCACTACAGCTTGTACACTCAGTCCCATCTATCTTGGTTCACACTGTGCCAATTGTTGGCGAAACTGTGGCCCATCGAACTTCATGTCTCTTCACAGTTGCAACAGGAGCTGCTTTACCCGCTGCTAGAACAAGCTATAGAAGTTATGTCGACGACGTCCAACGACGCTGGACGAGGCGCAGATCCTACCATACGAGCAGCTGCAGTACTATTCTGGCTCAACACATGTGATTGCCTACAGACACTCCCTGGTTCCAAGATTGTCATCCGCAGTGGCTTAGCCAGAGTCATGGACTGTTTCTCTTCTAGTCAGCTAGACACCGAAGGACAGCGGTCAATGATCGAGATCTTCTGTGCCTATTCCGTCAACCTCCTTGAGCACGTGGAGATCGACGCGTGCCGCCAATCGCTGTCTGCCATATTATCAAAGCTTCCACAGTTCGACGGCGTCACTAGCGATCTTGTCTGTCGATCACTTTCTCAATCTATCATCGAGGAAGGAAACTCAGTCATACAGAACGCATACTGCGTAGCCCTTCTGGAAGCACTTGGGCAAGGAGCTGGAATGAAGATGCACGCTGTGGCTGGTGAAGCGATACTTCACATCCACCCTGCTGCTTTGTCCCGTGAGCAGAGACAAGCAATACTGGACCGCACAGCCGAACTTCTGGACCTCGGGCAGACGAGTACGATGATAGTACTGAGCATCATGGCACACCTCCAGCAAGTTCCAAATGCAACAGCCAAGGTCTCTACGGATGCAGACGTCATCTTTAGCATTGCAGAACAGCTGCATAGCCAACAACTCGAAACAGACTCCGCGCTGCAACTGCTACGAGAGCTTGTGCAAAGAACTCTTGGACATATCATTCCGAACCAGTCACAAGCGCAAAATAAAGAGTTTTTTATCGACTACGCCGGAAAATCTTTGTCTGTGGCTAAAGCTACGAGCAAATGCTCGCTAGCGAGACTCTCGATCCTCCGAGCGACGTCGACGGTCCAAAAGCAAAACTCTCTGCTTCATATCGAACGTTACGTCGAACTTTTGAAGCAATGTCTTGGAAGCGAGGACATGGCATTGCTGCTAGGGTCGTTGGACGCTTTCAACGAGCTGTCAACAGACGCATTGAAAGACGTTAAGCAATTCAGCCGTATCCAGACATGGCTTCGTACGTGGCTCAAGGATGCTCTCGATCTCGACCAGTATATTGATTCAGAGGTCCGCGTCCCGAGCGAAGCTGTTGACTACGTTGCACGGGTATATGCATTGGTCGCCAAATACGAGCTTTACCAAGATGCGAAGTGGCTGATCTGTCTGTCGCTTACTGTGATTAGAGGAGGCTCAGTTCAAGTACAAGGCGCCGTGTACAGAACACTCAAAGCCACACTCGAACCGCTTCCTTTCTACGAGAAGTTGGATCTCATCACAACACTGGTTGTAGATCAGAAACAGCCAAACCTGGCTGCCTCGTACCGTATCCTCGGTGATCTCATCGACACTATGGACGATCAGCTAGAATCCAACGCAGAGATGAGACAAAAACAGCTCGCACTGTTGCCTAGGATCTGCGTTTTGCTCACCGAGAGTCCTGACTTTGAGTCTTTCAACGCTCTGCTCAACTGCATTGACACAATCCTGA